GAACAACAACGCCTGGCCGTCCAGGAGTTCATGGCGCGTGAACTCGCTGACCTCCGTCAGCGAGTGTCGACTCCCACGCAGACCAAGAACAAGTCCAACATCGTGAAGCTCGATGTCTCCACGTACAGCGGTGAAGGCGAGGGCCGCCTTCACCTGAACCGCTGGTTCTGCGAGGTGGACATCGCGATCGAAGCTCGGCAGCTGTCTACCGAGCTAGCGCATACGCGCTTTCTCCTGTCCAAACTGGCGGGGAAGGCGAAGGTGTGGGCGCTCGGCGAGCTCGTGGCCGACGCTTCCTGCTTCCCGACCATGGCATCGATGAAGGCGGACTTGCGGCTCGCGTTCCAGCCGCCCCAAGATGAAAGCGTTCAGCGCTCCGCCTTCCTGGCGTTGAAGCAAGGACGCATGTCCATGCTCGAGTACATCCAGCGCGCACGACACCTTGTGTCGTGCATCACGACGCATCCCGTAGACATGGCGACCCAAGTCCACGTCATCATCTCCGGCAGGAGCGCNGGCNNTCGGAGNTGTTCATCACCATTTTCTCGGATGGTATCCGATACCAACCACTCCTAGCTGTTCATCACCATTTTCTATATACCGTATCCCCAGCTCACTCAAGATTGCTGTTGTTCGCGGCTCGTCAATCTGGATTGTCGGCTCTGATTTGCACCACCACCCGCGTGATACAGTACCAATCCAGCTGTGCATTTCGAGCCGAGACAAAAATGAAATGCTGTGAAATGCTGACACCACTGGTGTCACACCAGCCGACCATTGTCGTGAGCAGGGCCACACCAATTCGATTGCAATGATCTGAATGCAATGCATCTCTGTGGGGCTGCCATGACTGTCTTCTGGCACTTCCGAATTCACTCTCAAGCCCCAACGTCCTTCGCACCAAGAGCCCACCACGATGCAGCTCTTCGGCTCGGTAGTCGCGGCGTGCGCCCTCCTGTCATCCGTCGTGATGGCCAAATCTGCCGAAGAAACCAAGTCAATCGACGAGCTGTATGCTGACGCGGTGGCAGAAGGCGCCAAGCTTGTCATGTACCATGGAGGAGACACCCCCACCCAGCAGAATGGACTGCAAGAAGCCTTCTCTAAGCGCTTCCCAGATATCAACTTCACCATGGTCGTCGACTACAGCAAGTACCACAACGTGCGGATCGACAACCAACTGGAAACGGACACCCTCGTACCGGACGTTGTGGCTCTGCAGACACTGCAGGACTTCACTCGTTGGGCTAAGAGCGGCGTTCTGCTTCCGTACAAGCCTGCCAACTTCTCCAAGATCCACGACTCGCTACGTGACAAGGACGGCGCGTGGATGGCGTACACGATCTTCACATTCGGCTTCAAGTACAACTCAAGCCAACTCGATGGCTACGCGGCACCGACGTCCCCCAAGGATCTGACAGACCCGCACTGGGCCGGCAAGATTGCCTCGTCATACCCCAATGACGACGACGCTGTGCTCTTCCTGTACATGCGCTACGTTGAAAAGTATGGCTGGGACTGGATGGCCAACATGGCTCACCAAAATATCAGCTTCAACCGCGGAACGAACGTCGCAAGTGACCTCGTTACATAAGGGGAAAAGGTGATTGGCGTGGGCACCAGTGGCGGTAAGGCTCCGACTGTGTTTGTTGGCGGAAATGGCATCGAATACCTGAGCTGGGGCCAACGGGCTGGTATTTTGACGAAAGCGAAGCACCCTGCCGCCGCCAAGCTGTTCATGAACTGGGTCATGTCCGAGGAAGCACAGACGACAGTGGTGTCCAGCAGTCCGCGTACGGACATCAAGCCCTGGGACATCCCGGAGGCCAACATGGCTGTCTTCCCCAAGTTCATGGAGGATCGTGCCGCGGCGGAGGAGTGGCGTCAGACATTCACGCTGCACATCGGCGAGGTGCAGGGTAAGCCGTCGCCTGGATGGATCGGCCTTCATCCGGGTCAGTAAGGAGAAACGAGGGACGTGGTTCTCTAAGAGACACGCATATGCGGGCAGTCAATAAAAATGACAACTTTTCCTTTCCTTTACAAACGACTTCTTGGTTGTACGCGCACGGTTGAATGCAATGCGTTGAGAATTGTGGTCTCTCGTTTCCATTCTGTCAGCACAAAGCCTGCCTATCTCACTACAGAGCATTCGGAGGAACTTTTGCCGCTGCGGGACACAACGCTCACAGTCCGGGGTGGACACCTGGTAGCCCGGCGTCGGCTCACCTTGCACCTCTCCGAAGTACAGGGCAAACGTTTGGCGCCACTGCTCCGCCGCGGTGCGGTTCGCCATAAACGCTGGGAAGGCGTCCAGATTAGCCTCCGGGATCTCCCACGGGTGGCTCGATCCAGACGGAGCGATGTCCGTGCGCACGGTCTCCATCACCACGGACTCCTGCACCTCCGTGGAAACGATCCAGTTCATGAAGAGCTTGGCAGCCACAGGGTTCTTCGCCTTGGCCAGGATAGCGAGACGCTGGCCCCACGTCAAGTACTCGGTGCCGTTGCCGCCCACGTACACAATGGGGGACGCACCGGCGTAGGTGCCCACACCGATGACCTTTTCTTGGGCCGTGACCAGGTTGTTCGCCACGTGCGAACCGCGGTTGAAGCTGATGCTCTGGTTGGCCATTGCGGCAGCCCACTCCCAGCCGTACTGCTAGACGAACAGCACGGCGTCGTCGTCGTGCGGGTACGATGAAGCGATCTTGCCCGCCCACTCGGGGTTCACCAGATCTGACGAAGACGTGGGTGCGTCCAGCCCGCCGAGGTTGCTCGAGTCGTAGATGTAGCTGAACGAGTTCACGAGGCCATCGTAGATCTTAGAGAAGTTGGCCGGCTTGTACTCCAGCAGATCACCCGCCTTTGCCTAGCGAGGGAAGTTCTGCACGGTCTGGAGCGCCGTGATGTCCGGCACGAGCGTGTCGGTTTCCTGCTGGTTGTCGATGCGCACGTCGTGGTACTTGCTGTAGTCGACGACCATGGTGAAGTTGATTCCGGGGAAGGTATCTTCGAACTTCTCCTCGAGCGAGTCCTGCTGAGACTTGAAGTCTCCTCCGTGGTACATGACGACTTTTCCTCCTTCGGCGATGGCATCGGCGTAGAGTTCTTCAAGCGTTTTGCTCTCGTCTTCGACGGCGAACGCGCATGCAGCGCGAATACCGCGGTGATGGGGGTGAAGAGCTTCATTTATTGTTGGTGACGAGTGGATCGGCAGATGGTAAAATAACTCATGAGCTAGACATTGCTCGTCAATTCGATGAGCAACAGCAATGCTGTTACAGAATCCCATGATCCCGCTAATAGTACATGTAGTGCGGTTGAGTTGCAGTACTGTGCATGTACAGTCAGAGTTTGCTGAGATGCTGGTACTGTAGTATATCCTTTTTCTGAGCTGCAGTTGGCTATCGTGGAAGCACGAAATCCCCACAATTGCTGGGTAAGATGCTCGGTTATGAATGATCTGCAACTGGTGCGTGCTTACAGTCCGGGTGTGACTGGCGTTAACAGTGAAAAATAAATAAATAAAAAATAAAAATGCGTGCTTACTATACTTCCTCCGGGTTCGAAAGAGTGCAAAATTTACAAAGAAAGCTCAAAATTTACAAGAAATAGGCCATATTCACGCGCCGGTAGGGTCGATTTCTGCCAAACTCTCAATCCTCAAGCGTATGAATCGACTGTGCCCTCAAATGAAAGCCCAAGATCTAGCAAGTTTTGTTGCTACAACTTTTATACGATGTGATTTCTGCTTCAAAAGTCATGGCGGCTTTTGCCAGCAGCAGGATCTCCATCTGGGATTTGTGGAGGGACAGCCTACGCGCCCAGGTTTCCCAGGTTAGAAAAATACTCAGATTTCTGATTTTGCAGGTATTGTCCAGGTGATGCCCCAGGTTATATCCAGGTATATGAATTATGAGCGTTATCAGATGAAAGTAATTTAAACAAGGATGGTTAAATTACCAGAACAGTTAATGTCCAGGTTAAAAACCTGGAAAACTCATGTGCGTAGTACTTGAGGAAAAGTGAAAATGACGGCCTTCAGGCTGTGTCGGATGCATTCTAGCCATTCATTTCTTGTTTCAGTGTCCAGGTAGTTTGCAGGTATGAAAACCTGGAAAACTCATGTGTGCACTACTCGGAAAAAAGTCGAAGTGGCGTCGATTGGTATCGATCGGAACCACACGACATGATAATGGCTTCAAAACAATCATTGTGTACCCATCTACTCGTACAGGTTTCTTACAGGTTGCAAACAAAAGTTGTCCATGTATTATCCATAAGATGCACTTCTCGCTGCTGCTCACTGTCTAGCTACGCTTCATCGTGGTGATCTTGTGCAGCATTGCCCAACGCAGCTTGGTGACGCCACTGGGAGACACATCACTTGGCTCTTCGCTGTCAACGCACGTCCACAATAGACGGCACGCAAACACCCCGCAGCTATCGCCATCTGTCTGCTTCGGCTCCGTCACTTCGATGTCGCTGTAAGCTTCATCCTCAAGGGGGCCTGCAAGGAGCTCGCTTGCCATCTTCTTAAGCCGTTTCTTGTTTCTCTTCCCACCCATGCTGTCATACGTCTTCACCAGCCGCGCTTCACGGTCCACTACGATGCATCCCCAATGAACTCCACCAAAATTGACCGGCATAAATACAAAAGCATGCGCCTCAATACCACTAGCAACCTCGCCCAGCGACGTTGGTGCGAGTATGTGCTTCCCCATCTTACCCTTCTTAAGAGGAGGAACCATCACCGTCACGTTGTTCTTGTAAGTAGACAGAAACACGGTAAACGCCCGCAAGGCGTTGTCGTTCAGCCAAGCGGAGTCTCTGAAGCAGAAAAGGTCTGCGTAGGTCAGGTCGAAGCCAAAGCCATGTAGCGGTGTGTATGGCCAGCACTCGAGTACTTGCCAAGTAACAGCCCAGGGGGGGCGGGGTCCGCTACGATACTTTTCACGTCTTGGCTTAGCCATGTGCAACACAGTACCGCATTCCGGCATGTAGCCTGCCAATTCCACAGCGACTGCATCGCTTCTAACTGCACCCGGGTAAATCTGCCAACTTTCTCAATGGCGGCCACGTAACCTTCCGTTTCGCGTGTCACCCCTCCATCACTGTCCAGCTCAATCTCCTCCCCTTTTGCCAAACCACCTCTCAGTTTAGCTAGAGCGTCTTCAACGACGGACTCCGGTAGTCGGAAGCGCACAACCTCGCAAATATATTCCGTGTCCGACATCCACTGGATTGATTTTCCGTCACCTTTCTTCTTTGTTTCATGCGTAGTCAAAAACGAGCTGAGCTCGCGGACACCTGGCTTAATCAATTCCAGCGTTGCTGCCACTTCCGTCACGTCCTTATCTCGTAGTAGAGCTCTGAGTTTCATTCCATTGTTGTATTCTTTCAGCGCCAATGCTGCCTTCTCTCTCATCTGAGCACGATTCAACCGTGGTCGACCGACACGCCTCTTGTTTGTCAGTCGAACCTTTGAGCCTTTGCCTGGCTGCACCGATTCCTGGGCGGAGGCTGTCACTTGTGTCGGGGGTTCGTCTTCGTCATCATCTGGTCCTTTTTCGTGAGCTGCATCCTCTCCACCAGAAGCACTAGGACGAGCATTCGTACCCCCCCCGTTCCTGGGCTACCTCCACCGCCTCCGTGGCTATCACTGCTAATACTGTTGCCCCCGCCACCACTAGCGCCAACCCGATCGGGGCCCGAATCGTCGACGAAGTCTGCATCAGCTTGCACCAGCGGAAACTTCCCTTGACGTAAGTAGTACCACCACTTATCAATCTGCTTCATCGCAGGCTCGAACACAGTCTCATCGCATCGGACAAGCTCGCTGCTGATTCGACCAAACGCCTGCTGCGAACGCCGATACTTCTCGGCTTCACTCAAACTGCCAGCGCTCGCAGCTGGATGCCCTTTGTAGAGCTTAGCAACGAACGGATTTTCCACCTCCATCAAGTCCTGTTGCGAGATGCGATTCTGTCCAAACCACCTATTCATGCACATCAATAACAAAACATGGTTAAAACTTGGTCAATACATTGGTAAAACGAGATACCTGGATAACACCTGGTCAATACTCATAGAAAAACTGGACATACCTGGGCGAAATGGAAGAGAATGGGATGATGAAGGGGCTTCCACACACTTTTCTGTAGACCATTGCATGTCTGCACGGAAGCTTCATAGTCTGCGAAAACTTTAGCGGGTGACTCTCCATTGAAGTTCAGGATCATCTCCGCAACCGCGTCGTCATCGGACATTTCCACGCCTGCAGTCATAAGTAGTATAAGCATCAGCACACATATAATATAGAACAGCAGCATAACCACTTGCCTTGCGTCTTCATTCGCCTGATCATGCTTCGCACGTCGTCCATCGAGACGCGGTGGTTCGAGTTCTCCCTGATGTACTTGTACACGCTGGAAGTGCTGGCTTGGGCGTCGACCAGGAGCTCGATTCCGGGCATGAGCGGAGACTCGGCAGGAACCTGGCGAATACCTGGGTAGGACCTGTAGATGTCGTCGGAAATGGGGTGGTTGTGGCTGTAGACTTCTCGCTTCATGACGATGCCCAACTTTCCATCTCGGCGAAGGACGACTTGTGCAAGCATCTGGAACGGACACTCAGTGCGGCGGAGCTTGTGCGACATCCTCTTCCCCGTCGATCTCTCACGCTCCTTCCAGCCGTGTGTGCAGATGTACTTCCGCTGATAGGGATCCCACTCGTCGGGCACGAGAGGAATTTCTGTGTCAGGAAGCCCTCGGAAGCGGACCTGCTTACGCAAGTCTGCGTTGCGGCGAGCCACGTTGATGACCTCCGCGATGACGATCTTCTGTCGCGTCGCATCCATGTACTCCTGTAGGCTGACATCAAGCAGGGGCCACGAGTCATGCTGGGCCTTGAACGCTAGAACGTGCACCAGGTCCTCGTCTTCAACGTCGGAAACGGTGCGCTTGTTCCCTTGGCGCTGCCCGCCCTTGGTAGCTCCTTTCTTCTTTTTCTTCTTCTGCGCGCCCTCTTCTTCATCTTCTTCAACCTCTTCATCTCCGTCTTCCTCTTCGTCTGCATCTTCTTCCTCTTCGTCTGCATCTTCGTCTTCTTCCTCTTCTTCTGCGACATCTTCTTCCTCTTCGGCCGCTTTCTCCTCTTCATCGCCAGTGGATGAGTCGCCTTCTGCAGTCGCATGAGGGCCGAACTGCGTGGCCCGTGAGTCGTGGGCATCCTGAAGCGCCTGTGATCGCTGCGATCTGGTGCGCGCGCTGGTCACCTTCCTGCGTGCCTCCTCCTCCTGCCGCGCCCGCTCGGCCATCTGCGCCTTGATATGGGCCATCTTGGGGGTGCGCGCCATGATGCTGGGGTCTCCAGGGCCGAGCAGCCGCCGCACGTCGAATGCCACGTGGCTGGAGCTGGCCCCCTCGAATTGGTGGCTGTGAGGCAAAAGCTGAAATGACGGTAATAAAAAACGGGATAAATTATCCCTGGACAATACCTGTCGCCAGACCTGAATAATACCTGTTTTGCAAAACCTGGGCTAGTAGCTTGCCGTTTGTGGAGGGCCGAAAGTTTCGAAACCACGATTAAGTACGAAAATGAAGCTTTGCATTTACTCCTTTTTGATCATAACTCAGTTGTTTTTCAAGATTTTTGAGTGAATAAAGGACGAGAGCAAATCCCAGACCGTTCCGCATCGAACACAACAATCCGCGATCCAATCGCATGCCTAGAAATAATGTTACGATGTCGAGAAAATAATCTTGCACTCTTTTCCAACCGGAGGAAGTACAAGTAGCGATTTTCAGATCTGCTCCCAGTAATACAAGAGAATAACAACGTCATCACTTCGGAAAATTACTGAGTCTGATGAGAATGCACCCGAAATTGGATTCTTCCTTTTATTAGAGCATCTCCACCGAAGCCGCGCCATCGCTATCGCCAAAGGGATTTGGCGCGAATATTACGTGGGACGGTAATTTATCTCCCACCGGGGCCTTGCTCTCGCTAAAAACTCTCCTCAGACTCGCCAAAAGGCGCCTCTTCGCGCCAAATTCGATCCCATATAGCGAGTCTGGTGAGTCTCTCTCTCTCTCTCTCTCTCTCTCTCTCTCTCTCTGGGATGACAATAGAGATGGCGAGTTTCGGGTGCGTTCAATCCTCGCTTAACCAGTAATATATTTGTTTCAGCGCACCAAAGGTCGCTTTGGCGATAGCGATGGCGCGGGCGCGGTGGAGATGCTCTTACACATGTAAATACTCCTAACCTAATGTATTGTGTTGTACATGTACTGTACCAGCAAGTGGTGGCCACTTGCGAGATGACGAATGACAAATCGATGTCTGTGAAACGGGGAGCCAGCCTACAGTACATGTGCGGTGTTCGATCAACTGCTGAAGATCTGTCGCACGATCTACGGAGCTCGGTGAACTGGATCTACATGTACATATACCTTGACGCTTCCGGTGCACGGGGCCCTTTTAAGGACATCTTGCCGTCGTCACTGCATGCGAGACCGCCACGCCCATTTTCGACTGGCTGCTTGGAGCGTTTACTTAATCACTTGCACGTTATCCCTAGGGGGCTCCTAGTGTCCCTGTGGGTAAGGCCCACGAAGAGCAAGCGTTCCACTGAGGGTTCGAGTCTCGCCCGGAGCGATACCGATACAAACGCCACGTAAGTCTACCCCCGACTACCTCCATCACTACATCCCCTGGAACCCCTTAAGAGCATCTCCAACGGTAGTGCAATATACACAAAAATGACCGAAAATGCGCAAGTGCAAAAAAATCGATCTCCAACGGTGTAGTGATAGGGGCACAGAAGTAACAGTGAAGTAACATTTGAAAACTGATTGTGCACTAGGGAAGCCTCGTAGGGAATAAAGCCCGGTTTTCCTCTACGAATCGGCCCGTAATGCACACGTAGTGCACAACGAAAATATTCTCGTGCGAGCGCCTACTAAGTACTGCGTTGACGGATGCTGGAAACAGGTACACATGCTCCTACAGAACGTATATAGGCACTAGTTAGGTATACAGCGGGATTTCTTCCTTGGTAAGGCGCTTGCAACACTCTCACGGTTGCTATAGTCTCAAGACAAAGTGGCAGTGTACTCCAAACCCATATTTGCAAGCAGGGGGAGGTCTCATCGTCGTGCAGGTCATCAAGCAGGTTCTCGCAATAGTAGGATGACACCTCTACTATGAGGTAAAGGCAGCTGCATTGACTGTTCTGGGGCAACTCCTCCGCTTTCACTATGCATTTCTGCAATACCGTTGGGGAAGCGAAAACAAATGCAAGCTATTTCATGCATGTTCGTCCTGTTTTTACGTAGTGTCCAGCCGTTCACTTCGCCTTATCATTTTGGCACTACCGAATTTCCTTTGTGATAGGTATGTTTTCTTTTGCGCGCTACAATAGCAATTTCATAACTGCAAACTGTGTCTGGATTGGTGCACATGTTAGAGCAAATCTAGGGCTTTCATTGTGTACACGTTTTATCTCCAAAAGATTAGTAGTTTTCAAGAAAATACTTTTCAAAGTCAAAAATTCAGCTTGGTCTACTAAATCCCCTTAACATCTAAAATGTTTTGTGTTCCCAAAGATTGGTACCACCAAACCACAAGCAAAACGATCCTTTCCAAGCCAAAGCAAAGCCACAGGGTGCAAGTCTGACGAGGATGCAACTAAAAACATATCATTATCAAAATCCAAGATGCACAGTTATTCGCATATCATGGCAATTCTTCTCTACTCGTCGTCGCTCTCTTCGTCGCCGTCGTTTTCCTCGAGCGAGCCAAGGATGTCGGCCTTGCCCTGCTTCGCCAGCGACGCCTTGACGTGGTCTACGCCCTTGTCGGAGATCATGTTCGTGTCGAGCTCGAGGCGTGCCAGGGCCGGCTTGGACGGAACGAAAGTATCGGCGACGGCGATGGCACCCTTGGCCGTGATCTCGTTGCCGCACAAAGACAGCTCCTCAAGCGCCGGGAGACAGCCCGCACCCAAAGCGGCCACGAACTCCTTGAGACCGTCCGACGTCACCTCGTTCTCGTCCAGGCGCAGCACCTTCAGCTGGGACTGGGACTTGAGCAGCGGAGCCAGTGCCGTGATGCCCTCGTCCGCCAGCTCGTTGCCCGACAGGTCCAGCTCCAGCAGCTGGATCTTGCTAGTCACCAGCGCCTCGGCCACCTTCTCAGCACCTTCAGCGCACAGCGAAGCATCGCGCAGCTTGAGGTACTGCAGGTTCGGCTGCTTGCCGATAGCTTCCGCCAGCTGAGTGGCTCCGTCGTCCTCAAAGGAGCAATCGCTCAGGTCCAACGACTTGAGCTCGCGCAGGTTCGCGTTGACGCTGCGCGCCATCTGCTCGCTCGCCTCCGGGCCGGCACGAGCACTTGCATAACGCAGCAATGTGAGCTTCTTGCACTGCACCAGCACGTTGGCGACTGCCACACAGCCATCGTGACCACTCATGTTGTTGTAGAAGTGGAATTCTTCCAGCGTAGACTGCGCGTCCTTGCCATTTTGCAACACGATTTCCTGCGCGATCACGCTGGCCGCAGCAGCAGAGATGCCGTTGTTGCAAAAGAGGAGGCGGCGGAGCGTCGGCTGCGGGATCAGCAGGTCGAAGCACGCACGAACACCCTTCTCGCCGAGAGCGTTGTCGCTCAAGTCGATCTCATCCAGGACGTGGCCACGAAGTGCGCGGCACATGACAGCGAGGACACGGAGTGCCTCATCCTCCGGGCGACCGGCGATCACATCAGCCAGATCTACCACCCTGAGGTCGCTCTGCAAACGTGCCAGGAAGGAGTCCGCGATGACTTGAGCACCCGAGTCTGTGTAGCTCTTGCCACGCAGCGAGATGGACTTGAAGTGCAGGGGTGTGCGTTCGTTCACCTTAATCCCGGCGGCCTCTAGCAACTGCTGCGCACGAGCAGCATCAACAACTTCACGGCTTTTGTTTTCGAATTCAAAGCTCGCTTCGGACGAAATGACCAGCTTCTGATCGAGCATGACCGTCACGTCCTCAACAGAGGCAGCCTCTTCCTCCTCATCATCATCATCATCTTCGCCCTCCTCTTCATCCTCGTCGTTGTCCTCTAGCGAGCCCAGCACATCGCTCTTGTTCTTGCTCTCCAGCAGCGACTCAATGTTGGCCACGCCGTCAGCAGAAACCTGGTTGCCGTCAATGTCCAGCTTCGCGAACGCCTTCTTGTCGACCACAGCCTTGACAAGAGCAAGCGCACCAGAGGCGCCGATCTCGTTCACGTTAGCCACAACCTGCTCCAGCACGGGCGAGCCAACCTTCAAAGCCTTCGCGATCGCCTTCGCGCCCTTCGATCCGATCTCGTTCTCCTCCACCTGCAGCAAGCGCAGAGCAGCGCTCACACACAGCATCTGACCGAGCGCGGGCATGCTCTCCGCCGTAAGGTCGTTGCCGGACACATCCAGCGTCGTGAGGCCCGCAGCCGCGCCGCCCTCGCGCAGCGCATCGGCAATGGCCACCATGCCGTCGTCCTCAATAGCCGCGTCGCGGAGGTTAATCTCCGCCAGGTTTGGCATGTTCTTGACCGCGGCGGCGATGGCCTCGGCTCCCTGCGCCTTGAACGTGTTGTCGCTCAGGTCGAGCTTCTCCAGCTTCTTGAGCGAGGCCAGCGCCGTGGCGAAAGCCAGACTTCCCTCCCTCTGCGCGCGCGTGGCCGAGAACCGCAGGTCCTTGAGCGCGGGCGACAGCGGCAGCAGCTTGGCCAGCGCGATGGCGCCTCCGTCGCCGCTCATGTTGTTGTAGAAGTGGAAAGTCTCGAGCTTGGTGGGCGTGTCGAGGCCACGGAACAGCAGCACCTCCTGCGCGATGACGCCAGCGGCCGCCGCCGAGATGCCGTTGTTGCAGAAGTACATGTGCTTCAGCTGCTCCTGGTTCTGCAGCAGGCCGAAGCACGCGCGCACGCCCTTCTCGCCCAGCGCGTTGTCGCTCAGGTCGATGCGCGTGAGCGTCTTGATGGCGCTCAGCGCGTCGCAGAGCGTGGCCAGCACCTGCAGCGCCTCGTCCTCCGGGCGGCCGGCGATCATGTCGGCAAAGTCCACGCTCGTGAGCTGCGCGAAGGCACCGCGCGCCTCCAGCCGCGAGAAGAAGGCGGCGATCACGCGCGCGGCCTCCAGCGTGTAGCTCTTGTTGCGCAGCGTGATGTGCGTGAATGCGGGCGGGGCGGCCTGCGCCTCGGCGTCGGCGTAAGACTGCACCAGCTCGTGGGCGCGCGCCTCCGTCACGAGCTCGCGCTCGCCCTCGAAGGACAGCACGGTCTTGGTGGTCGCCATGGTGATACGCTGCTGGGGTTGGGCACTCGGCCTTTGTGTGGGGAAATGAGACTGTGGTGATTCATTGAATTGGGTGGTGCACATAGAGTCCCCTGCAGAAGGCGATACACCATGCGAGTTTGACCTTAGTGACGTAGCATTAGACATGGCTACACATGTGGCGATCTTCTGTCTTGATGTGCATCCATCGCCATTGACTGGCCCCGGGAGCAGCGCGTGGGTTGGCAAGTGTCCGTGTTATTCCTAAGTTATCAAATCCATCAACGCACTATGCAAATGCAAACTACTAATATATGCGGCCGCATGTCCGCCGCGAGCGTCACTCAAGCGCACGCGGCGGTGGAGATCCCCTTGCCTGCCTGTCCGCCTGCCGACAAGAAGGCGGCAACGACGACAGGAGCGCTCATGCTTTCACGTTACTGGAAATACGACTGCACTGTCTCCTGCACCTTCTCAGCTGTCTCCCGCAGGGTGGACTTGATCAGCGACTGAGTTTCCACGAACGATGCACACGAGAATACCTCTTCGGAACCTGCATCATCATTAAGACGCCACAAGGTTAGACTGATAAGATCAAGCACCAAAGCGCCAACCAGACAAACCAGCAAGCGTACCCTGTGCAGTCTCCGAAGTCACCTCGCAGAACTGGAACGTCTCCTGCGACCAGTCAATCGCAAAAAGCAGCGCAAGCACTAGCACAATAATCGCGACAATAAACAGGGGCGTGAAGACGAACACCCGCTTGGCCCATGTCCGGCGGATCTCGGCCGTCTGAATTGCTGTCTGCTGCTCGAACTCCTCCGTCTCTTCTGCCAGCGCCTGGACCTCGCTCGCATCAACTTCCGGAAGCGACACCGCGTCCGACTCCTCGCTCTCCTGGCTAAGCACCTCCTTGGGCGCGAAATCCGAGTCCGCCTCCGAGTCGCTCGAGGTCTTCAACGTGTTGATGCTCTCGGCACTGGGCATGTACTTGGCTCGCTCACGCGCGCGCTGCACGTCCTCCTGCTGTTGCGCAATGGGCGCGTAAATGTCCACCATGTCATTCAGACCGAGCTGCTTCACGTGGAAGTTGGTGGTGGGTCCGTCCCACTCGTTCTTCTTCTGCTCCTTATCCTCCTCATCCCCAGACGGAGCAGCTTCTTCCTCCACCTCCACCTCCTCCTTTTCCTCCACCTCGCTGCTCTCCTTCTTCTCCTCCGCCACCTTCACCTCCTCCATCACAGTCGTCTTGGTCATCGTCACCTCCTCCGTAGTCTCACTGCATCACATACACTCAAAACTGTCAACTTCCATCCCCAATGCATACCACCTTCTCTACCAATGTCTGCGTAGAAGCCTACCGAAGGGCGTTGTCCGAGGGGCTGGCCACCTCGCTCACAGTCACGAACTGCTGCGCGGACACCGAGCGCGTCGTGGGCTCCGCCTGCTCCTCGTGCTCGGGCTCGGGCATCGAGGCGAAGCGGTCCACCATCCTCCGCGCGATCGAGTTCTTCTTGTCCACTTGGTCGTTGGCCACGTCCACCACCGTCTTGCTCTTCTTGCTGCGGTGGCCGGTGTCCGCGCGGTCGCCAAGGCCCTTGCGCTTGCCGCTCTCCTTCTTGCCCGTGACGCGTGCCACGGCTTCGTCGATGCGCTTCTTCTGCTGCTGCGCCATCGCCAGGCGCGCGGCCTCCAGCTTGGACACGGGCGCGGGCGACAGCGCGTCCTCGCCGTTGAAGCTCATGCCGGCGTTGCTGCGGTCTGCAATCTGGGCGGCCATCTCTCTCCAACGAGTGCTCTTCCTTTTTGTATGGGAATCTCGTAATGAGGCCCAAACTGCGCAGCTTTGAGAACTCTCAGGGTGAGCTTTTGAATTTTCAAAGGGTCGGCTGCTGCGCCCGTCCAGTCGGGAGTACGAGCATGGCTACCGAGCCCGTCTGAAGGGGGTGAATGCAGATCGGTAACGCGAGTGTGCGGGAAAATGAATTGCGCCGCGTTTCTGCAGACTGACTTGGAATTTGTATGGCCATCTGCTGGTTGAAGAAAATGAATTGCGTGACGTCACTGCAGTGCGGTGCTGCTTGGGCACCATGCAGGGCAATGACGTCGCGCGATGCTCGAGCGAATTCCCCACTCCTCGATGTGACCAGACTACGATTTGAGGCCTTGGAGACAGAAGCGGACTCTTGTGGTCATTCTAGCGAAATGAAAGGAAACGTCCTGGCTAAGGAACGTTGACTTGGGGCCAGTGCAAGTACGTCAGCGCAGTGTAGCCATGTAGACGAATCGCACGATCGGTGGTCGGCGTGCCGATGGGTGGATGGCAAGAACGAGTGGAGTGGGGCCGCTGGAATGGAGATCGAAGTTCGTGCTGCGATGAAGTGGGTACTGGCCGTGTGTGCTCGGTTGGAGGCAATGGCATCGCATACGTCAGATGTCTGTGTGCGCTTCGCCGTCGTGAAAATACCAGCGCCGCCGAGAAGTTCATGAACTAGATCAACTCCGAAGAAGCTCAGCAACGCGCGTGTCGTAACAGCTCGCGGATTAACAAGATTCAAAGGATATGCAAGAAGGTTGCGCCCCGGCAGAGGTGTATTACTTTACTGGACATCGCGCTCAAGATCGCGATGTAAGCACTTCCTGCTACAAGGTAAACCATCGCCGAGGTTCGTTTCACTGTAGGCATACTGGGTATTGCAAAAGCCTCCAAATGCGGTGATTGCTGAAGCTCCAACATTAATTCGATTGATTGTCCAGAGATTTTGCTACGGTGCATCACGCAATGGTAGGTGCTATGATAAACGTCAGTGGGTGGAACGGGGCTAAACCGTGACCAATGTCACTACCGTACAAGTAAATGCAACTCCATTGGTGAGTTACACTTTGCAGACGACGAGCCTCGCTACGTGTAGGTATTAGACTGCAACTTCTTCCCGGTCTGCCTAACTCACTACGTGTATTGAGAAGTTGCAGGAAGCTTTTGCCGCTGCGGGACACAACGCTCACAGTCCGGGGAGGACACCTGGTAGCCCGGCGTCGGCTCACCTTGCACCTCTCCGAAGTACAGGGCAAACGTTTGGCGCCACTGCTCCGCCGCGGTGCGGTTCGCCATAAACGCTGGGAAGGCGTCCAGATTAGCCTCCGGGATCTCCCACGGGTGGCTCGATCCAGACGGAGCGATGTCCGTGCGCACGGTCTCCATCACCACGGACTCCTGCACCTCCGTGGAAACGATCCAGTTCATGAAGAGCTTGGCAGCCACAGGGTTCTTCGCCTTGGCCAGGATAGCGAGACGCTGGCCCCACGTCAAGTACTCGGTGCCGTTGCCGCCCACGTACACAATGGGGGACGCACCGGCGTAGGTGCCCACACCGATGACCTTTTCTTGGGCCGTGACCAGGTTGTTCGCCACGTGCGAACCGCGGTTGAAGCTGATGCTCTGGTTGGCCATTGCGGCAGCCCACTCCCAGCCGTACTGCTAGACGAACAGCACGGCGTCGTCGTCGTGCGGGTACGATGAAGCGATCTTGCCCGCCCACTCGGGGTTCACCAGATCTGACGAAGACGTGGGTGCGTCCAGCCCGCCGAGGTTGCTCGAGTCGTAGATGTAGCTGAACGAGTTCACGAGGCCATCGTAGATCTTAGAGAAGTTGGCCGGCTTGTACTCCAGCAGATCACCCGCCTTTGCCTAGCGAGGGAAGTTCTGCACGGTCTGGAGCGCCGTGATGTCCGGCACGAGCGTGTCGGTTTCCTGCTGGTTGTCGATGCGCACGTCGTGGTACTTGCTGTAGTCGACGACCATGGTGAAGTTGATTCCGGGGAAGGCATCTTCGAACTTCTCCTCGAGCGAGTCCTGCTGAGACTTGAAGTCTCCTCCGTGGTACATGACGACTTTTCCTCCTTCGGCGATGGCATCGGCGTAGAGTTCTTCAAGCGTTTTGCTCTCGTCTTCGACGGCGAACGCGCATGCAGCGCGAATACCGCGGTGATGGGGGTGAAGAGCTTCATTTATTGTTGGTGACGAGTGGATCGGCAGATGGTAAAATAACTCATGAGCTAGACATTGCTCGTCAATTCGATGAGCAACAGCAATGCTGTTACAGAATCCCATGATCCCGCTAATAGTACATGTAGTGCGGTTGAGTTGCAGTACTGTGCATGTACAGTCAGAGTTTGCTGAGATGCTGGTACTGTAGTATATCCCCTTTCTGAGCTGCAGTTGGCTATCGTGGAAGCACGAAATCCCCACAATTGCTGGGTAAGATGCTCGGTTATGAATGATCTGCAACTGGTGCGTGCTCACAGCTTTGTACTGTTCTGTACACTGCTCGAAGTACCACCGAGTGGGGCTTGCGTGGCCAACTAAGATGCATACAGCGCTTGCCTGCACAATGCAGTACAAAATAGCAGCCCAAGCCTACCTTTTTAATCTGGATCCACGGCGGACCCTGGAATATAGTAGTATTCGACCCGTATTGATTTCTTACGTTCTCGCCATCACTAGAAATGGTTTCTTCATCGTTTGCGATAGTTTCACTGTTCTGTGTGCCGTAATATCTGCACAAGTCTTGAGTAGACACTTTTCTTTATCGAGTTTTGGCTTTAGGTGGTGTTTATAGGTGGGTTTGTCGGTGCTACCGGTGTTGCAACTCAGCAAAAACAGTTGTAAAAGAATTCTGGAAAGTCTTTAGAGCCAGAAGGTGCACGTTTATACACGTGTGCCCTTTGACAAAGGATTATCCTAGTCGTACATTCTCGCAGTTCTATTGGTCAATCCCCTTTTCTTAGGATGTGACAGGGGTGCCTACAGTATGCTGCGATCAGTTTAATAGAGCGGAATAATACTGGTCTTTGTATCGAACTACCATATGGAAACGCGTGGTAAGAGTTTTATAGCCAACCAAAGCACGTATTTCACTATTTCTGCAATATTACTGGTTCTACTAAACTGGTCAATTCTACTAAACTGGTCAAAACACTTAAGAGTAGTTTTTTGCCATGACGGACACGACGTCGGATGCGGCGTCCGCTGCTGCGACCCCGGCGCCTGTGGTGGTCAACACGCTGCCGTCGCTGAACCCTCCGCTGTTCTTCGAGATCGTGGAGGACCAGGTGTACCGCTCCAACAAGTGCGACGCGTCGTCGATCCCGTTTCTGGCCACGCTGCAGCTCAACACGGTGGTGTATCTCTCGTACGACGACCTCTCGCGCGACTTGGCGGCGTTCTTCGCCGAGAAAGAGATCAATGTGGTGCGCTCAGTGCTGCGTACATCGGTGCAGTGAATGGGTTGGTGGGGCTGAAGTGTGGTTCGTTGGTTGTGGCTGGCAGATCCACCTGGGCATGAAATACCGCACGGCGTCTTCGCAATGGAAAGGAATCTCGGAAGGAATGGCCAAGGAGGCGATCGAGTGCATCCTGGATCAGAGACGCCATCCCATTCTCGTTATGTGCAAGTACGGGTTATGGTATTGGTGCGAGTCGAAGGCTCTGGCGAGAAATTTAATGGTCTGGTTCTGGTTGTGTGTAGGACTGGTGTGCACTTTGCAGGAACCATGATCGGCTGTTTGCGGCGTCTGCAGAATTGGAGCTTGACTTCGACTATTGATAAGGTAGTAAGCAGTACTTGAAGCGATGGGAATGATCCATTTAGTGAGGGGCTAACGGCGGGGTTGTGCAGTATCGGAACATTGCGGGCAGTGTCAAGACGAGGTTCGAGAACGAGCAGTTCATTGAGCTCTTCGACGTGGACTTGGTCACGTTGCCGCAACAACTGCCATCGTGGTTTACGGTCCATCAGCGACTAATGGTATGTTCTGGGAGTGCAATAAGTCTGCTGGATGAATGCTGATAGTTTTTGCTGTTGTTGTCAACACGAACAGGAGGAAGAGCGAATCGCGCTGACCAAGGGCGAGTTTTTCCCTGGTCGAAGTCCTGACAAGGTCGAAGAGCAACCGAAAAAGGAGCTATCGCAGCCTGAAGATGCTGAAGCGAAGTCAGGAGGTGACCAACCAGGTGACTCGACGACGACTACGGATGCGCCGACAGAAGCGGAAGTTCTAGCGTATCAGAAGTACTTCTTCTACCTTCAAGGGCCACTTGTGTCTTCATCGGTGAAGTTCTCGGAGAAGAAGAGCATTATTGGTGATGACGACGACGACTAAAGAGCAGCTAGACATAGCAACCCCCTGTCTGTATTATTGACGAACCACCAGCAGAAAAGTCGATCGAAAATGCAATGCGATACTGGTGGAAAGCTACAAAGCCATGGGTTGCGGAAGCCTGAAAAACCTGCTTAGGTCAGGTCCTGCGCGACGTCGACCTCGCCGATAATGCTCTCCTTGATGCGCAGCAGCAGTGTAATCTTCCACGGCTCGATCTTCGAAATGGTGTCAAACTGGAACACGGCATCGGCAAATGCGTCGGCGTTGAAAGCCTCGAAACTCTGGTTCATGGCCTGCAGGAACTTGCCCTCACGGCTGTCTGCGAACGTGTAGTCGATATCCTGGAACTCCTCCCACTTCATCTGCACAAGAACCATATCCTTGGTCGCCAGTGCACAGATGCCAGCATTCAGCAGGTGGCTCTTGGCGTTGAACTTGAGCAGGTTTGACTCCATGGAAGACTTCGCGATCGTCTCGTAAATCTCGCGCGCCGCGTCGTACCTTCGGGCAGCATCACAGCAGATTGTTAGCTGGTCACTTATTCAACCATTCCAGATTTTCTACACCTCTGATACTCACTTTTCCAGCTCAGCCGAGAATTGCGCCACCTTGAGCAGCATGTTGTTGGCCGAGGACGACTGGTTCTCTCCAGAAAAGTAGTCGGCAGCCTGGCGATAGGCCTCCAGCGCCTCCTCCTTGTTGTCCTGCTGCTCGTAGATCTCGCCAATCTGCTTCTGCAGCTTGGCGGCATTGGAGAAGCGACCGGCATCACACAGCATGGAGATCGCCGTCTTGAAGTGCACCATAGCGTCTGCAGACCACGAAAAAGTATCCATTGTCAGCTTCGATCAACCCACCTCCAGCCAGTGGCCAGCACTCACCCATGGGGTTCACCTTCGCCAGAGCTTCGGCCGCCTGTTGGTAAAACTGGGCAGCGCGCGAGTTCTCATTCAGGCGCGACTAAATAGAAAATAAAACAACAGCAGCATTAGTTTCATTTCAATCCGACTCGTGCACGACTTGACGAACGTTGACGTACTTGGCATCGCGCGCACTTCTCGTAGGCCTCCGCAGCCTTCTGCCCTGCATTGCAGCGAATAAATAAATAAATGTTGAATATATTAGATAAGCGAACAGAGAGAGAGAGAGCAGGAGGAATAAATGTTGTTATTGTAGCGCAGAAGCTCACAGTTCTTGGCGATCTTGAACTGGTTGCCCGCCTTCTCGAACAAGTCGCTGGCGTCCTCATTGCGCTGCGAGCTGGAGCCGAAGGAGAAGAAGGACGTCTTCTTCAGCGCCTTCTCGCCCTGCGCCAGGTAGTCGTTGGCCTTGGCTTCGGCGGACATGTCGGCAGCTCACTCGCTCGAGCCGAAAGAAGCCTTTGGACAATTCCCCCTTTGGTCGGAACGTAACGACGCCACACGGATGAATAATGTGGTACACACACATTAGAATATACTGAACTCGAGTCGTTTTTTTGAAGTGGAACTTCGACTTCAACGTCGTGTACTTCTCTACTTTTTTTAAGCTTAGTTATAAAGTAGGAAACTCGACCCTAGGTCGACTTCATGCAGCAGAGCATTTTGCAGTGTTTGCATCGCATTGCGCGGCTTTTTGCCGATCGAGGACATGACGACGTCCTCTGCCTGAGCAAAATCTGCGGGTGATACCGATCCTGCGTCAACGGGTTTGGCTTGCAACTGGTATCGAGCTCGGACGACGGACGAGCGCAGTGGGTCGGATGGCGATGGCGAGATGACTGTCCAAACTTTATCTTCGAACTGGAGTCAAGGAACCACGTGGATGCGCCGACCACTACAATGCGGTCGCCTTCGTCGTAGCGGCGGTAGATAACAACCCCGTCAATGTTTTGAGGTGCCTCACGAGAGTTGGCGACGCAATTCATCTCAAATGGATGAGGGTTGCTTTTGCGAATCTGGAAAGGAAGCGAACAATGCCGTTTCCATCGGAGAGTGAGTTCTCAGTACTTGGTATTGAGTAATGCAGTAGCCAACGTACCGAGTTGAAAGATTTGTCGACGTCGCTGCTGACAAACTGCCACAAAATGTCCGCGGCGTCCTGCATCGAACAGTTCAAGGGTGTGGCTGTGATCGTCTCGGCAACACGATGACCATCACCTTGGTGGCGTGTGTCTTGACTCCGACATGCAATCGCATAGGACTCTTTTTCTTGTGTCGAAAAAATTGTCCATGTTGCAAGACGCAGCGAATCCAATCCGCGTTCTAGGTCAGCCAGAACGGCGTTGCTGTAGTCGATCCGCGGCGGAAAAAGCGGAAGCGCGGGCTTATATTGGAAAATAAATTCTCGTCCCTAGTAAAAGCAGCGACCTCAATCTTTAGCCATACCAACAACACTACAGAGTAACTTGAGGGAGTACTTAGTAGATGAAATGGCAGCACGTACCTCGAAGACCCCTTGCTTTCCGAGCACTTTGAATGGCAGCGGCCGTCTCCTGCTGCTTATCCAGGATTGCCTTCAGCTCACGGTTCGTCCTCTCCGATCGCTTCCGCTCTTCGCACTCTATCGCAGCTAAACTCTGCCACGCACTTCCTCCTCCAACATTTGCAAGCGCCAAACGATCGTGGCGGAGCTGTTGTAGCTGAACCAACCGCGAATTCAGCTCCTCTCCTTTCTGTCGAAGATACATCAACTCGCTTCGTTTGCGACGCTGCAGCCCCGTTGTGTACGGTACTGGGCCTGGCTTCCTCCCTTTTTGCCTTTCTAAACGCTTGGTCACTACTACGTGTAGCCGGTGCGCTTGGCCTAATGCGACCTGTTTAGCATCCCCCGCTGAACCTTCGCCTTCACTCGAGACGCTGTCGTTGGTGCTGAAGCCACTTTCATTCAAGTCATCGAGAGTCCTGAGCTCATTGGCAAACATCGCACTGATGGAGCTCATCCGCAGCAATGGCCTCCGTCTAGCAGCTTACTGAGGTGCAGGAGAGATTTACAGATGTTAACGCCATTCCAGTTTACACATTCAAGTTCCAGACGAGGTCTTAATTTTGAAATCGAACAAAATGGGAACTTTTCAAACATTTACCCATTTTAAATGGACACTGCAATGACTAAGCAGATTGTCTAAGCTTACTGCTCGCCCGGGTGAAGACCAAGCCAGCCAGGCGACGGCTTGCCCTGCACTTCGCCGATGTACAGCGAGAACTTCTGGCGCCACTCCTCCGCCGCGGCACGGTCCTCCATGAACTTGGCAAAGGCAGCCATGTTGGCTTCTGGGATATCCCAGGGCTTGTTGGTGTTGATGTCCGTACGCGGGCTGTTGGACACCAGGGTCGTCTGTGCCTCCTCGGAGATGATCCAGTTCATGAACAGCTTGGCGGCGGCAGGGTGTTTCGCCTTGGACAGAATCCCCATACGTTGACCCCAGCCGAGGTACTCAGTGCCGTTGGTGACGAAAGTCAGCGAGTTGCCACGCACACTGCAACCCACGCCGATAGCCTTCTCACCGGAGGTTACCAGGTCACGGGCAACGTTCGTTCCCCGGTTAAAGCTGGCATTTTGCTGGACGAGCTTGGAGACCCAGTCCCAGCCGTACTTCTCCACATAGCGGGTAAACAGGAACAGCACGGCATCGTCGTCGTTCGGGTAGGACGAGGCGATCTTGCCAACGTACTTGGGGTCCACCAGGTCGGCCGGAGTAGCGGGCGGCTCCAAGCCATTGAGAGTGGTCGTGTTGTACACGAAGCTGAACTGGTAGATCGAGTACCCCAGCCACGCGCCGTTCTTGTCTCTCAGCGAGTTGTGGATCTTAGAAAAGTTGGCCGGCTTGTACGGGAGCAGGTCACCGGTCTTCGCCCACCGCGTGAAATCCTGCAGGGTCTGCAGCGCGACTACGTCAGGCACCAGTGTGTCGGTCTCCAACTGGTTATCGATACGCACGTCGTGGTACTTGCTGTAGTCGACGACAGCGGTGAAGTTCATCTTCGGGAAGCGCTTCACGAAGGCGTCGTGAAGAGTGTCCTGCGAAGTAGCAGTGTCGCCACCATGGTACAGAACAAGGTTGCCGCTTTCGGTGACAGCGTCCGCGTAAAGCTGGTCAATGGTCTTGGTCTCTTCACCGGAGTTGGACTTCGCGACAGCGTCAGACGAAAGCAGGGCAAAGACGACAAGCAGTGGAGCAAAGAACTTCATGGCCGGTGGTTCTCGAGGCCGAAAGGTGGCGCTGGGTATTGAACGACTTGGTGCCGAGGCAGTGAATTTGAGAATGAAACTTGTTGGGCGATTGCAGCCTTGGGCCTCTCATTCACGTCTGAGAGTCCTATCGGCCCGATGTTGATTCGACAGTCGCGAGCATTGCTGTCCGTGGTTCAATGCCCGCACTTGGCAACCCGACCGGCTCAAGCGGGCAAGGCCATAACGACATTCTGGATGACGCTGGTCCTCAAAGTGTACAGAGCGATACGCAGGCTACCGGTAAAATGAGAGGCGGTCTCTAAGAGACCATTCATAATGTACTGTACATACAGTACAGCCATATTCAGTGAATATTATTAACACCCACACTACTGTACCTGACAACTGTTGTTGCGGAATTAAGATCTATCATGTTACTCTTACAGTAAAACGGCCCCCTGCTACATGTACGTGTGTACAAGCAAAGTGAGGAGAAACTCTCACAGTTCGCAGCTCCGCCAAACTCGTTGGCCAGCAATACAGTGGTGCACCGCGTTTTCGGCACCGGTATAAATCAATACCCCAAGATAGTAGATTGGAATTTGACTACATTACAAGTAATACCAGTGACCTACCATATATGATTTCTTGCTATAGCCGATTTATGTACCCATTCCGAATACGCGGTGCACCACTGTACATGCCAGTCGTTATTGTAGAACTGGAGTGCATAGCAAAAACTCCCATCCCGGTTATCCGCCTTCTCTTTGTGGATCGTGGTACTCAATGAATACCACTAATATATAGTGCTTTTCAGTTGTTTTGGCGAATCGGACGTGTAAAACAGTTACCAGTCCGTTCCAGATCTACTGGAGGTTTGAGCACGTTTGGCTCGCAATTGGTTAAAAATAGTTATAGAGCGAATGGCCGCCCACACCCTCGACGACCTGGTGGCCAACGTGAAGGTGGCGCTGGACGAGCTGCCGCCGGCAACACTGGACGCGGGCTTCTAGACGCTCCAATGCGTGATGAACGATTGTGTTGCTGGTGGTGGTGACAACACATTCAAGATTCGACACATGTCGAAGTCGAAGCTTGCGCGGGAGGGACGACTTCCACGGTGCATCAAGTGCTCTGTTACTACTGCCTCATTTCTGCCTCCTCTCGATCGATCTGCAGATTCTGGCCATAGTGAAACTAGTACTAGTATTTTCCTATAGTTGAGGAACAAGCTAAATAGTGGTACATATCAATAGATTTGGAACGGACTGGTACCTACTAAGATGGGGCTAGGTTATCGGAGCAGATTAGCAGGTCCCTCGTAGGGAATTAGGACCAAGAATTGCTAGTCCGATGGAAGCACTTGCGCAGGTCCTACAAACAGCCGAAAGCCCGAATGTCGCTCATTTTCACGGCATTCGCGGTTTGAGGTCTTACGAAGGACTCCTGCCAAGTCTTGTGGCAGGACTTTCATACGAGCTGACTCTAATACGGCGTATGCCATACGCAGAATAAACTTAGGGAAACACGATGCAGTCGATACGTTAAACACTCCAGTCTTCGCCCTTCGCCTTCGCGGGTTCCGGCATTGCTTGCTTCCCTAAACAAAGCTTGCTTGACTTGGACTCCAACCGGAGTCCATTGAACGGAGAGAGTCCGGGAGACCGCTCATCGGGCTCGTCCGAGATTTGCATCTCAGATTTAGAGACCGCCAACCTCAGATTAACTGACCTACAAAGTCCTACGTAGGACTCGGCAAAATGACCGAAAGGCACAATACAACATGTACACCATTTCAAGGCCAAATTGAGAGAAGTCAAAATCAAAACAAAAACGACCAAAATCAAAACAAGAGAGATCAAGAAAAAGGGAATTGTCCCGGTCAAAATTTTCCGGATGGAATTTTCTGTTCGACATAGAGTGGGCAAGTCAGTTGCTCTGTACAATATATTCGGTCTTGAAGGTGATTAGATGATATGCATATACAGGATTGCAGGTTTTCTCAATTTGCTTTTGGCGGTTCTCAATTTGAAGCACGACTTCTCTCCATTTTGGTGTACATGTACCCTGAATACTATTCATAATGTGCCGATAACGTAAGTATCTGGCATCACGTAATCTCGCTTTTTCATAAACAATATATTTTCATTTCAATTTATTTAGTACAAGTTTGTATGTATTTTTATTCGGAGTCTAATCTTTGATAGTGTTCACGGTCGTCGAGGCCATCGTTATCGCGCGACACGCAGACGTAATACTGTACTCATCATGATATGCGCCCATATCGATTCTTCTTTTGGCAACTATTGTAGGTGTTGTCTTTGTATGAGTAGGATAAACGCTCTTGCCTACTGGTAATAAGTGCAAGACCCCTGAGGGCTCAGTTGATGCAGTAGCATGCGAACTTTAGTGTGTGTGTGCAGGGGCGGATCTTCAGTCAAAATGGGGGGGGCATGTGTGCGGGCAACAATACTGTACAGTACTGCCCGAGTAAGGAACGCCTGATATATATAAAAACGCAGAATATATCAATTGATGTTAAGTTGAGTATACTTTCCAATGTACTGATTTAGTTCTTTCAAAATGAACTGAAGAGCACCTTTACCTACGAGTCCGGAATGATTCCAACAGTGGCGTATGGTCGAAGCACTAACCTTTGACCAGGCATCCTCGCACCACAACAGCGCTGTCAAATGGGTGGAGTGGGGGAGGAGGTGGGCTTGTGGGGCGAGGTGCAAAAGCAAAAGTACGAGTCTACCACTACGGTACATGTCGTTTGAAGTCTAGTAAGATCGCTAAATGCGCGCCATTTTTCAAACGAGGGTGGAGAGCTGATGATTGGCACTGGATTTTTCACCTTAGTACCTCAGTACCTTGCAGTACCTTGCACATCCCCCTATCGCCACATCGACTGGAAAATAATATTAAATATGTGAGGCTATTAGTTGTACACCCGTTCGTTATTCGGGCAGAATTCTGTACATGCTTTAACTTTACGGGGGGGAAATGCTGCCCTTGTCACAACTTGAGTGGGCAGCATTTTCAACTGTTGTGGGTGTCACGTGGTACCCTACCTTGCTTACCGTAGCAGATTCTAGTACTGTTTCCGCTTTACCGACTTTCCAGCGCCACGCTTTTGCTTCAACCTGTAACAACAGAGACCAATCCGCGAGGCTTAGAGTCCCCCGTCAACGTCGACCGATCACGTGAACTGGTGTGTGGTTGCAGTCACACGTTGCAAGCCCTGACCTTCAATGTGGCGAACAAACTGTACATCAAAGGTTTGACCTTGAACGGCAGTACACCTCCCACCAACTCGATTTCGTTGTGGGATACAGTAATGTGCGTCAATAAGGAACCGCTGATATGGATAGAAGCAAGGGGGCTATTGGACCAAACAGTGTAACAAAGCCGGTTCCATGAACTGGATTAGTGTATAAAACAAGTATTAGATGGTTTACTTCCCAGTCAACCCCAATCAATGGTTCATCTAAATCATTACTACTAGCAGGAAACAGGGCTCCTCCCACCCAGCTGTTTATTATATGTACAAGGAAATTAGTTCCTACGCGTTCTTTATTGACGCACATTACTGTACATGTATTAAGAGCTAATACATACTGTAGGGTCTCGGTTGAATGCATGCTGTACAGATCAGTTTTTAGCCTCGAAACTCAACGGGAACACTTCATGATGAAGTCGATCAGGACCGGGTCCTGGACCAGGACTCCTGGTCGACTCGACGCATCAAATCACTCGTGAGTACACTGGTACGCCAAGTTTACTTACACCGCCACACCGTCAACCAAGAAATGGCGGTACGATCGGCTTGCTGTACGATTCGTGGTGTACAGTGTACACTGTACACGACTCCAACGCGCTGTGTACGCAGATATTCACACTAGATACCCAGGAGTTCGTCTTGCTTGGTCAGCTTGACAAGCCTGTCATTCTTCAACTTCCTTTCACTGCATCAAGCTTCACTCCCACTCGCCCATTGTCTAGCCGAGATGCAGCTTTTTGCCCCGCTCCTGGTAGTTCTCGCCGTCTTCTCGTCTACCACCACGGCCAAGTCCGCGGAGGAGTCCAAGACCATCGACGATCTTTACGCTGATGCGGTAGCCGAAGGAGGTAACCTTGTCCTGTACCATGGCGGTGACACTCCTACCCAGCAAGACGGACTCCACGCAGCCTTCACGCAGCGCTTCCCGGAGATCAACTTCACTGCAGTCGTTGACTACAGCAAGTACCACGACGTCCGCATTGATAACCAACTGGAGACCGACACCCTCGTCCCTGACGTGGTCGCTCTTCAAACGTTGCAAGACTTCACGCGTTGGGCTAAGGCTGGCGTGCTACTCCCCTACAAGCCTGCCAACTTCTCCAAGATCCACGACTCGCTCAAGGACAAGAACGGCGCGTGGATGGCGTACACGATCTTTTCTTTCGGCTACATTTACAACTCAAGTGCGCTCGACGGTGTAGCGGCACCTACCACCCCCGCCGATCTCGTAAACCCGCAATGGGCTGGCAAGATCGCGTCAACGTACCCTCATGACGACGACGCTGCGTTGTTCCTGTACACTCGCTACGTGGAGAAGTACGGCTGGGACTGGGTCTCTAAGCTTGCCCAGCAGAACGTCAGCTTTAACCGTGGATCCAACGCCGCCGGAGAACTTGTGAGCTCCGGGGAGAAGGTGATTGGCGTCGGAACAAGCGGCTTCGGTGCTTCGATCGAGTTCGTTGGCGGCAACGGCACAGACTTCCTCAGCTGGGGGCAGCGTGTTGGCATCTTGAAGAAGGCCAAGCACCCCGCTGCTGCGAAGCTTTTCATGAACTGGGCCGTATCCGAGGAGGCCCAGACGACGGTGGTCTTCTCCAGTGTGCCAGCACCGACAAGCCCTGGGACATCCCGGAGGCGAACATGGCTGCCTTCCCCAAGTTCATGGAGGACCGCGCCAAGGTGGAGCAGTGGAAGCAGACCTTCGCGCTGTACTTCGGCGAGGTGCAGGGTGAGCCGAGCCCAGGTTTCCTTGGGCTGCACCCTGGTCAGTGAAGTGCATGCAATATGTAGTTTGTGACAAAACATTTGTCACTGAGGAGAAGTATTGTTGCTCGCTCAAATACACGGAGTTTGATTGTTATGTTTGCGTGAGCTGTACACATCGATAGCGATCGTCACGCAATATTAGGAAGCAGGTCCTGCGATCCACCCGGCTGGCGTCGGTGTCGCGCCAGGCTAAAAAGCCGATGGTTCCTCGGAGGAACTCCTCTTTGAGGAGCTCTCAAGCATTGTTTGTGGCAGTGGAGTCACGCCACTTGCTCGTGAGTTTATGAGCAGGCACCGATTCCAGATCGCCCATCCGAACCTTCAGCAGTTCGCGAGAGCCATCTGCAGATCAAAGGTGCTCACGTAGTTCAAAGATTCGCTGCGGTTGGCGGTCAACTTGGAACTCAACTGGTGAGACGACATCGCGTGGGGGAGTGTGAGATGCTCGTCATTAGCTCAGCGGCGTCAATCATTTCCTATTTTGCCGACCATCGACCAGACTCCCAAGTTACCCAAGGCCGACGCAAAGATGAAGTTCTTCACTCCAATCGCGGCTGCGCTCACTCTTCTCGCAGCACCTGCCTTGGCCGTAGAAGAAGAGACCAAGACGCTCCAAGAGCTGTACGCCGGTGCCATCGCTGAAGGTGGCAAGCTGATCTTTTAACCGCTGTACTGGCAAAGCAAAGCGGCTGGCAGACAAACTGGCGGTAACGACGTGGCAGCACCACTTGCGTGCTCACAACAGAATGGCGGACGCCCTCGCCAACATGGCGATGGACTCACGCCGCAGTTTTAAAAAAATACCCACTCGAATTTGCGTAGGTCACTGGATGGAGCAGAACAGTGATGAGAACTCCTCGGAGTTCGTGGCCTTCACCCGTTAGTGTGGAGATGGCTCTGGCTGCGGTGTCACCTACCCCTTTGGGATCGCGATCCCGGTTATGGCCCTAAGGGCCGGTCGGTTAGAGACGACCACCGACAAGGCCATAGGTGTCGTTAGCCAAAGAAGTTAAGTGACATCAATGTATTACCTCACTGCGAAACGAAACGAAAGCTGATCTTTTACCACGGCGGTGACCTGACCAACCAACAAGACTCGCTGAAGGCCGCATTCGAAGAAGCATTCCCCGGCGTCAATGTCACCATGGTCGTCGACTACAGCAAGTACCACGACGTGCGCATTGACAACCAGCTCGAGACCGACACGCTCGTGCCGGACATCACGGCGCTCCAGACCGTGCAGAACTTCCCTCGCTGGGCAAAGGCGGGTGATCTGCTGGAGTACAAGCCGGCCAACTTCTCCAAGATCTATGACGGGCTCAAGGACGAGAACGGGGCTTGGCTGGCGTATGGTGTGAACTCGTTCAGCTACATCTACGACTCGAGCAACCTCGGCGGGCTGGACGCACCCGCGTCTCCGTCAGATCTGGTGAACCCCGACTGGGCGGGCAAGATCGCTTCATCGTACCCGCACGACGACGACGCCGTGCTGTTCGTCTAGCAGTACGGCTGGGAGTGGGCTGCCGCAATGGCCAACCAGAGCATCAGCTTCAACCGCGGTTCGCACGTGGCGAACAACCTGGTCACGGCCCAAGAAAAGGTCATCGGTGTGGGCACCTACGCCGGTGCGTCCCCCATTGTGTACGTGGGCGGCAACGGCACCGAGTACTTGACGTGGGGCCAACGTCTCGCTGGCCAAGGCGAAGAACCTTGCGGCTGCCAAGCTCTTCATGAACTGGATCGTGTCCACCGAGGTGCAGGAGTCTGTGGTGATGGAGACCGTGCGCACGGACATCGCTCCGTCTGGATCGAGCCACCCGTGGGAGATTCCGGAGGCCAACCTGGACGCCTTCCCGTCTTTCATGGCCAACCGCACTCAGGTGGAGGCACTGAAGCAGACCTTTGCGCTTTACTTTGGTGAGGTGCAAGGTGAGCCCACGCCAGGCTACCTGGGTGTCCACCCGGGGCTCTAGACCGACTAAGTAGTGTGGGGTGTTAATACGAAGTAGTGAAGCTACGAGTGTACTACTTGTTTTGAAGACGGAGTGCTCTGTAAGTGCAAGTTTTTGCGGCTAAATGATGTGATGACCACCGATCCGAGCACGTTGTCAATTCTCACTTCGTCACCAAGATCATCTTATTATACATCTTGGCAAGATGTAATGTTTTATCGTAAGTGTTGATCCAAAGTTCTACTAGTAGTAAGATGGTAAGGAATGCATTGATATCCACCTCGCCCCGTGCACTAACATTTTTCATGTGCTATTGCACCTTACAGACCAGGGTGCACGCCAAGGAAGCCCGGCGTCGGCTCGCCCTGCACCTCGCCAATGTACAGCGTGAACGTCTGCTTCCACTCTTCCACCGCCGCGCGGTCCGCCATGAACTTGGGGAACTCGTCCACGTTCGCCTTGCAGATCTCCCACGGGTGGCTGGAGCCGTAGTTGGGCGTCAAGTCCACGCGCACGTTCTCGGCCACAACCGTCTTCTGCACGTCCTCCGAGATGGCCCAGTTCATGAAGAGCTTGGCGGCCGCCGGGTGCTTGGCCTTGTTCAAGATGGCGATGCGCTGGCCCCACGCCAGGTACTCGTTGCCGCCATCCGTCACGAACGTTACGTTGGGCGTGCCTTCGGAGTACGTGCCGACACCAATGACCTTGTCCTTGGCCGTCACGAGATCGCTGGCCGTATTGGAACCGCGGCGGAACGTGACGTTCTGGTTGGCCAGGTCTTCGACCCAGTTCCAGCCGTACTTCTCGACGTAGCGCGTGTACAGGAAGAGCGCGGCGTCGTCGTCGTTCGGGTAGGTGGATGCGATTTTACCTGACCATTGTGGGTCCACGAGGTCGGCCGGCGACTTGGGTGCCGCGTTCCCGTCCAGCGCGGTCTCGTCGTACAGGAAGCTGAAGGTGAACATCATGTACGCCATGTAGGCGCCACGCTGGTCGCGGAAGCCGTCGTAGACCTGCGAGAAGTTGGCGGGCTTGTACTCGAGTAGTTTGCCCTCCTGCGCCCAGCGAGGGAAGTCCTGCAGCGTCTGCAGCGCGACGAGGTCGGGAACGAGCGTGTCGGTCTCGAGCTGGTTGTCAATGCGCACGTCGTGGTACTTGCTATAGTCAACGATGAGCGTGAAGTTGATCTCCGGGAAGGCCGTGGTGAAGGCCTCGTGCAGCGAGTCCTGCTGCGACTTGAAGTCTCCGCCGTGATACATGACGAGGTTGCCTCCTTCAGCGACAGCGTCGGCGTAGAGCTCCTCGAGAGACTTGGTCTCTTCCTGGACGGCGAGGGAGGTGGACGCGAGGAGTGCACAGCAGGCAGCGATGACGGGTGCGAAGGGCTTCATGGTGCGATGCAAGCGGTTGTCTGTAGTGGTGGAGGGTGTTGTGGTGCGGTCTCCGGTAAATTGAAGAGTGAGGATCTGTCCGTGGTTTGCTGTGCGTGTGCAGCTAGCTGCTGGTTTCCTTTGAGTGCGTGCTGCGGCGAGTCCTGCTTACTCGATCTGTGGCTGGCATCGTGGTTGTTTTCTTCATCAGTCGCGTGATGTGCTTTGTCAAGCATCCGGGATGCTGCATACCACAGCCTGTGCCAAGGTTCGTTGACAACAATGACAATGTTTGTGGGATGCGGTTAGGGGTGATAACGTGGCACAGAGTTTGCGTCAGCTTCTGGTGTCCGGGCGGTGTTGCCGCGTTTTCTATGGATGAAAGGTTGCTTGGGGACTGTTGCGACAGGACGCAAACATGCAAAAAACAAACGGACAACGGGCTCACGTCAAATGAAATACCGCACAGCGATCGATTGCGATCTTCCTGAGCTTTCGTACGGGGTCTGTTTACGGGGCTGAGGAAAGAGCGGTTCCAAGACCTGTCCGGTTTTTCATCTCTGTTCGGGCCTTGGCCTGTTGCACTAAGAAAACCGCGCCTGCAATCGCAGCACTAGTGCGTTGGTGGAAGGGTCGAGATTGGAGGTCCTGCAGCAACGACAGGGGATTGGAGGTCCAGCAGCAACGACAGGAGAGCTTCTCGACCCTTTCACCAACGCACTAAGGGGATTGGCCAGTTTAGTAGAGCAAACTGAATTATTGACTTTGAAAAGTATTTTCTTGAAAACTACCAATCTGTTGGAGATAAAACGTGTACGCAATGAAAGCCCTAGATTTGCTCTAACATGTGCACCAATCCAGACACAGTTAGCAGCTATGAAAGTGCTATTGTAGCACGCCAAAGAAAGCATACCTGCAGTATGCTGCGATCAGTTTAGTAGAGCGGAATAATACTGGTCTTTGTATCGAAGTACCATATGGAAACGCGTGGTAAGAGTTTTATAGCCAACCAAAGCACGTATTTCACTATTTCAGCGATATTACTGGTTCTACTAAACTGGTCAATTCTACTAAACTGGCCAAAACCCTTAGCGCTGCGATTGCAGGCGCGGTTTTTTTAGTGCAACAGGCCAAGGCCCGAACAGAGATGAAAAACCGGACAGGTCTTGGAACCGCTCTTTCCTCAGCCCCGTAAACAGACCCCGTACGAAAGCTCAGGAAGATCGCAATCGATCGCTGTGCGGTATTTCATTTGACGTGAGCCCGTTGTCCGTTTGTTTTTTGCATGTTTGCGTCCTGTCGCAACAGTCCCCAAGCAACCTTTCATCCATAGAAAACGCGGCAACACCGCCCGGACACCAGAAGCTGACGCAAACTCTGTGCCACGTTATCACCCCTAACCGCATCCCACAAACATTGTCATTGTTGTCAACGAACCTTGGCACAGGCTGTGGTATGCAGCATCCCGGATGCTTGACAAAGCACATCACGCGACTGATGAAGAAAACAACCACGATGCCAGCCACAGATCGAGTAAGCAGGACTCGCCGCAGCACGCACTCAAAGGAAACCAGCAGCTAGCTGCACACGCACAGCAAACCACGGACAGATCCTCACTCTTCAATTTACCGGAGACCGCACCACAACACCCTCCACCACTACAGACAACCGCTTGCATCGCACCATGAAGCCCTTCGCACCCGTCATCGCTGCCTGCTGTGCACTCCTCGCGTCCACCTCCCTCGCCGTCCAGGAAGAGACCAAGTCTCTCGAGGAGCTCTACGCCGACGCTGTCGCTGAAGGAGGCAACCTCGTCATGTATCACGGCGGAGACTTCAAGTCGCAGCAGGACTCGCTGCACGAGGCCTTCACCACGGCCTTCCCGGAGATCAACTTCACGCTCATCGTTGACTATAGCAAGTACCACGACGTGCGCATTGACAACCAGCTCGAGACCAACACGCTCGTTCCCGACCTCGTCGCGCTGCAGACGCTGCAGGACTTCCCTCGCTGGGCGCAGGAGGGCAAACTACTCGAGTACAAGCCCGCCAACTTCTCGCAGGTCTACGACGGCTTCCGCGACCAGCGTGGCGCCTACATGGCGTACATGATGTTCACCTTCAGCTTCCTGTACGACGAGACCGCGCTGGACGGGAACGCGGCACCCAAGTCGCCGGCCGACCTCGTGGACCCACAATGGTCAGGTAAAATCGCATCCACCTACCCGAACGACGACGACGCCGCGCTCTTCCTGTACACGCGCTACGTCGAGAAGTACGGCTGGAACTGGGTCGAAGACCTGGCCAACCAGAACGTCACGTTCCGCCGCGGTTCCAATACGGCCAGCGATCTCGTGACGGCCAAGGACAAGGTCATTGGTGTCGGCACGTACTCCGAAGGCACGCCCAACGTAACGTTCGTGACGGATGGCGGCAACGAGTACCTGGCGTGGGGCCAGCGTATCGCCATCTTGAACAAGGCCAAGCACCCGGCGGCCGCCAAGCTCTTCATGAACTGGGCCATCTCGGAGGACGTGCAGAAGACGGTTGTGGCCGAGAACGTGCGCGTGGACTTGACGCCCAACTACGGCTCCAGCCACCCGTGGGAGATCTGCAAGGCGAACGTGGACGAGTTCCCCAAGTTCATGGCGGACCGCGCGGCGGTGGAAGAGTGGAAGCAGACGTTCACGCTGTACATTGGCGAGGTGCAGGGCGAGCCGACGCCGGGCTTCCTTGGCGTGCACCCTGGTCTGTAAGGTGCAATAGCAATGGAACAGTACCATTATTGCAACGAATCATGCACACATACGTCATAAAGATAAAGCATACAGTAAATAATGGCGAACGCACCTACAAGGAGCTGTGTTAGGCCTTCATTAACTTGCAAACCACGACCAAGGGTAATAATGTACCCAATTGAAATACCACTTCACATCCGCATGAAGTTTTCAGACGTTAATCAGTGTACAGCCACTCGTTCCTCTGCTTCTGCTTCTTGGCCTTCTTCTCCGCCGTTATTTTCTTCCAGTCAATGTGTTTTCGCTTGAGTTGCTCCTTCCTACGTCTTGCCTCTTCTCGGTTCTTCTCCAGCTCCGTCATGTCAAAGAAGTGGCTCATTTGCCGCCCTGCGCGATCCGGTGCTATTCCGGCATTCTGCCAGTATTCATCACCACCAAGTTGCTCGTACTTGCCTGTCAGCCGGTTAAACTTCGCACGCGCAACGTAGTTCACGCCCGAGACGGTCTTCCGCCCCGCAGCAGTCGAATCTGACTCCGATTCCTCGGGCGGGATCCAAATCGCCAACTAGACAAAAAATATGTCCACAATATGGTTAGTAGTGAGTGCGCCATTCGCTACTGTAAAGCACAAAACAATGCTTGAACCATCAAAAACTCCAGACAACTTACCCCTGAAACAATAGGCGCATCTGGCTTATTCCACTGCGTGACACCAGTTACTTCGTTATGGTAGTAATACCGCTGCGTCTGCGCGTCGACATGTTGCTGCCATTCCGCTTTTGCGGTTCGTGGAGCATCAGCACCGTCTCCATCAACATGAGCCGCGGCAGCAGCAGGAGGAGCGCTACTGTCAATCCCGCTTAAAATGGCATTCAGCTTGCTGAGATTGCCCGACGGGTCCAGCACTTGCTGCGTCACTCGTGTGAGGCGTTCCGTGCGCATCCGGTTCAGATGGGCCTGATACTCGGCAGAAACCTGGGGAGCAGCGAGCTGCGCTGCTGCTGCTGATTCATCGAAGTGCTCAGGCTCTTCCCACTGCGTTTGCCCTGTGCTGGCATTGTAGTAGTACGGCTTGTTGCTGGCAGCGTCCACGTACTTCACCCACTGAGTAGCCGCCGCAGTAGTAGACTTGTCATCATTAGCCGCAGTAGTAGACTTGTCATCATTAGCCTCTTTTCCCTCCTTCTTCCCGTTCTCAGTCTTGTTATTGGCCTGCGTTTCGTCCTCCTGGCTTGTATCCTCTCCTGCCTCCCCCGTCTCCTCTTCCTGCTGCGGTGTGTCCTCACCATCGTCAGTCTTCTCGCTCTTTTCGGTCTCGTGGTCTTCTTCTTCGTCTACTTCTTCTGGAATAAAACCATCCGGTTTGTCCCATCGACTGGTGCCGCTCACTTCGTCGTAGTAGTAGGTGGTGCCAGACTCGTCGTCCACGAATGCACGCCACTTGGGGGGCTTGTCTTCGCTCAGATCTTGCGCCCGCGGAGACGTGAAGCCCGCAGGGACCTCCCACGACGACTCGCCCGTGCGCATGTTGTAGTAGTACGCTGTGCCCGAGGCCTCGTCCACGTGTTTCTCCCACTCGCGCTCGTCGCCGTCGCCATCCGTGCCGGTGGTCATCGAGTTGTTTTTGCTTACGACTGCGAAACAAGTTCTAATTTTATTTGATTCAAATTGAACCGAATCAGATTTAAATAATTAGAATCTGATTCGGTTCAATTTTGAATCAATATATTAAAATTTAGGTCTAGCGTTTAGAACATATAAATTTTCAATTATATGGAGTTTAGCCCATACTGATCTGGAACACTTGAAGTGCTCCGGATCGGTAGCAGGCGGCGGAGTGCAGCAGATAGAACTCCCAGGTGCGCTTGAAGGATTCTGGGAGCAACGGCATGCGTTGCAGCTGACCCATGTGATCTGTCGACGCAACTTGGCCAGCTCCGCGAGGTGGCGTGTCTTGGCCCCATTGAGCTTGGAATCGCCGGTTCCACTCAAGGAATGTGCGCTCGTAGTGGTCCGAGTAGCCGACTGTGTCTTGAAGCGTGAAGCCCGTCTCTCCGGCTAGTCGGCGCATGAGCGGCAGCGTGAGAGCGTAGCAAGGATAGGCGCTGTGCACGTACTTGTTGGTCCATGCATGGGTCGTCATGTGCGCGGCCGTGCAGGCGCTGAACTCCAGCAGGGTCGTGCCGTTTGCCGTTTGGATGCGCTTCAGCGTGCGGAGGAATCGCGTACGTTGAACGTCTGGCACAGTCTCCACCACACCACACAATGTGATACGGTCGAACTTGGAGGCGCGGAAACCACTCAGAATTGTAAGCAGCTTCTCGGGGGACTCTGCTACCACGAGCTCCATTTGGTCGAAGACGTCGAGCTCGCGAGCGAACTTCTTGGCTCGGGCAAACTCCTGGACAGAAGATAGAACGCATACAATGGTCGCATCGGGGTGCTGTTGGGCAAGGTAGCAACCCACTCCTCCCCACGAGCCGATACTGATGTCCAAGACAGTGTGACCAGCCTACCGTACAATAAACAGAAAGGTTAGCGCAAGTAGCTCACACGAGTCATGCGCGCTGTACGTGAGACTCTAAACCCACCCGAATGTCCAGCAGTTGGTCCAAATTTGCAAGCTTGTTGGTCTGCGCAACGTCAATGGATGCTGTGCCGGCAGTCCAAATGCCAAAGCCTTGGTGGAAGTAGCGGTCCATGTATCCGTGTCGAAACTCGGGGCACAAGTCAAACTGCTCCGAGACAGCGCCAACCACGAGGCCCATAGACGACGGCGGGTAATTGAACAAACGCGCAGCCAATGCCACGAAACGTGCGCTCCAAGACCGGTACATCTCCTGTCTACCTTCCATCGGAATCGTAAGCAGGCTGGCGACCACCTCGTCCAATGTCCGTGCGGAGTTTGTCGCCCACAAACAACCCACGTATGACTCGCCAATAGCCACAAGCCCTTCACTCATCCAGTCGAGCCAAAACGAGTCATCTCGAACGATGAAGTCCTGAACGCAGCGACATGATGTTAGATGTCGTGTTAATCGCGGGGAGATTCCTCCGCCAGACGTGTAAGGCAGGCATGCTCCTACCAGATTTGGGCGAATGCCGCCGCTGGACAGCAGACGACACATGATTGTCTTCGCATTTCGACGCAGTTTCGGCAAAGAAAGCGATCGAATCAACTGGAGGCAAAACAGAACAGATCCAGCGATTGCCGTCGCGACATACACCCAGAAAGACCTCTGTCACGCATGCACCAACAGCAACACCAAAAGAGATATCCGGCAATGCAATTAGAAAAACTTAGACACGTCTATCAGCATCCGATAGCCGGATAAATCGCCTTTCACATTACTACCTGGTGTGCCAAGACGCAAAAGAGCGGAACGAGCAGGTTCAGCATGAGCTCCATCTTGTATGCGGCATTCCAGAAGTGCTGCGAGCGCGGCGGAGAGAAGCGATAGATGTGGTCAGCCTTGGGGAAGACGCCTCCACCCACCACAAAGTGGCTCCACAGTCGTGACGATCTGCTCGAGCATCAACACAATAAAACATATCAGCGTCAGATTCAGGGCCCTTCAACTCAACAAGCATCTCCACTCCGTCCTACATTAAAGCTGGAACACTCATCCAGACACGGACAAGCGGCAGGTAGCACGAGACCAGCAGCATTGGCACCAGCAGATGGAGCAAGATGTCCCCCACCCGAGCTGCGATGCCGAGCAGAGGCGAGCTAGCCCAGACCCCGAGCCAGCCGTTCAGGATGGCTGTGAAGGCGTAGCGGTCGAAGACGCGCAGGGAGTACCAGCCCACCATGATGGTGATGCCCATGGAAGTGGCGATACCCAGCGCAGCCTCCGACGCCAGCAGGTGCGCAATCACGGTGAAGGCGAACCAGCAATTGGTGTACATGGTGCGGATGCCCACGAGTGGGGGCAGCACGACCACGCTGAACAGCAGCGCCACCGCCACTGCTGCGTCTACATGGTCGTCAGTCTGCACGGCGTCGTGGCTGGCGCGGCCTAGAGCACCCCAGCCCAGCATCGTGTCCATCTTGTGAGCACTTGGTCGAAAGTCGCGGAGTGAGCTGCTCGCCACAGCCTCAGATTTCTGACGTCGGAAAGTCGATGTCGTAAGATTTACTTGAGAGTAGTATGCGGATTAGGATAAAAGCTAGTACGTTCTCAGAGCAGCAGGATTGACCAAGGATTGCACCAGTGTGCGCCGAGGATGGCACCAGCGTGTCGAGTTGGCTGTGTCTACAGTAGAGGGTAGTGGAGACTTTTGTGTTGCTTTGGGATAGTAAACATGCACGATCTATTGGTGACCATATTACAAGCTCGGCTCTAGGAAACACTGGACCACGAACTCGTGAACGCCTGCTCGGTTCGCGAGTACACACAGCATTGGGATAGTAAAGTTGTAGGCCAGCTCGATCTTGCGAACTGCCAACCAAAACGCCTTGGGGCGCGGCGGGTAGATGTGGTAGATGCCGTTGCCCGTTAGACTGAGGTCTCCACCGGCGACCAACTTGATCCACAATTGGGAGAAACTGCATGCATACACACACGCCACGTACACAGTGAGTATAATAGCTTGGCTCACACAACACAGACATATCAATTTCCGACAAGCGGCACTTACATCAGGATGGGTGCTGTCATCCAGAAGCGCACGAGCGGCAGGTAGCAGAACGCGAGCATGAGCGGCACGCCCATGTGCAGCAGGAGATCGACGGAGTTGGCTAGCAGCTGGAAGGGGCGATATTTGCTCAAGAAGCCGAACCAGCCTTGCAGGATGCCCATGAACGTGGTCCGGTCAAGCGCGCGCAGCGAGTACCAGCCCATCATGATGGTGAGCCCCAGCGACGTAGCCATGCCCAGCGCCGCCTCCGACTCGGTCACGTGCGCCAGCACCGTAAAGCCCACCCAGCAGAAAGTGTAGAGGATACGCACGCGCAACAGCACAGGCAACAGCGTAATGGCGAACAGCAGCGCAACGGCCTGGACGGCGTCCGAGCCCAGCGGCGTCGACCCAGTGGCGCGCTGCTCTCCATCGCGGACCCGCAGCACCGTACGCGTCAGCGTGTCATGCGCCACTGTGAAAAGATCAGAAGCATCCATTTCCGCGCCGCGCAGGACGAGTGGCGGCGAGCGTGACGCGCCGCTGGATCAGATCGAAGAATAAAGCAGCGGTTGTTCCTCTCTGGAGTGGTGAGACTCGAAGTGGTACAACCGATATTCCGACTTGATGACGCGAGTTCACATACCCATCTACTTTCCTCATAGTTTACCTCTTGATGAGGTAAAGTAACAGGGTACTATGTACGCTCTATGTGCTATTATGGTTTTTGAGTTCCGACGAAACATTTCAGTTTTTCAACGGTCGATCGATCGATCGCCCTGCGGTGCCCAGTCGTGAGGTTATCCGTGAGTGTGGAGGCGTTTACCACGGCAAAAGTTTTCTACGCAGCGGAGCACAGATAGTCTTCATCGCAGTAGCGTTGCCAACGCTATGCCGTCGGCGTCTTCCTCCAGCCGCTGAAAGACAAGGGCAGAGAAGAGAGAGCAGGCACTGGCGTCGGTGATATCGGTGATATCGCTCTGTGGTAAGATAAGATAGAATAAGACCTGCATTGGACTTTACTGCTGCTGCCGCTGGCACGAATGCTGCGTAGGTTTTGGCTTTTCACGAGGCGTACGTGATACCTGGCACAGGCCTGCGGCTGTACAGGACGACGTTCCGCGACCAGTTGGTCTTGCCTAGCTGGGCCTTGAAGCGGAAGCGACCAGCGGCCAGCAGAAACGCGTCGATCTTCTCCACCACGTCCGTTCGCACCTTGATCTCCTTGAAGGACCGAGGCACCTCGACTCGCATGCGCTTCAACCGCGTATGCGCATTGCTATTTGTGCACAACAAAATAAAGTAATTAGTACGATTGGTAGCAGCATGTTCCCTCCCATACAACCATTCACGTACCGATAGCATTTCCACGTCTGCGGCTCGATGATCAGGTGCTCCGTCATATCGCTGACCGTTTCCAGGAACTTCCAGAGGCCGTCGTCTCCGTTGTTCAGGTGGATCCACATCGTCACACTAAAGCACGTGATGAGATCGAACTTTCGCTCCGCTGTCGAGCGCGTCGCCAGCTCCAAGAAAGGCGTGATCTCCTTGCTAAACTTGCTCGTCATGACATCAACATGGCGAAACTGCACTGCATCCCCCTCCGTCAACTGCACCGATTTCTTCGCAGCTCGCTCAATTAGCACCTCGTCAATATCGACACCGAGAACCAACAGCGGCTTTCTCGTTGCAAGTTCTGCTTCAGTCAGTGGAAGCTGCTCCGGAACAACCTTTTCGACTGCCTTCGTCTCCTGCTCTTTCTCCTTGCGTTCCGTGCCATCCAACGCTTTTAGGGCGACTTCAGCCGCCTTGGCCTTTGCGACTTTCTTCGACACACCCTCACCGTGACCCATGGTCTTGCCGTCAATCTGCAGCTCACAGACGTAGCGTCTTCGGTGACTCGTTTCGCCCTCGTCCTGGATCAAGTACTCCACCTGCCTCTTCTCCTTCTGCATGCGCTCGTTCAGCGTGCTGATATTGGCGAGGTCGAAATTGGCCACGTCGTCGATCTGGTTGGCATCTGCAAGTACTGCGCGTCCGTCCAGCGCGTCGTAGAGTCCGATAGTCAAGTCTCCTTCATTGCAGCCGATGTCGATGACCGTTGATGTCTCATGGGCCTTGTCCTCGGTCGATTTGCGGACAAGCAGCGCGCGTCTCAGGGCATTGGCCGTCTGCACGTCCATAAACCGCAGGCGCTCATGCACCGGGTTGAAGCTGTAATAGGCGTGGAAGTTGCCAAGCACATGGCCTTCCGCGTCCGACGCCATGGTGTCTGCTATTCGTGGTTGTCGAAGATGCGCTTGATTCACATGAACTACGCGGCTATTCGTCAAAATTGGGATTAAGACGAACACGATTGGTCGAAACTAGTCCTTCTTATCTTTGCTTCCAGTTCGCAATACAAGCCTCACGTTGACATGCTGGGACGACGCATGTTGCGCGCGGCGGCGCGTTCGTCGGCCGAAGCGAGGCGCTTTGCAACGTCTGCAGCGCAGACCGACACCAAGAGGTCGAGTGCCAACGAGAGCAGCTTCTCCAGATACGCTGGCATGGCGTTTTTCGGCGCTGTGGTGCGCGTTCTAAACCTTGAGAAAGGAGGTCCAGCTACTAGGATCCTAGAGCTAAAGCGGCTTCTCTTTTGTTATGGCCATTGTGGTGTAAATTACAGGCAGCGACGACGGCGTACCTCGGAACGTGGCAGGTATGCGTCTCGTGTTGCTGCAAGTAGGGGCTACTAGCTGTTAGTGACAATCGCTTGCTGGAATGGACAGACTGAGCGCTACTACTGGAAGGTGGATCTGATCAACGAGCGCACGAAGGAGTTGTCGGAGTCCGTTTCGGAGCTACCAAAGAATGCGACGGCGAGTGACGATGTGTGAGTCTTTTGGTAGAATGGTCGTATTGTTGGGGTCGAGGTGCTCACGAGATCTGGTGTTTGGATTGCAGTGACGACATTGAGTATCGCCAGCTTCGTCTCGAGGGAAACTTCAAACCTGGAAGCACCTTCTACCTGTGTACGAATCCGATAAGGAGCTGTGGCAGACGGATTGTATCTGACGTTGATTTTCGATATTTCTGTAGATCCTCGCTCGGCCCCCGCTGACCCAAGTGACTCGGTGGCAAGAGTGAAGTCCGGCGGCTACCTTTACTCTTTATTGCAGCGTGACGATGGGTGAGTTGTTTGTTATAGCTTGAGGCTTTTAAGTAGGCTCGAAGCTGATAAGCCCTGCTGTATTGCGTAGAACGCCAGTGATCGTGAACCGCGGTTGGCTTCCGCGCAAGCTTTTGGATGAACACATTGCGCGTGAAAAGAAGGAGGAGAGTGGAAAGATTTCTTTTGTTGGCGTTCTTCGTCACGGCGAAGTGGTATGTCCGGTTGATGTGGTGCGGATAATTTCACTATACATTCCAACTCTAACCCGGTATGGCTGTGTCGTGCTGCAGAAAAACAACTTTACCCCCGACAATGACCCCAAGAATCGCCAATTCTTTTACTTGGACCATGAAGAGCTGGCTGATGCCATGGGTGTCACTTCGGTGGATTTGCCAGTCATCGTCGATGCACTCGGTAAGAGTCCTCAAAACGGTTTACGCCAAAACCTCTTTCTTTACTCACTCAGCGCGACGAATTCATGTACATTCTGCGTAACAGCGGTCGAAGGTGCGAGCGGCGAGACAACGCTGGACAACCCTCTCCGGAAGAGCATTGCGTCCTACTTGGAGTTTTACATGACGCCGGAAAAGCACGCTGGCTACGCAGCGACCTGGTACGCAGAGCTGTGGTCAAGTGTAAGTGCGCTCACACGACTAACACATTCCAATTGGCAATTCCACAGGTTCGGTTGCAGCATCGCAGCTGTGGTCATGGGAATTCTTCGTTTCAAGAAGGGAGGTGCCAGAGCTGTCCGTGCTCCGAGATTCGAGCACCGTTGAGCAGGTGAAGCTCACCGCCACGAGAGTGTACCTATCGACATTCGTCTACAGCTCGCTAAGAAATAGTGAAAACAGCTGGTCCATTTTGCGTAATTCTTATGATTTGCCCCGGTAAAAGCTGGCACCGGCTCCACCGTGGAGCCTCCACGTACCGCGCCAATGATAAGTGAAAATGCAGCACGAACGAGATGACGAGGCGGCTACGATGGAGGACGCGGTGCTGCTGCTGCTCATGCTGTTCGTGCTGGTAGTGGTGTCGTTCATGCTGGACCGGTATTCGTGTAATTTGGTGTCGCAGAGCGGGTTCGCCATGGTGTTCGGTCTCGTCGTGGGGCTCTTCATGATCATGGGGGACAAGCACACAGCTCTGCATACGCACCTGAACCTGGACAACAGCCTCTTCTTTGATGTGCTGTTGCCCCCGATCATCTACGAGGGAGGCTTCTCCATTAAGCGCCAAGCATTCTTCCGCAACTTCCCGGCCATTATGAGCACTGCTGTCGTGGGCACAGTCGTTGCGGCGACCATCACGGGTGGCGTCCTGTACCTTGCGGGCGCGTCGAAGATCGTGACAAGGCTCTCGTGGGTGGAAGCTTTGCTGTTCGGCACGCTGATCAATGCTGTGGACCCGGTTGCTACGCTGACGTGCTTCAACAGGCTGCACGTCCCACCGCTGCTATTCAACCTCGTGTTCGGAGAAAGCGTGATCAACAACGCAGTAGCTATTGCACTGTACCAGACGCTACACAGGTGGGACGTGGGCACCGACTTGAGTATGAAGCAGTTGCTGCGAGTGGCTGCCAACACAAGTGGAATGTTCGTGGGATCGCTGCTTGTGAGCGCGACAATCACACTTTGCGGCGCCTTCCTGCTCAAGCGCAAGATCTTTTCGTCGCTGCACTTCTTCCCCAGCTATGAGATTTGCCTCTGCTTGGTTTTCAGTCTGTTGACATACTACGTGGCTGACAGTCTGAAATTGAGCGGCATCGTGGCGCTGTTTTTCTCGGGTACTATGACGGCTCACTACCATTTCAACGCACTATCACGCGAGGCACGGCACGCTTTCACGCACCTGCTGCACACGTTGTCGTTCTTGTGTGAGAACGTCGTGTACGTGTTCATGGGGACATCGGTGATCATGATTTTTTCGGGGCACCGAGAGCAGAATTCCGGTGCTGCGCTTCGGGTGGACGACATCGACTGGCATTTCATCGGTCTCACCCTTGCGGCTTGCTTCTTCGCGCGCTTCTTCAATATTTTCCCGCTATTGAAGATTTCCAACTGCTCGCGCGAGTCCTGCGACCGTATCCCAGTCAAGTACATGAGCGTGATGTGGTTTGTGGCGCTTCGCGGATCCATTGCGTTCGCGCTCGCCAAGAATTGGAATTATGTTGGTCGCTACGGTTCGCACCGCCAACTCGTGGAATCTACCACTCTTGTGGTGGTGCTTTTCACGACAATTGTGGTTGGCGGGCTTACGGGCCCGATACTCTCCAAGCTGCGTCTGACCGGGCACCACAGTGCACTTCGCCAGTCTGAACCCGATGTCAACTCTGAAGCGTCGAGTTCTAATGAGGATCGAGCAAGAGCGCTGCAGCGTAGCACCTGCCACTTCATGCTTCGTCGCAACTCTAGGGCCACGGAGCAACCCGCGCGACCTTCTTCAGAGGGGACAGAAGAAAACCAGGAAGTTATAGTGGACGAAGACCCTGTGTTCACGTCGCGGCCGCAATTCCGGGACGACGACTACAGTGGCGATGAGGGAGAGCGCGATGGGGACTCACCGCAGCAACGCAAGGAAACCCTGACCGGCGCGTTCTTCCGAAATTGGCAGGCCTTCGACGCTGCGTATATGCAGCCGATCTTCGGTGGCTCCCAGGCTCCTGCAAACCCGCGAGCAGTTGACAACGACGCAGCAGACTCGCGCGGCCAGGAGCTGGACAAGACTGCTGCAAGTGCGGTCTGATCTCACTTCAACTTACCGGTTTTGATTGTGTAATGTACATAATTTCCCAATACTGGACTCAAGTATTTCAGTTCAGCAAATCACCCTTAGAATATCGGTTTGCTGACTAAAACGCATGTCTCATGCAGTCAGCGCACCAATCAAAGGAAGCCAAAACTCACATTGCAGGCAAGATGGAAGACGCGGTGCTGCTGCTGCTCATGCTGTTCGTGCTGGTGATGGCGTCCTACTTGCTGGGGCGCTACTCCTGCATGCTGGTGTCGCAGAGCAGCTTCGCCCTCATGTTCGGGCTCTTCGTGGGGCTCTTCATGATCATGGGTGGCAAGCACGCGGCGCTGCACACGCACCTGAACCTGGACAACAGCCTCTTCTTTAATGTGCTGCTGCCTCCGATCATCTACGAGGCGGGATTCTCCATCAAGTGCACGGTCTTCTTCCGCAACTTCCCGGCCATCATGAGCACGGCCGTGCTGGGGACCGTCATCGCTACGACCATTACGGGCGGCGTACTATACCTCGCCGGCCTGGCCGGCATGGTTACCAAGCTGTCTTGGGTCGAAGCCTTCCTGTTTGGCACGCTAATCAGCGCCGTGGACACAGTGGCAACGCTGGGCATCTTCGACAAGCTGAACGCGCCGCCGCTGCTGTTCAATCTCGTGTTCGGAGAGAGTGTGATGAACGACGCCGTGGCGATTGCGATGTACCAGACGCTGCACAAGTGGGACGCAGACAGCAACTTCAGCGGCAAGCAACTACTGCGTGTAGCGCTGAATACCGGTGGAATGTTTGTGGGATCATTGGTGGTCAGCGCTCTCATTACGCTCGGAGGCGCGTTCCTGCTCAAGCGCCAGTTCTTTGCGACGTTGCGCTACTACCCGAGCTATGAGATCTCGCTGTGTTTGATTTTCAGTCTCCTGACGTATTTCGTCGCGGACAGTTTGAAGTTGAGCGGCATCGTGGCGCTATTCTTTTCAGGCACCATGACGGCACACTACCACTTCAATACGTTGTCGAGAGAAGCGCAACATGCGTTTACGCACCTGCTGCACACCCTGGCTTTCGTTTGCGAGAACATTGTGTACGTGTTCATGGGCACATCAGTCATTATGATCTTTGCGGGTCACGGGGAAGAGAATGCGGGTGCATCGCTGCGTGTGGACGATATCGACTGGTCTTTCATTCTGCTCACGCTCGTGGCCTGCATTGTGGCGCGATTCTTCAACGTTTTCCCGCTGTTGAGCCTCTGCAACTGCTTACGATCCCCCTCGAGCCGTATTCCGGTCAAGTATATGAGTGTCATCTGGCTAGCAGGTCTCCGTGGGTCTATGGCTTTCGCTCTGGCCAAGAACTGGAACTACGTGGGTCTTCACGGGGCGTCGCACCGCCGCCTGATCGAGTCTACAACTCTTGTGGTAATTCTCATCACGACAATTGTGATCGGTGGTCTCACCGGTCCGTTGTTGTCGAGCCTGCACCTCACTGGCAAATACAAGGATCATAGCCACCTCGACCAGTCGGACACTGATAGGAGCTCCGCCACTGCGTCAGAGTCCGAGGAGACGTTAACGCGATTAGTTCAGCGTAGTACGCGTCATGCTGACGGCGACTTGCATGGCGCTTTGGCATTTCCGGAGGAAGAAGCTCCCAAGGAGAATCGTGATGGCACCGGTGATGAAGTTCCGATCCTGACACCCCGACCGCAGTTCCACGATGACATGAGCGGCGACGAAGAGGACCCGAATCTTGCTTCACCAGTACGCCGCGAGACCGAGCGATCGCGTGGGGATTCGCTGACCGGTGCATTCTTCCGCAACTGGCAGGCCTTCGACACAACCTACATGCAGCCGGTGTTCGGTGGTTATTCGCAGCGTCCATCAGCATCGACATCGATTGACGACCTGGCCGATATGCAGCTTGCCAAGGCACAGGCCGAGGCCACAGTGTGATCTTTTTTAACGTAAATATCACTCGTACATATGCTCTTCAAGAGCAGCTTTTGCAGTTGCAGTTAAAAGGTGCTTGGTCGACATGGCTACAAACTATCGCCTTTGACGGGGTTTGCACTGCGGACGCAATGCTGCCAGTTAGCTAATTTCCAAGCGTCCAGGCGCATGGCGGTGCCAGCGCAGGACGAGAGCGTCGAGGGCAGCGCTGCAGCAGCAGTGCAACCGATACCAACCGACGCTGCTCAGCCTAGTGCGCAGACGATCGGAGCGTCGCCAGCGCCCGATACCCTGGAAATGTCCGCGGAGAGCGAGGGAGATGAGGCGGAGGAAGTGGATGACTCGGTAGAAGCGCTGGAGGACTTGATCCTGGAGGCGTACAACAACATGCAGATCGACGGAGAGTACATCTTCCTTCCGGACGAAGTGGCGGAAAAGCTTCACCGAGCTGCCGAGCAGGTGTGTGGGTTGGGCGTTGGGGGAGCAGTGGAAGTGTGTTGTGCTGATCTGGTGGTTTTTGTGCTTGAGGTTTAGATCAAGATCCAGGACAACGGGGAGGAGGAGACAACGGAAAACAATACAAGTGCGGGGGAAGATAGCAGCAGTGGTGACATTGCCGCTGCTACGAACGCAGTGGAGGAGGTGAAGTCATCCCAGCAGACATCAACCGAACGACCAGAACCTGAGCAGGAGCAGGACCAAGAACCGTGCAGTAAAGAGACGCTGAAGGAGAAAGAAGGCGAAGCGCTTGAGCATCATCAGACTCAAATGCATGCTGCGCAGAATGAACAAGACAATTTAGCTGAAGATGAGCACGCAAGGCTGCATAAGATGAAGGAGTTGCAGTCGGTGGCAGCAGAGCTGCGCGAGGAGAAGCACCAGCAACGAATCCCTCGAGCAGTGTCTTCGGAGAATCTCTTTACGGAGTTGGAGCCTGTACCCGAGATTGACGAAAGCGCGTCCAGTGGCCCGCCATCACCATCGCCGCCGCATTCCCGCTCGCATAGCGGAGTAAATACGCCGAAGCGAAGCTCACGCACACCAGCACGTGGAGGACATGGGCATTTTCCTCCACCGCCGATTATTTCCTTAAGCTCCACTCCAAGTAGTGCCGCTGCTAGCCCAGACCAAATGGGAAAATCTCCAGCGTCACGAACATCAGATCAATCAGGTGGCAGCAAACGCAAGGGCAAAGTACTCACGTACGAAAAGAGGAGGGAGGCCGCGCTCAAGCTGAAGCAGGATAAAAAGAAACGGGAGCTGCTCATCCGCGAGTCTGCGCGTAAACAACGCGAGGACGCCAAGCGGCAACTCGAGGAGGTGCACCAGAAGGAGATGGAGGAGAAGCGTGAGCGTGTGCGACGAATTCGAGAGGAGCGGCTCCACCGCCAAACTGGGAAAGGTGCGAAGGGATCGAAGAAGGCTGGATAGGTCTCCAATGTATATACTGGCGAAATAGCTATTTCTTGTCGTCACATTTCGAGTTGGGCGAGCGCTCTTGGGTCCAACTGCTGTAGGAGTGATTGCATTCCACCAAGCGAGCAACTTACAACTTCAAGTTCGCGCTGCAAATTCGTCCTTTGCTCCATCATGAAATGCTGGTGCTGCTTCAGCCGATTTAGTTTCGTCTTGTATTTATTACTTCGCTTCTCGAGCGTGCTGTCAACCAAGCCAAATTAGTGTTTTCTGGTGGAGAATTCCGAATAAAAGGGGAAAAACGTACCTGGAGTACTGATCCAGTTCGTTGACACAATGGTTTGCATACTGACACGCAAATTGTAGGAGAATGAGCGCTTTTCTAACTATCGCTCCAGGCTCTGTCAGTTTCGAGCTCGCTCGTCGGGACCGTTCAGTATTTGTGGAGCCATAAAGTGTTAGCGGCAGTAAGTCGCGTAGCGAATCCGTACGAAGCTGTTAGTCAGGTGGTAACACAGCACTTAGTACTCTTCCACGACAAAGAACGACATTATTTTCTACTACGCTTACCTCATGTACGATTTGACCGACGCGAACGGAGCGTAGCTTGCTGCTTCTGGCAAGATTGCGACGAGGGAGAACAAAATGGAAATCTGGTTTCTTTGTCGAATGCATTGTATCCGGTGGGGGTGGATCAGGTCTTCCGAGAGGCGGGTTCTCAATCGAGGCAATGCTGACGCGCACATAAGCTGCCGTGTTGCTTAACTCTGCCGAGCTTTCGCAGTATTCGATTTCCCTTGACTCTAAGCCTTCTGCGTGTCTTTTTCCGCGAGGTGCGATCGGATACCACCGCTCCGTTGTGCCGGACTGGATCGAGGACACCAAGTCCACGCTCCACGTCGCCACAAATTGAAGCAAGTCGGTCGAGCGCGACTGCGCCGTCCAGAGCTCAAACACAACAACATCACAATGTTGGACCTGCAGCTCAACTCTAATGTCCTTCTTCCATTTGGACTGCCCGTTGTCGCCCTCGCGAAGCAGACACTCGTCCAGCAACAAATGATCTTTTCTGCCACAACCAAGCGGGTACATTAGGCGTTTTTAGGGACAAGTCGCATTCGCTTCCACATACAAACCCTCTCTGCCTTTTGCTCGCGCGCGCAGCCACGGCCGCCCTGCCCCCTCTGTGCCTCCGATGCCGACTACAGTCACCAGCGTCGCCGCCATCGCCTCGAGCCGCGAGCGACTGTAACTGCGTGTATCTTGAAGCGACACTGGTCGTACTTAATCGAACCATTGGTGCCAATTTCCGTAGAAAAGAAACGACCATCACTCTCACTTCCGCACTCCGTTACTGTGCTCAGTAGCGAAGCCGACCTATGGTGGCGATCCGGGGGAAGAAGACCAAGGCTTCGGCCAAGCCCAAGGCGGCGGCGGTGGACAAGGCCGCGTCCAAGGCCAAGGTGCCCGCCTCCAAGGAGGCCGAGGCCGCGGCGGTCACGCGGCTCACGCCGCAGCAGCAGCTCTCGCGTCGCCGCGAGCAGGAATACCTGGAGCTCGTCCGCTTCGCGCTGCACAGCAACCTCGCCCGTGGCGAGGCCGGCAGCGCGCTGGCCGCGGGGCAGTCGGTCTCCAGCGTGTGTAACGCACTGATCACGTCGCTCTGCGCGTCTGCGAAGGAGAAGGCGCTCGCGCCCGCGCAGATTCTGGCCAAGCTGCCGCGCACCGAGCGCAAGCGCATATGCGGTGCCATCTTCTCGGCCGACGAGATCGCCTACAGCTGCCGCAACTGCCAGTTGGACACCACGTGCGTCATGTGCAAGGACTGCTTTACGCACAGCGACCACGCGGGCCACGACGTGTATTTCCAGAGAACGACGGCGGGCAGTTCCTGCGACTGCGGAGATTTACATGTGCGTCGTGAGGACGTTTTTTTCTTCCTTTTTTATTTTTACAACGCAGTGTTGACGTTATTATTTTAACATTTTCTTGTAGGCGTGGAAGCGGAGTGGATTCTGCTCAAACCACAAAGGAGCGGAAGGATCCGAAGGCGGAGCAAAGAAGCAAAAGTTGCCCAAACATATTGGATTGACAGCGCCGGTGGTGATCGATGCAGTTGTGGAGCACATTTACCAGGTGTTATTGGGAGTGGATTATGGATTCGAGCTGGCGGAGGCGCTTGAGTTGTTTACGAGAGATCTTCCGCCTAAATTTCTACCGATCCAGAGCGATACCGATGTGGCAGACGCTTCAGCTGCTGCAGGCTCGAGCCGAGCGGTGTCGACGCGGTCTACCCGACTTTCAGCGCAGTTTACCGCTGATCCTGGCGCAAGAACAAATGGACCGGGCGGACGGCTTGAGGCGCAGCCTAAAGAAGTGAAGCGCGAGTCGATCCTTTCAGACAACGGCTCGACTACCGGTGTGCAATTTGGAATTCGCTTGCACAATGACGATGTGCACTCGTTGAATGAAGTGATCAACCATCTTTACGTGGAGTTGGGGATGTCGAAGCCTCAAGCGCGCACAGTAGTTCACCAAGTGGACAGTCAGGGCGATGCAACGATCTCAACTAAGCCGTTGCTGTTGTGTCCGGCAGTTGTTGGAAATCTGGTTCGTCGCTCGCTGAACATTTCGGTGGCACCGACGTGGTGGGAAAAACAGATGGAAGGAGTGCCTGCCCTTTTGGAGTGGCTACAGTTTGTCAGCACCACCTCGGATGGTCTCAGTGAACTAGTGTCTGAAGCGTTGCAAAAGCAGCGGTCGCCAGATCTCAGAGGATTTCTTCCTGTTTCGCACAATTTGGCAAAAGGCAAGACGGTACAAGAATTTGTGAAGGAGCGCAGCATTCGTTTGCACAATCATGCCTTAGATGTGCTCGTTGCGCTGATCGCAGGAGATAAAGACGTCTTTACGTGGGCATCTGAACAGGAAACGGCACAGCGACAGCGTTTCGATTTCAGAGCAGAAGGTGTCCAAACTGCAGTAGCATCTGCAGGATTCCTGGCGGAAGGGAACCGGGTTAGCTGCAAGAACGTATTTATTGAAGAGTTTGTCAAGGGTGTGTCGCTGAGCCCCTCATATCGCCGACATGACAATGTTCGAAAAAGTTTCGATGCCGTTGTGTCGAAGTACTTCACTGCCGAAGGGGTGCAAACGTCTGAAAGTTTTTCGGCAACTTCTTCGGCTCTGGCGTTGCTGATGCGATACGACTGTACGTTGCGGAAGAACGTGGTGGAAAAATCGCATTCGTTTTTGCGTGAGCACTTGGTCGACATTCAATTTCGGGCGAGCATGTTGGAAGCATACTTGCGATCATACGCCTCGATGACGAGCATGTTCTTGCGCGGTTTGGGCAACTCGAGTGAATCGATTTTTGATTTTGCTGTGCAGTTCCTGACAGTGCCTCATCTAGTACAGAACTACACAAAGAAAGAGGTCTCGAAGCACCCTGGGCGACTGGAACTCGTTCGCGAATTGCTCTGTGCTCTGAACACGGTATTTCAGTCGGCCGTCAACGAGAAAGACAAGATCCTAAACGCGGATCACCCTGCGTTAAGCAGTCAGAAGTACAAGGTAAGCTCCCCAAACTCTCGTATACTGCCGAAGACTTGTACCTTCTAACCAAATGTTCTGGTACTGGGTATTCTGTAGCATTGCATCGAAAATATGGAATACGTGTTCAATATCGGTACGCTTTCGAGCGAGCTGGTCTGCAATGAGGACAATTTGAAGGTTTGGCTGTCGTGTCTGAGTATTTTACAGGTAAGGACTCTGCTGATGTTTTCCTCTGAACTCAACACTTAAATTACTATCGTGCCGTGTGTCGTAGGGCGGTGATCCTCAAGTCCGTCGAGGTATCAACCAGAATCACGTGGAATACGAGTCCGACAGCTGGTTGGCGATGTTTAACCTTGGTATCCGCGTCCACTCAGTGTTTGCTATTTCCTGGAACGGCTATAAGCCGTCAGAGTTTGAATGCCCCGAAGCGAAGATATCAGAGACCTTTGGCCCGATTATTGACGCTACCCTCTCTTCCTCAGCTCACCTGAATGAAAAGGTGAAAAAGAAGAAACTGGTTTCTGTGGCAAAGCTTGCGTCTGGAAGCAAACGGGGTGCTGGGGGTCGCGAAAAGTCCATTGTGACGTACGACTTCAACGTTGCATCTCAGCCTACTTCTCTCCACATCCCTTTGCACCGTTTCCTGACCGCTGCAGTTCGACATATCTGCATCAGCCCAACTGGTTTAGGGAGCTCGATTCCAGCAGATGGTCTCTTGAGGGTGTTTGGATTTGATAAGTTGCCGGCTGACAAGCAGTGGGAGCTTGTGGATATGCCTCTCCGTTGCCTGGTGATGGCATCTCAAATTCACTCCAACCTGTGGCGCCGAAATGGAGATGAAAATATGCTGGCACAATTGTACAACTACTCGGCGCTACCGTATTGTATTCATTACCGCGACGCAGATACGCTCATGCTGCAGCTCGGTGTCCTCATGACGGGTCCAGACGCGCTCTTGTCTCGAATGGTGGATCGATTTCAACTGGGCAGTTTTTTCGTCTTGACCGATGGAAGTGGTGCTGCAGCTTCCAACGATGCCACGAGTGGATCTGACGACTTGGCGAAACAATTTGGATATTCGCCGCTGGAACAAGGTATCGACGAGCAGCAGCGCTTGCAGATGCTTGAGGAATTTCTGCGCCTCGTGATTATCGTTGGTACCAGTCTCCCGAGCGCTACCGGTGTTGCATACGACGATGAGTTTCTTGCGGAAGAAATGTTGCAGCAATTGTGCGCGAAATCACTCCCTTTCAGCAAACTGTTTGACCTTGCTATCCTCCCGTCAGGACAAGATGATATTCCTACAGCGCGACTTGAAGGAGTTCTTCAGAAGGTGTCCAATTTTGTCGCGCCGTCGGGAATGGAACCGGGTCGGTACGAATTAAAGGAGGGTTTATTGGAGAGGTACAATCCTTATTTCCTCCACCTGAATCGTGAAGCACACGAGTTAGCTCGTGATCGTTGGACAACCCATCGCAACGCATGTCGCCAAAAAGCCAAGAAGTCTAACCCCGATGCCCCTCCGAAGGAACCGTTGAAGGCCGCCAGAGCTCCAGTTGAGTTTCTTCGTCCAGTTCAAACAATTTTGACTTGTGAAAGCGCTGTTGCAATTCTTCAGGTGATTCTTTGGAAGGTAATTTCTTCGGCCCACACTTCAGCGACGTCGGGCTCGGAGGATAGCGTATCGGACGCCGTGATTTCGACCTGCTTGCACTTGCTGGTGCATGGTGTTCACACGGCCTCGGAATCAGCAGACCGCCGCTTTTGGACGCGCTTGAGCAAACCGAATACGGCCACTTCTAAGCTGTCGGTGCTGAATCTTCTGAGTCAGCTGCTAGCCCAAGCGGCAACATTGCTCGACAGCGAACAGACCGGGACGGTGGAGTGGCTCATTTGGAAAATTACTACAGAATCGCCCGCCTGTAGAAAAGTGTTCGAGCAGCTAGCAAACGACGCAAAAGCGAAGGAAAAGAAACCGGAAGTGTCTCCATCGATAGTGGGTAGCACTACACAAGGCGGCAACTCTCCACCGATGACCTTGGAACAGCGCAAAATGGAAGCAAGAAAGAGAGCAATGGCTGCGATGGCGAAACGCCAGGCTGCGTTCCAGGCAATGGTTGATCTCGCAGACGACGAAAACGAAGAGAAGTCTGAAGAAGTTGGAGATGGCGCGAGCTCTGTATTAAGTAAACGAAAGGCGTCAACGGTGGAAGAACCGGAAGAGTCTACGAGTAAGCGCCAAAAGGTGGATACTGAGCCCTGCTACAACTGCATTCTCTGCCATGACAGTTCGTCACAGGGTCAAATGGGAGTGGCGGCCTACGTCCACCAGTCGACTGTTCTCGCTCCTGGATTTAGACCTGAACCCCACGAAGCACTGGGTCCAGAGGGTAAGAAGGTGCGTAGTCACGTGAAGAAAGTCATCGAGAAGATGGAGTTGTGCTCTGGTGGAAGCTCGACGCCGTCTGATACGGCGAACTCTCCATCCCCTACTCTGCGTGCATTCGCTACTTCTTTTCCCGAATGGTACATGGATGGATCGTTGGAGGACCAGCTTACTCGTGATAACACGGCGCAGAATAGCCCGCGCCCACCAGTGGCTCGTCGCCAAAACAACGACCGCATTCGGTTCGGAAATGGTCCTGTAATTGAAGGTGAGCTTCTGCAAACTGATGATGAATTGGAGGTTCTCGAAAGCGTCATGGATCTTCGCGAGGACCAACAGCTTTTTCCAATGGACATGCGTGGTGCTGTAAGCTTGGACCTTCGTGGAGATCGTGTGGAACCTCGCAGATTGGGTGGTCGCGAAGTAGCTGGAGGTGCTGCTGCGCGTCGCCAAGGAGCACCGATGGATGACAGTGACGACGATGATGAGTTTTCATCGCGTTTCCGTTTGGAACGCATGCCTCCCGGCTTTGGTCGCCCTCACGAAAGTGCTAAACTCTATCTCACTCCTTGTGGTCTACATGTCCGAACGTGCCAACATGCAGTCCACATCCACTGCCTCGAGCGGTACATCACGTCCTTGCATGATAAGGCCATGCGTGGTGAAGAGTTTGATGGTGTTCAAGCGATAGATCCGGATTCGGCAATGACGCAGTTCCTCTGCCCGCTGTGCAAAACGTTGAGCAATTTCCTGATCCCTACCTCCGAGCCCCGAATCTCGATTGTAAAGGAGAACGAGCATGACCGTAAACGCTCTGCAGTTGCGTCCGGAGACGAGGAAACGAAGTCTCGAACATGGGACACAATTGTGGAGGAGCAATTGTCGATGCCGGGGTGGTATCGTTCGGTGCTTGGGCGCGATGGAGGATTTGAAGACGACGAAAATGAAACTGAGCATGATTTGTGGCGGGATTACTTCGAGGAGACGCTTTGGGAGCCTCATGGTAGCCTTGAGAAGGGCGCACCTTTCTTATGGTCCGCGTGTGCTTTCACGTTGGCATCTTTCTTAACTGTTGCTGATGACGAACATCGCAGTGCATCTGGGTCGCCTGCTCCGTTCGATCCGCTTGCGGATCCCTGTCCACCGTCTCTGGAGAAGGAGATGGAGTCGCTAATAGCAGTCACGAAGTTCTGCCGATGGACATTTTCCCTTTTGGAGCACAGTGCCGACGCAAAGGTCATCTGGGAGACAGCTAAACGCTGTTGCCCGATCAACACTGAAACCAAGCGCGACTACCGCAAGTTCACAAAGGTAAGATTGTTTGGTCTACTTGAATCTTGTATGCAGTTATGCTGGATCTAACTTTCTATATTCTCTTGGTGTAATAGGTCCTCGGCTCTATTGATGCTTGCCTTCGGGGTACGATCCTGGGCTTGCTAGTAGCGGACACATTCACGGTAAGCCAAATACTTCGCGTCGCGCCTTAGATCAAGGCTCTAATAGTATTTTGTCTACTGTAGGCTTTCGTCGTTGCTTGCGTGATCGCAGACGAGCTCGAGACTATTTGGCAGTTTATCCCGGTTTTTACCGCAGCAGATCTGTTGCAACGACTTCATGCCGAGTTCTTCGAGCCTAGCAAGTCACAGGGCACATCACTGTTTCAAGACAAGTTCTCCGTTGTTGAAGCAAGTGAGATTGAGATGGCTTCTCAAGCAGCAGAAGGTGCTGATGAGAGTATGACTTCGCGACGAACCCGCAGTGGGCGTGCAATCAGCCATGTGGCATCAACTCGACGTGCTACGACTGCTTCTGGCTCCGTACAGCAACTCATGAAAGCGATGGAAGCTGCCGGAGATAGCGGCTCTGAAGCGTACGCTGTGTTACAGCTTCTGCTGCGAATGGCTAAGGCGTTTCCTTCCGAGAAGCTGAAGCCACTCAGTTCTGCAGGCGATATCAATATGCGGCTGAAGCGCATTTTGACACCGAATGCGGCGTTTGTTCGGCGCATGAAACTTTTCTGGCGCTGCCTTGCGGATAAGGAGGCTAACGATCCGGCAAACGCTAGGACAATGCAGATCCCCACCTTGGTCGATATTGCCCACAGTTCGGATGCTACATTCGACCAAATCTGGCAATGGTGTATGGACCGCATGCTCAGCAAGACACATTTGGGCAGCTCGAAGGTCGGCGACAAGTGCGAACACACAGAAGGTTGCAGCGAGGCTTATGTGGCGAGTATGTTCATCCTTCGCGAAGTGCCATCACGACCACGCCTGATTGACTTGCCTATCCAGTACGACGAGCTCTACAGCGAAATGGCAGGGCGGAAGTGTACAAGGTGCGACAAGTCTCCTTGTGACCCAGGCCTCTGTTTGATTTGCGGTGAATTTCTGTGCTGTGGAGACTCGTGTTGCACTCGTGCCTTCATGCCACACGGCCCGCCTGTAGGCGAGTGCACCCGGCACGCTGCAGAATGTGGAGGAGGAGTCGGCATTGTGCTTTTGCTCGAGCAGTGCCGCATCGCGGTTGTGGGCGGCAGCATGGCAGCCTACTTCCCAAGCCCATACGTAGATACGCATGGTGAAGAAGACATTGGCCTCCAACGTGGCCGGCCGCTCCGTCTCGATGTGGCTCGCTACCGGTATCTGGAGTCGCTTTGGCTGAATCACCGCATCTTTACTGAGGTATCGCGCCAGCGCAACCAGCGAGACCCGCAGTACACGATCAACCTGTCGTATCTGTAGGTAGGCATTCGAGAAGAGATATCGTATTGCTGCTGGATGAAGGTCTTTGCACGGGAAATAGAGCAGTCTCACAAAACTTAAGAACCAACGAGCATTCGTGTTGCTTTCCTCCCTCCAGACTTAACTCATCGACACCTACGCGCCAAGGAAGGTAAGGTGTGCTGGCAGATCGGCATCAGCGTAGCGTTCGTCTTGAAAAAACATTCTCAGAAGGCGACAGTTGCCACGAATGCGCACCTCCGTTGTCGTCACATGCCTTGTGCCGAACGCTTGGTTTGTGAGGTCCTGCAGGTCCATACAGAGGTAGCGCCACCCTGGGTGCGATCCGAACGCCAGCGGCAGTTGGCACGCTGTGTCTTCAACTCGTGCCAACGACCGCGTGTTGGTCACCGTGAACACCCGATAATTCTGCGAGTCGTCCAGAACCTCGACCTGAAATTCGAGGAACAGGTCCATGTTTTTGATGAACATCACGAGGTAGCGGAAGATGTTGCGTGTAGGGAACACGAGCTCAGCGTCGTTGCCAAGCACCTGCACCACGTCTTCCTTGACTATTTCATCCTCGAGAACGCACACGTCGTTACCATTCATGAGACAGCGGCATTCTTCTTGCGCTTGCAGGATAGCGGGGTGCTCTGCAAAAGGTAGCACTACCGTCTCGGACAAGATGCTGGCATTGGAGCTCGTGTTGCTGCCCAAGCTGCTACCTCTGTGCTTCGTATCCCAGCCTTTGGATTTATCCGATGCGCGAACTGGTTCTGGCTTGAGGTCCTTGACGAGGACTTTCGGAAGGAGGCATTCGACGTACAGATCTCCAGGCGAATACGAGCCATCTCCGATCCGCACGAAGGAGGGGGCACTCGACAGTGACGAAGAGAGGGTGGGAGGTGTCGATAGCGAGCTCTCGGTCTTCATGATCTCCTTTATGAGATGAATGAAGCCGACCCTTGCGATCCCGAAATACCAAAAGGTCACTCCATATTGCCAAACCGCCTCTTGGCATGGAGGAACAACAGCCATCGCCAGCACGAGCGTTCTTCCTCGCTCACAAGGACCTCTTCCAATATGAAAGGTACGTTGGCAATCAAGATCCATTTCGAGACGTGGTCCACGACCAAGAAGACGGTGGAGCTGCAAAATCCTTCCTTGAAAAGTATCGCGAGATAGATCATGCTCAACCCGAAGTGGCATCATTATCCAAGCTGCACTTCTCGCTCCTACATCCCCCGGCCCCCAGATATTCAATCGCGAACCCAGCAAGCTCCGCGTCAGCTTCATCGCCAGCATTTGTTGCTTTGCAGTCAACAGCTTCCATTTTGAAGAACTTCAACGATCCGCCGCGCCAGCCAATTTGCTCCAAAGCGTTCGTGAATTCGCCTCAAGCCGTGCACTACCACACGCAACAACAGCCTGTTCCTCTTGTAACTTCGCACAACCCTGCGCCACCTCAAGAATATCGAAGTCCCGATCGTGTCTCCGCCTCAATGATAATGGCCAACACATCCGATCAGTTTAAACTTCAACAGCAGCATTCCCCCCTTCGGTTTTCAGTCGAGTCCAAGCACAGGCCCTTTCGCCTTCCAAAACTCGCCGAGCTGCTGATTGACCCAGAAACTCGCGCTGCTGCCACCGCTCACAAAACCTGGGATGAAGCGCACAAAATCGAGGTGCTCGTTGGCAGCAAATGCGTCGGTCGTGTCAGCGCCGTATCACGAAATATCCCGAACTCAGTTCGCTTGCGCCTTCGTGCGTCTGCTAATGTGTCTGTGCGACGAGAACGATTATATGACTTGCTTCGTCAAGATTACGATATGATGAACAAGCACTGTACGCAGTAACGACGCACCAACGAAACGGGGACTTGGAACACGTCGGCAGGGATGAGGAGATGTTGGTCATTGCATTGGAAAGAAGGCATCATCTGTCAGTCCTTCGAAGATATTAACGTTGCTGTCACCATATAGTGCAGAATCTGGTGGCATATTCATGGATCCTGCTCCGGGTTGCTGTGGTGGATGGTGAGGAAGCTGATTCTGTTGCTGAAAAGGTTGTAGTCCACCAGGTGCAGGCTGAAACTGCTGATTTGGCAGTGCCTGCGGCATCATGTTTTGTGATGAAGACGTTGGGCCAGTCGACATCCCCCCATAACCAAAATTGTTGGGCATCATTGATGCGCCTTGTGCTCCAAAATTGCCACCACTCATAGACGCCATCATCTGCTGCTGTTGTTGCATCGACATACCAGCCATACCAGCCATCGGGAAGCCGCTTGAACCGAAGCTTGGATCGGGGCTAAACCCGAGCGGGGTCATAAATGGATCCACAGGAAAATTGTTACCGCTGCTGCTGTTGCCGGTGTTGGAGCTGCTTGCCGACGTCGGCACCGAAGACATACCATAATTGTTGCCGAACATATTGCCGCCACTCGATGGTGCCATATTCATCGGCATGGGCATTGGCATGAATTGCTGCTGTGGATTCATCATCCCACCGCCCATCATGTAGTTCTGCTGGTTCATAAATGCAGCGGACGCGTTGGGTGCCCCACTGGTAGAGGTCATGTACGCGTTAGGCGTGAAGGTCTGCACCCCTGAGCTCATTGCGTAACCTTGAGTCGACGTGGTAACACCAGACACTGCCATTGAGGTCGTTGACGAAAATCCAGACGAGGTCTGCATCGGGTTTATCTGCCCCGTCGGGAAAAACATGTTCGTACTCGTAGACGCGAATCCTACCGTCGGCATCGGGGGCTCAGGGAAAAGAGTCGGCGGTGCTGCTGAGTTCATGTTTGGCATCGCCATTGACGCCGAAGTCGACACGGTCGACGCAGGTGCAGCAGATCCAGATGCCATCGATGCTGACGCTGCCATCGCCATCGGATTGCTACTACCCATTGTCGAAACCTGTGGCGGCGCGTATCCCTGTTGGGGCATAGATGGTGATGGTTGACGTTGAACCTGTGGCGCAGCAGCTCCTGTGGACGCTGGATCGGGCTGCACCCCTGTCCTCTGAGCCGAAGCGCCTGCAGTCGGCGAGACCCTCTTTCCTCCAGCCTTTTCATCCTCCTGGGCGATCTGTTTGTCCGCCAGCGACGCCAGCACCTCCAGCCTTGCTCCAATCTGCTGCCGGAAGATCAGGCACCTCCTCACCCACTCCTTGTGCTCAGCCGGGTTCATCTTGGCCGCTGCAGCAACGTAACAAATAACAGACATCATAAAGACATTAGTAAGAAGGTACTAGCTAGTACATATAGTACTGCGTGTGTCCGTACGTTGCTGCTTGTGCAGAGCGTTCCAGCCTTTCAGCGCCGCCTCGTTCTTCTCCAGCATGGTCTGGATCTCCCGCTGCGAGATCTTGCGCTCCGTCGTCAGCAGCGCCTGCAGCAGCAATAGTAATAGCAACCATGGAAAATGTGTTGCGTAAGCATGCGGTAGGATAACAGAATTACTGTTGCTAAGAGTGCGAGAATGCGGTGGACTTTACGCACCTGCGCCGCGGCGGCCGCGCGCTGCTGCAGCGGGTTGGCGTGCTCCCTACTGGACACAAGAGACGTATAGAGCGCGTGAGAGGCTGTGGGGGGCCGTAGGGACCACAGACGGAGTCACGTACGGCGCCGAGGACGACGCCATGCCCGGTGGAGGAGGAGGGCGGATTGAGGCGAGGCGTCAAGTGGAATTAGGCGCAGAATTAAGGCCCGAAGTAAGGTTTGAAATCGAGCCAATCACAGGATTTTACGTATGAAGTGACCAATGAGAGATAAAGCCTACCCCTTTATGACAAGCTGAAGCTGAGGTACGTGTACTGAGCTCACTTTTGGCGACGTGGCGATACAGAGCATGGCGAACCTCCGCCCCACGTGCGTGTCTGCGCCCGGCAAGGTGCTGCTTGTGGGCGGCTACCTGGTCCTGGACGAGCAGTACTCGGGGCTTGTTTTGTCGAGCACGGCGAGGTTTTACTCCCAAGTGGGGGTTGAGGTACGTGTGTCAATCACTGCAACAATGGAGTTAGTAAACGCTAATATTTATCGTTAAAATGCAGATTTTGGGTGAAGAAGACTCGATTTTTGCTTCCCACTGCGAATGGCGTCGTCTCTTTCCGTTGAAGGTGGAGAGTGCGCAGTTCGACCAGTTGATCGACGGCTGGATCGAGAAAAATGGCGATGGACGACTCCGATTCCAGCTCAGGTGACGAGGAGTTACGTACGGATTAGTGAAGGGTCAAACAGAATGACCTTATTTGCGTGATGGCAGGGAGGGTTCGCACCGGAACTCCTACATTGAGGAGACAGTCTTGTGTGCTGTGAATGGCATTGCTGGATTGGACGAGTTCAAGAGCAACGACACGTTCCAGCAACTAGCGGAGGAGAAGAAGGGTGCTCACGTCACGCTCCGCGGTGATAACGACTTTTACTCCCAAGTGAAAAGAGTATGATCACCTTTACGTTGGAGGGATGGATGGGGTATGGGCTGTTAAGGCGCTGACATTGGTTTTGGGTGTAGTTGCAGGACGCAAAGCTGCCGCTTCGTCGCTCGAACTTGAAGGCATTGAACGCATTCCTCCCACCAACTATGGAACGTAGGTTTCACAGGGACAATGCTTGAGAGACGTTTTGTACTGATACTTGCCTTTCAGAGCGCGGCGACAAGATGGTGGCGTTGAAGACTGGCATGGGTAGCTCTGCCGCCCTGGTGACGTCCCTAGTTGCGGCACTTGTGGCCTTCTTCGTGCCAACCGCGAACTTTGATACCCAGCAAAAAGACCTGGAACTGGTGCACAATTTGGCTCAGCTGAGCCACTGCTACGTGCAACGCAAGGTAAGGCTAACCAATTTGTCCTTCCTAGAAGCAACAACAGCTGAATAACTAGTTGTTGTATTGTATTCTACAGATCGGCAGTGGATTTGATGTATCGGCCGCATGCTTTGGCTCCCAGCGCTATACCCGTTTCCCTGCAACAACTTTGGATGCATTTACATCCGAAGATGCCATGAAATCGGGCGAAATTGTTCGTTGCATTACTGACAGTGCGCTGTGGAACACTTCTAACCGTGTGGTATGGCTGCTCTGCTTGTCCTGGCTTTCATTTCAACGTTACTGTAGTAACTACTATGCTTACTAAATGTGTTGTCCTTGCTTGCAGAAATCCGTTCGACTACCTTCAACCTTCCACATGATCTTGGGAGACGTTTCGTCCGGTTCGGCGACGGTGTCGATGGTTCGGCAAGTGTTGAAGTGGAGACAGGAACAGCCTGAACACGCAAAGAAGGTGATGGATGAAATCCACCACCACAACACGGAGGTTGAGCAAGGGTTCGCGGAAATCTGCGAGCTGGAAGACAGCCTCAGTACGCCAATCGATTGGGCAACGATGGCGGCTCAAAGCCGTGAACAGGTATATCGATGCAGCATTCTTTAGTACTGCTACGCTGTACTTACTCCGTGCGTGTGATCTGCAATGAGTGTGTACAGTGGGGCACTACGGATGCTAGAATCGGGGCTATACTCATGAGAATCAGCGAAGCATTCTCCCATTTCCGAAAGCTCATGCGGTAGGCTCAATATTACACTGCATAACGGTGACATAAGCTGACCTCTTTCGACGTTGCAGTGAAATGGGAAATGCTGCAGGAGTTCCGATCGAGCCACCCGAGCAGACGGCTATCCTCGATGCAACGATCGCTCTTCCGGGTGTTTTGGTTGCTGGTGTGCCTGGAGGTACTGCTACTCTTGGTGTGTTAAGCTGGCTTGGTGAATGTTGAACTGACCAGCGATGTGTTTCTTATGATCTTCAGCGGGTGGATACGACGCAATTTGTGTGGTGGTGCTTCACGAGAGTGCTCTACGCGCAGTCGAAGACCTGTGGATGCAATGGCCTTCCACCCACCCGGACTCCATGTAAGACTCTTCAATGACTTTTATTCTGAAGGCGCAGTTCTGACCTATAACTTGTGCTTCGTGGTGAATCAAACTATTATGATAGTATTTGCCCGCTTTTGTGCGATGTCGACCGTGGATTGACAGGGTCATCCGCTGCACGATCTGGACTTCAGCTACACCCCGTCGAGTAGAGCTGCAATCCATTGGCATTTGCCGTTAGTGTGTTCTACTGATTGTCGCTAAGCCCGAAATATGGCGGTCCATACACCAGATCTTAGAGCAGACGTCAGGGGTCACCCCTTCACACATCCAACATGCAGAGTTTATCAAAGCGGAAGGTTCGTGACGAGGATGATGCTGAGGATGACAGGAAGCTAAAGGCAGGTAGCGATGGCGGAAGTACCGATGAAAAAGGGTGGTTCGGTGCTGACCTGCACGGTGCGGGTCAGCAGCTTGCAGACTTTTCAATTCCTCGGCTTCGGTTCGCTACAGAGTCATGGGCTGGACTGAAGACTACCAATGAAGACCGCAACGTTTTCTCCACCGAGTTCTTCCCTGGTCCAGTGTTTGGTGTATTTGACGGCCATGGCGGAACATTTGCAGCAGATTTTCTATCTCGACAGCTTCTGAAGACTGTAGCCTCAGCGATACGACAAAATACTGGCGAGAAAGCGCTAGCTGATCTTCGCGCCTGCCGCAAACTATCGAGCCAAGAAAACGTTCGCCGAGATGCTATCGTCGAGCAGAAAAATCTGCTACGTCAGCAGCTTACTGAAGTGGAAACTCTGAGATTGGGAGCCACAGATCCCGAACTGGAAATGCTGTTTGATCAACTTACGAGTGCCATTTCTCAGATGGAGAGTTAGATGGAGCAGATTGATACCGAAGAAGCAGCACGTCATGAGAAGAGGTGGAAGTGGTGCCAAGAACAGCACGGCCATTTCGTGGGGGCATTCAAAGATGCTTTTACGAGAGTTGATGCGCACATATTGCAGAAAAATCCGTCACCAGACGGCTCAACCGCTCTGCTGGTTTGGTTTCTAGCCGACTCGACTAGCCGCAGTGTTCGCGATGTAGACGCTAGAGGCAGCAGCGAGCTAACGGATGAAGGAATGTTCTACACAGTGAACCTAGGAGACTGTCGCGCCGTTCTGTGTCGAGGTGGGCACGCTGTGCCGCTCACAAGTGACCACAAACCCAGTCGTCCGGACGAAAAGAAGCGCATTGAAAAGGCTGGAGGTTTTGTGGGAGAAAAGCTGGCATATCCCGCGTATACTCTGCTGTGGGCGCTGGGTTGACCATACAACAGGAGGCATCCACGTTCGGGCATTTGGTGACCGATCTTTAAAGACACCGACAGCGCTGGTTTCATGTGACCCGGAGGTCACGAGATTTCAAGTACAGGAAGACGATTTGTTTCTGGTGATGGCATGCGATGGCGTCTGGGACGTCTTGAGCAACCAGGACGTCGTGGATATCGCGTTACCACACTTCCAGGATGCCGAAGCCGCTGCAAACGCGATCGTTAAAGCTGCCTACACGAAACGTAGCGTAGATAATCTGACCGCTACTGTCGTCCAATTCGGCTGGAAGGCTGACGCCCTGGTGCAAGACGCCCTCAAGAGCAGCAAAATACCAGTAGACAAATCAAGCGCCTCGAACGACGAATCTAACGCCGCAGAGGAAGAGATCGACATGTTCAGCAACGAGTAGCTTACTTTGGTTGATACCCTTGCTCATACGAAGCGATGAGCTTCCGCTTTTGTAGATCCTGTGAAACAAGAGAGCAGACGTTGGTAAAACAAAGCAGACCCGGGGCATACAGTGCAAAGTTACCTCAGCTATGGTTGTCATCGTGGTCACATCGTACACCCGAAAGCGTACCAGCGGCAAGGGTTCGACATCTCGCCGCCGTTGTTTGCGCTGGTCAAGCACAAACCGCTGGTCCACGAAAACCTCGGCTTCTTCTCGGCAAGACGCGTGCCAAATTGAACCACACACATGTGAGGATTCATCACGCCTCCAGCACCAAGTCCGTGCAGTCAACGTACCCACGTGTGGGATGGCGAACCCTCCGTTCACCACCATCGCGTGCAGCTTGATCGTGGAATGCGGTGGCGGCTCAATGCGTAGCACTCTGTACTTTGTATCCAGACGTTGGTGCAGGAAGCCTACGACATTCTCAAACTGTGGGCGCGTCAGATACAGCGGGAGTGTGCTGACAATTCACTTGAAGGAGCCGCGGCGTTCGACTCACATCTCGCTCGACATTAGCTCCGCGTCGTCCGCGCTCGCTTTCCAGCCGTGACAGGCGATAGGTGGCGAACAGAATGGCCACGAGGATCACTGCACACGCAAAACATCGCCACGAGGTAGGTATACTACTACAGCTTCACCTCATCAACGTATAAGTCGAAGTTTGTACCTAGCGCGTGCTTCCTGAACGCGTCCAGCATGAAGGCAATGCCACGCGAAGGGGTCGGTTCGGTGGATCCCGTGCTCAGCTCGCACGGTTTCGGGCCGGAGAGACGATTGCTCCTCTTGCGACTCCTGTCTCACTTGCCAACACGCCGCGCGAGACCGCGCTCCGCGGGAATGCGTAAGGCGAAGAAGCGAGTCTTGCAGAGACCGGACCGAAGGGCGGATCTTCCCGAGCAGAATCAGTGCGCGGCCTTCGCGTAATGACCTCCACGCGTGGACGGTCAAGCGCTTCGAAGCAACCAGGGCAAGGCGGGAGGAACGGCCTGGGGCTCTGCACGTGGACGCAGGTCTTGTAAGATACTTTTCGATGTTTTCGCGTCTATGCATGCTCCATTGACGATGCCGGCCAAACCGAGAGAGTAGATAAGGTGGTGTACATTGGTGCCGTTAAATGGGGGTAGTAGCTACAGGGAGGCTAAGAATCTGTCCTCTTCCATCGAGGCCTATGCCTGGGCGTCGGCGCTGTTCTTGACGGGCGCCGGGCCGACGAGCGCGCACGTCTTGAGCGCGTGTCGGTCCATGATCATCTGCGCGACGTTCGCGGGTTCTGTCGGGGGCGAGTCGGTCTGCGGGGACTGCTGCGCGTGCTGCACCTGCATGGCCCAGTCGGCCGAGTCGAACCGCTGCAGGCGCAGACACCGCAGCTGCTCGCGGTGCTCGGCCGAGCCGGGCTCGGGCTCCCGCTCGAGGTCGGTGCCGTCCGACGACGGCGCGCACTTGCCGCACGTGCAGCCGGCGCACGGGCCCGCGGCGCGGCGCGCCATCTCGTAGTCGGCCGAGTCGAAGCGCTGGCGGTTGTCGCGGTGCCGCTGGATGATGGTGGAGGCCACGGCGTGCGGGCAGTCGCCCGCGGGCTGGTGCTGGTGCTGGGTCGAGGGCGGAGCGACCTTCTCGGTCGAGCTGGAGTTGGCCATTGTGCTGCCTGCTGCTGCTGGTGGGCGGAGGAGGCGGGGGAGGAGGAGGAGTGCGGGTGGCTGGGGCAAAGGATAAATGGCGCGGAAGCCCGGCGCCCAGACGCGCGCAACGCTACTGTAGCCGCGAGAGGTCGCACGGGATGCGTCTGCGTGCACACAGCCAGTGACGCTGTCGGAAGAAGGGGATCAGGCGCGGCAACGTGGAGGCCGATTTTTCTCACTGTGCCGGCCTCGAGGAGGACACCTCGGAGCTGATACCTAGCGACGACTCAGCTCGGTGCGGCTCGAGGCTTCCTCGGCGCCTCCTCTTCCGCCGTTCACCCCCCAGTCAAGTCACAGCTCGGCGACCTGAACTCTTGCACTGCACTGCGATCTGGGCATGCGACTTGTGCACACTCGCGCCGAGTATGGCGGCGAGGCATGGTTCAGAGGCGAAACCGTGAAGTTTGGAGGCGTCTCGCTTCGATCTTCAACGATTGGCGGAGAGGACCCTGAGGACGTGTAGACACCCGAGGCGGTTTCAGCGCGCTCTTCGGCGAAGGCGGCGGGAACGGGCCGAGCAGCATTGCTGATACCCCAGATGCATGCTGCACTGCAACGAGAATGACGGCCATGCACGTCAAGCCATGGCGCGCACGCTGTGGTTTGCACAGGCCATTCCAGCGAAGTCGGCGCCAGCGTCAAAACTGTCAAATGGGCAAGTGAACCAAAGGTGTCGTCAATCAGATCAAACGTTGTCCATGCGGACGCATCGTCATTGTTTCGGGCCGTCTCTTCTGTTGGCACGCAGCGTCGCTGCTGCATTAAGTCGGCCGCCTTACCGCGGGCACCCACGGTAGCGCCGACCGCCGCCACAGATGCACGCATGCAGTCTCAGAGCTTGTCGACGTACGAGCCGTCCTCGGTCGACACCTTGACCTTGTTGCCGATCTCGATGAACAGCGGCACCTTGTAGAACAGAACAAACGTGAACGTGTCAGTCCCGCATGCACTTTACTCCCAATTCCATGAACGAACAGCGGTCGGTACCTTGACGACGGCGCCGTTCTCCAGCGTAGCATCCTTGACGCTCAGCGCATTCTCCGCCACGCCTTTCGGGGTGGTTTTCTGCGAGCAGGACGGAGGTTGAAACGACAATGGTTCAACATTCGGGAAGACGTTCAAACCTCGACCAGAGGAAAGATCCACACTGCAACTTCACTCACCGTCACCTCGAGCGTCACGTGCTCGGGCATGTTGGCCCACAGCACGTCTCCCTCGATGATCTGGAGCGACAGCGTCATGCCCTCCTGCAGGAACTCCAGCTGCCGGCCCGAGAACAGGTCACGCTCGATCTCCATCTACCAACAGTAGTAACAGCAGCAGCAGCAGCAAGAAGCCTGTTAGATCAACGTCGGCACCCTGCACAGTCAACAGAAGCAAGCAGCACCTGCTCGAACGTCGAGTTGTGCATGATGACGAGGTGGTCCCCATTGTAGTACAGGAACTGGAACGGCTCATCGGGGCCCAGCGGCGCCTTGTTCACGGTCTCTGCAGCGCGGAAGCGGCGGTTCATCTTGGCACCAGTCTTGATCTCCTTCAGCTCCGCCTGTCAATGAATGATCCGCACCGGTGAGCTCGTATCTCGCGCGGTTCTGCTCCAAATTTCGTGCAACAAGCTGCGATTTAACGCACCTGGACGTAAGCTCCTCCCTTGCCGGGCTTCACGTGCTGGTTCTTGCCCACGCGGTAGATTTTGCCGTCGATCTCGAGCGCCATGCCCGTGCGCACCTGGTTGCCTGTAGCGCAGCGATTCCAACGATTTAGACGACGAAAATTACACGGTCGAAGGGCGCGTGGAGTGGCGAACAAAGCAGTACCATTGATGGAGGCGAAGCGCACTCCGTAGCCGCGGGCGGGAGCCGTCGCCCGCGCGATCTGCGTGATAGCTCGCCGCAACATCATTACGTCCCCAAAGTATCGATTTGGCGGTCTCACGTTTTGAAGCTCATTCATTGGTAGAAATGTATCTGCAACACGTCAAGGATAGGGTGAAATTCGAAACGATATTATCCAAATCAGCGCGGAAACTATCCGCCGGATTTTTTCTACTTCAATACACTTGACTATTGAAGAAATATCCCTCGCCGAGCATGTTCCTCTGGCGGGGTCGGCGCCCCGAGGACGCGATCCAGAAGGCCATCGAGGCGGCCGTGGCGGCGGACAAAGCAGGGAAATACGAGGAAGCGATCGATCTCTATGCTTCGGGCATCGAGAAGATGATGGCGCAGCTGGGGCGTACGTTGAAGCGCGAAATATCCGCCACCTGAACCTCCCGCTAAGGCCGTTTATCTGTCATGTGCAGAGCTGCCGGACGACGAGGCCAAGACGAAGCTGCGCCAGAAGATCAACGAGTACATGGTGCGAGCCGAGTATCTCAAGGACTGGACGGCGGAGCAGGCGCGGAAGCAGCAGGCACAAACTCAGGTTGGAAACGATGATGCAGCGGCAATGAGAACCCAAGCAGGGACGCTCACTGAGCTGCCTTTTTACCCCCGTGTAGGACGCGTCTACATCGAGTGTGCAGGACGGCAATGCACGCACTGCAAGTGGACGGCAGGTTGGAGGGCTGGTGGTGTGGAAAATAAGGTGTTTAGTGATAACATTTGACATCTGTGCTGTTGATAGCACCACAAGGCGGGGTACTCGAAGCAGAATGCTGAACATGCGCACACAATTCTGGACGAGGTATTGGACCACTCGCCTGGAGTGCATTGGGGTGATATTGCGGGGCTGCAGGTGGCGAAGCAGATCTTGCAGGTTTGGACAGCAGCTTGTTTCTTGTTGTTGGAGATCATTGAATGACGGCATATATGTGGGGGATTGCTGTAGGAGGCTGTCATTTTGCCTACGTTGCGACCGGATTTGTTCACAGGATTGCGAGCCCCACCACGCGGCGTATTGCTTTTTGGGCCACCGGGAACAGGTACTTACTTACGTGCATGCAAACTTTCGCCATTGAGTTTGAGAATCTGTCGGTGGGTGTTGACTGATAGTGCTTTGTGTGGTGTTATTGCATCAGGGAAAACGTTGCTGGCGAAAGCTGTCGCTACGGAGGCGAAAGCAACATTCTTCAAGTAAGTTAATGGTGACATGCACAGCCCTAGTGTTGGGCCTTACTGAAGGATGTTTGGTGCAGCATTTCTGCGTCGTCGTTGACGTCGAAGTGGGTGGGTGAAGGCGAGAAGCTGGTTCGCGCACTGTTTGAGATGGCCCGGGAGCTCCAGCCGTCTGTGGTTTTCATGGATGAGATCGACGCCTTATTGTCGACAAGATCAGCGTCCGAAAACGAAGCAAGCCGAAGAATCAAGAACCAGGTTAGTAGCGTTACTGAAAGTAGATCGGGTTGTCCATCGCAGCAACCTGACTGCTAATACTTGCTGGTGCAGTTTTTCACTGAGCTCGATGGAGCAGCTTCATCGCAGGAGGATCGGATCCTCGTCATGGGAGCTACGAACCTCCCTCAGGAGCTCGACGAGGCCATCGTGCGTCGTCTGGAGAAGCGAATTTATGGTACGTGGTTCCTCTAACCGCCACCTTGAAGACAAGCGCATCTAACCTATTTCCTGACGCACGCTGTCACTGTCGTTGGCAGTGCCCCTTCCAGATGCTCCTTCTCGCGAAGGACTCATCCGGCACTTGCTCGGCAGCCAGAAGTTCTCGTTATCGTCCAAAGATATTAAGCACATCGTCAAGGCAACAGAAGGCTACTCTGGCAGCGATCTCAAGGCGGTGTGCAAGGATGCCGCTTTGGGTCCTATTCGCGAACTCGGAGCTAAAGTGGCGAACGTGAAAGCTGAAGATGTGCGAGGAATCAATGCATCCGACTTTCAGGTGGCGCTTATGCGGGTTCGGCCGAGCGTGTCCACGACAACAATAGAGGCCTTGGTCTCGTGGAATGAACAATATGGGGTGTCTGCAGTATGACGAGCGCAGGCTTCGTTGCTATATTTCCGGGGTTGCTTAGGCCTTCCGCTCGTAAATCATCAAGTAGGACTCGGACACACCGATAAGCTGAGGCATCGTTTCCTGGACGTGGAGATCTTGGATCTCGTACCATTGCTCAGTTGCCTGCGGCAGATGAACAACATACAATACATCAGCTTAACCATGTGTCAAGTATGTGCATGTTCATCAGCCACGTACTCTATTTTGAACATGGACGCGATAGCTGCCTTCCGTCAGCGGGTTCGTTTGGAGCGCCGCCTCCTGGCCTGTTGTCACCGGGCTGTCATGGCAGATATTGGCAATCAAGTTGTACCTGCGACACAAAAACAGATTGCACAGCCACGTTAAGCCCTCACTCACCCCCACGACGCTAGCTAGCGATACGTACTTGGTGGATGGCAGGGTGACACGCAAAATCTTCTCGACAAGGTCGGCCTTTTCCACGCAATCCTATACCAAGCAATAATTCAGCTATCTTCTGCACGTACGCCCAACAGCAAACAACAAGCGCACCTCCGTGGACTGCTTGTGGTTGCGAAGGATATCTCGGAGCTCAGAGATTGACCTGTGAACAGCATCGATGTTCCGAATTTAATCAGTGAATACCAAGATAAGATATGGTTTCGCCACACGTACTTGTTGCGGAGCTCTTCCTCCGACGGAAGGCTCTGATCCAGCTTCAAGTAATCACGCAGCTCCAGATTCTTCACCGGAAAGGTTACAATCGTTGGATTCTTTTCAATGAAGAAGTTGTTCCGCGTGAAGCGCTTCACGTGGAAGATCAGATACGCTGGCAGCGAGTCGATGCGGTACGTCTTCTTCAGACGATGAGAGCCTTGAAGCACGTGCGTTACGTGCGAGCCGTTGTACTTTTCAAGCACTGTAAAAAGCGGAATCTATCCCCATTCACCCAATGACCTTGTTAGTTCGTCACTCCTTCATTTATGCACAAGGGCGTTGCTTTAATCTCACCTGAGGAATGATATTTCCACCTTGAGAGTCCTTGAACAGCGGCGTCGACGGCAAGTCAAGCGCCATCATCCTACAAACGTAGCAACAATGTTCAGCGGAAGCCAGATACGGACAACAGCTTAAGCGCGTAGCAACTTACAAAAACGGCGATACCGTGGTGGAAACAGCGGATTCGCGCTCCGCTGGGTCTGCCGACGCGGCTTTCGTTTCATCATCCGTCGTGACCTCCACAAAACCTTGGAAGCACTTGTGGATGATACTGCTACCAGGTTTATGCGATCCACCCAGGCCCTGACAATGCATTGAATCAGACAACCCCGTCAAAACTTTGTTTCTTTAGCCGCCAACTAAGTCAGCCTGCACCTCACCCTGTGCAGCTCGTTCAACAGCCACGCCAACAGCTCCACACTCTCGTTCTGTGTCCCCACGTGGAACCTCTTCTTGCTGCTCACCGAGATCTCCTGCACCAGCTCGTGCGGACTGATCTGCACCCACCCGAGCAAAGCAACGCACATCAGCACACGCAAACAGCACAACAAATAACCTTTCTCTCAATTCCACGCGACGCACCGTGTTCTTGAAGTTGTGCGGGCTCCACATCTTGCGCAGCAGCTCTCCGAAGCGCAACACGAGCTTGGACTTGATCTTCTTCGTCGTCGCCGCGTTGGCCAGGAAGAAGTCGCGCAGCGGCGGCACGTGGGCCAGCGCCTGCACCACCACGTTGATGTAGTCCGTGTGCTTGAGGTTGTTGAGACCGATGAAGCCCGGCAGGTACGACACGCCGAAGGCGTCCTGCGCCAGGATGCGGTTCTGGTCCAGCCGCGCGATCTGCTCGGGCTCGAAGGCCGGGCGCAGCGCGTCCTGCACGGGCTTGAGCGTGTTGTCCACGACCTCGTAGTTGTCCGGCAGGCAGTAGATGCGGTCCGTCTGCAGGTTGATGAACACGTGGTGGCTGCTCTGCACCGAGTGCGTGAAGGCGTGCGTGTTGCGGCCGCGGCCCTTGAAGTACTTGCCGCACACGAGGCACGCGTAGACGTTCTGGTCCGAGAGGCTGATGGAGCACACCTTCTCGAAGTCGAAGTCCAGCAGCTGGTGGTTGATCGTGTCCAGGTACGGACACTTGCGGCGCTTGGCGCCGGCGTCCGCGGCGGCGTCCGCGTCGGCCTTGCGCTTCTTGGTGGCGGACATCGCGGATTGGGCTTAATTGGGACTTTTTGGTCGGGCGCGGTGTGTCCCGGAATGAAAGTCCCCGATGCTGTGGCGAACTGCTCTTATACTGTAAGAAGCATGGGATTGGTTGATATTTTATAGTTAGTAGCTGCGATTGGACGAAAAGATGATGGATAATGTGCTCCGGCGGTGCGCCGCAAAGCGAGCTGCGGGGAGGGATGACCCGTCGGCGGTGGCGTCTATGCCTATCGCATACTCGCGCCAAGTCAACTCGCTCTTCCCATCGCGTCGGCAAAGTCGCAAAGGCACTTTGGACTTCGGGGGGGATCGCCGACTGACTGCCAAGCGCCAGCGGCTCAATTGCCCTAAGACATTTTTGCTGTATTTTAACTGGTATCTGTGTATTGAAATGCAAAATGCAGTCAGGACGAGTCCCCTGCCACAACTTTAGATTTCGTCCATTATTGCGGCATTATCCATCATCTCTTCCAATCAGCGCCGGCTAGACATGCATCGCAGGCTTTGTATGCACCCGGCAAAATGCCGGATGATTTGACCCGCGGCTCGAATCGGATGGGTGACGTCAAGGAGGGGGATTTCGCACTTAGCCGGGTCGTGCACGGTTTTGCGGCCTCGGGCTGCTTGGAGCCACGCAGTCCCGAAATCACCAAGCAGCCCGCAGCCCGCAGCCCGATCGAGATGATGATGCTCCGCCGCTCTTCCGCGCTGGCCCGCGCCGCCACGCCCGCCTCGCGCGCCTTCAACGCCGCCGCCAACGCCTCTGGCGAGGTCAAGTTCGAGTTCGCCTCGCCCTTCGAGCTGCACCGTGCGTTATTCATTGCATTCAGCAGCAGCCTTTCAGATATACCACCTGAAGGATCGTGCCACGCGACTTGTGAGCTAATGACCGCTATCTATTGCTGCGTGCTGCAGGTCTCGAGGAGGGCCCGGCCGAGTTCGCCGTGACCAACCGCGAGGAGATGCTGAGCTACTACGAGCTCATGTACACGATGCGCCGCATGGAGATCACCAACGACAACGAGTACAAGGCCCGCAACATCCGCGGTTTCTGCCACCTGTACGACGGCCAGGAGGCCGTGGCCACGGGCGTGGAGGCCGCTCTGGACCGCACCGACTCGTGGATCACCTCGTACCGTAACCACTGCATCATGCTGGCCCGTGGCGCCTCGGTCAAGGACGTCCTGGCCGAGCTGTTCGGCATGTCGGCCGGCGCCACCGGCGGCAAGGGTGGCTCCATGCACTTCTACAACAAGAAGGCCAACTTCTACGGCGGCCAGGGTATCGTCGGTGCCCAGGTGCCCGTGGGCGCCGGTCTGGCCTTCGCCAGCAAGTACAACCACAAGGGCGACGGCCTCATGCCCTGCGCCATCACCATGTTCGGTGACGGTGCCTCCAACCAGGGCCAGGTGTACGAGGCCGCCAACATGGCCGCCCTGTGGAAGCTGCCCGCCATCTTCTGCATTGAGAACAACCACTACGGCATGGGCACGTCCACCGCGCGCTCGTCGTTCAACACCGACTACTACACCATGGGCAACAAGATCCCCGGTATCAAGTGCGACGGCAACGACGTGCTCGCCGTGCGCGAGTGCACCAAGTTCCTGAAGAAGTGGTGCGGTGAGGACAACGGCCCCATCTTCGTGGAGATGAACACGTACCGTTACCACGGCCACTCCATGTCGGACCCTGGTGTGACGTACCGTAACCGTGACGAGATCTCGCAGATGCGTGCCTCGCGCGACCCCATTGAGCTGGTGAAGAAGCGCATGATCGAGGCCGAGCTCGCTACGGCTGACGAGATCAAGGAGCTGGAGAAGAAGGTGCGCGCCCAGGTCGTCAAGGCCACCAAGGAGGCCAAGGCCTCGGGCAAGCCCGAGGAGGCTTCGGCTTTCGTGGACGTGTACGCCGACGACAAGGGCAAGAACGAGTACCCGCCGTTCATCCGTTTCCCCGACTACGCCAAGAGCCTGTACAACGGCAAGCGCCAGTAAGCACTTTGTAGTGCATCTGGAGGACGGGCACGAAGCGGCGAGAGGATTATCACCCCTCTTCAGGACAAAAGCGCCTCGACAAGCGGTAGAAGCTGCGCTGCGTCGCCTTGTGATTGCCCTCCCTATTTCGGCTCGCTGCGAGTATGGTGTTGAGTGCGCTGCGCAGTGCATTAGAACCCGGCTGGCATCGCAGCTTAGCTCTAGGACAGTCTCGTATGCTTAGCGACCCCATTTACCGGCAGAATATGTAAACGCGACCGTATTTGCCATAACATACACACGTACACACCCGCGTCTGTAGTCGTTCCGCTGCATGCAGTGGGGTTTGAATTAGCCGGGCTGTTCCCAGTGTTGGTGAGCGCTGCATAGGGCTGCCCAGCCCCGTCAACTTGATGCCAACAAGCTGTTGGTGATTACACAGTACATGGCATCGATGGCGAACTATACTCCGCGTTGCAGTGCAACTTGCACCCGTCGAATCTCGGCCCGAGAGAGCGGCAAACCTATTTGTCATTTAGTGTTTCGCTTTGGCGTCCGAAGCACTACTGATAGTACGATTCAAGTCGACGGTGTCAATGAAAAAGCTGCCCAATTCCCATGTTGAAGCTGACAACTTACTACGTTTCCATCATACAAGTTCACTTGGCCGTGGCTCCTTCTCTCGTCTCCACTACGCGCGTGTACATGCTTCTCATCCACATACTGACTCACATTCTGCACTACTTGTGGCCGGGCATATTTTTCTACACTACTACTTCACTACTCACTACTAGTTCACGGTCGGCCGCTTGGTGCGTCGTGTTGCTGCTGTCTCATCGCCGTCGTCATACTTCTTCCAACATTTTGGAGCGGACGGCATCTTTAGCTGGAGTACAGCACCGTTCCAGCACCCGGGGTCGCTTCAAAGTCGCTGCCGTGGCGACGGTGACGCGGTCGACGACGCACAATTGGCCCGTTGTTGCTGCTGCTGTTTTTGATCGGGGTGTTGCCACCGTTGCGCAGCATCGGAGCCATGAACTCGTGCTCCTGCTGCAGCGCCACGACGCGATAGTGCGAGAGCTTTCGCGCTTGCTGCGCCAAAGTGTTCGCGTAGTTGGCGGCCACGATGATGTTCTTGGCGCGTGCCATGGCCTCATCGAACTCGAACCTTTCGTTGCCGTCGTCCGCCTGGGGCTCTTGGTTGCTTTCGTAGTTGATCTGGATGCGCGAACGCCCAGTACGAGGATTCACTCCATTCTGCGGCGAGGTGCGTGCGTGCACCGGCGACGGCCGCGTGATCGAGTACGTCGGCGAAGTGGACGACGACGAAGTGGACTCGTCGTCGGTGTTGTCGTTTTCGTCCGAGCCTTCGTTGTCTTCAGGCTGACGGCCCGCGTTGCCCATGCGCATTTGGTGCAGGCGGAAGGCCTCGATCGAGATGGCCAGATCCGCTGGGCTGCCTCGGCGCTTGGCCGCGAAGAGCGCCTTGTTGCGCATCACGAGGCCGTCGCTGAAGGAGCGACAGGGGAAGCTGGCCTTGGGGACACCGATGCTGGAGCCAGCAACGCCGGAGCCGTTGCTCTCCTCAGCACCTGACGAGAACGTCTTGTACTCGATGAGGCGCGAGCGCACGGGATCGAGGAGATTGTCGTACGACCGACGCTTTGGAGGCTCCTCCTTGACTTGGCCGCTGGCAACCGAAAAGCTCTGTGCACGGCCCAGCATCGGAGTGGTCTCGTTCGTGTAGGCGAAGAACTGATTCGAGCCCGTAGAGCTGAAAGACGGCGTGGATGGGGGCTCCATGCCACTGGCAGTGTTGCGTGAGGACCGACGCGCTTCAATCACGCACGCAGTGCAGACTCGAAGCTGGCGCTCGCCGATATCGGGCACATGAGCGCTGCGCACAGAGCTGCACGAGCTGCAGCACACTTCGCCACACTTGAGGCAGTTGTAGCGGCGGCGGCGCACGCAGAACTTCTTGGAGCACATGCGGCAGTGATCCTGCTCGCTCATGGGCACCACTTGCAGAGGCAGAACGATCTCCTCGCGGCCCACGCGGAAGTTCTCGGTGTACTTGAGGATGCCGTTGATGCACTTCTCCACGTGCGACTGAATGGCCGAGTTGGCGACCCACGCGGGGAGGTCGCCGTTCTTGTCGAAGTTGCACGTGTAGGTCATGCGTAGCTCGCCCGACCGCTTGGTCGAGTGATACATGAAGCCCATGAGCGGCACGAGGTCGCGCACGTACTTGGGGGACTCGGCGTACTTGGAGAAACCCGCGGGCGTGTCCACCGACTCCATGATACGGAAGGCGGTCATCTGTCCCTGAGCGTCCTCGATCATGTCAACGTACTCGAGCATGAGCAGGTCGCGGTCCTTGGCGAACGGGCCGGAGCTCTTGAAGGCGGCCCACTTGAGCGCGACGTAGCGGTGCGGGTTGGCCGGCGTGGGCTCTACAATGTTCTGCACCACTGCGCCGTCCAGGAAGTCGGACGACAGCATGGCCATCATCCGCTTGAAGGACGCTGTGGTCGGCGTGATGAGCGACGCCGCGACGTCCTCGATGTCACAGGCGAACTTGCACACGGCGTGCACGTTGCACGGCACGTTGGTTCCTGCGTTGGTGGCGTCGGCTCGGAAGAGCGAGATGCCGTGTTTCTCGTGGACGAGCGCCCACGGGATGCCGCCAAGCAGGTCGGTGGCCTCCAGGAGGCTCTCGGTCATGCGCTTGGCGACTGTCGTGAGGCGCTCGCGGTCCTTGACGCACATCTCCGCGACGTCCTCGGTCGGTTCGGTGTCACTGTCGTCGGTGCCGTCGGATCCTGACCCGTTCGACGAGCCGAAGCTGGAGAGCGCGCGCGGCGTGAGCGGGGTCCCGGCCAGCGGCGACCCGGTGCTGGGGCTGTACTCTGCCATGCTGTGTGGTGTTTATTTAATGAATCGCGTTATCGTGTACGGGGGAGGCGACGCAGCGCATGCAGTTCTTTCTACTCCTGAGGCGACGTGCGCGCGAGGGCTCGAAGGCGAAACTGAGCGATTTTCGGCAGGAGGTTGCTGCGCGTCGCACGTAACAGCTCCTGGTCAGACGCACGTGCTTTCGGGCCAGCGCCTCGATTTAGGGCAAACGGCCCGTTCTCTTCTATTTCTTGCTGACGTACCCCCAAAGAGGCCGGAGCAGGCGAGAGGATCAAGCGCGTTGATATCCACGGACGGAGCGGTACGAGCGCTCATTCGAGGCCGAGGCAGCCCATGACGACGGTGGCCGGGAGCTGGTTTCGAACACGGCGCTGCTGGACGCAGGTCAACTCGAGCGCGAGCACCAGCACCGCAGTCTGTAAACGGCTCCGCCCTCTGACTACACGCTCCGCACCGTTTCGCGATTGGCTGACAACTTCAACTTGCGGCCCACACATCGAAGATCGCCCACTGGCTCCGTCACCGATATAAATAATACCCCTTGTTACTCGTTGATATCGGATTTACATTTCTGTGATAAAAACCTGTGATTTAGGATCTCTCGCTAGAACAGATAAATGTACTCATGTCGAACTCGCAGTGCGGCTATATAGGAACTTTTGGGGCGACTCACACAGCGGAAGCTTTAGGGCGACTCACGCCTTGGTGGCGGCCAAAACGCCCGAAACGCGTTCTGCGACGACGAGTGCGGGCCTATGCAGCGCCATAGTCGAGCTGGCAGCAGCGCCACCCAGTCGGTACCTGACGAAAATCGCGGCGATGCGTCAGGTGCCAGCTCGAGCGCTAGCAGCGTGGTGGTCCACCGGTGGAGTACGTAGCAAAAAAAGCGAGCACGAGCGAGCACCTTCGTCATGTGCTCACGGAGACGGCGCTGCTTTTGCTGGCAGTTCGGTCGCCGTTGTTGGAGTATCGCACGCTCTGCACGCGTTGCAGCTGCAAGAGGGTTGTTGCCGACCCCCATCCAGTTTTGCAGACGGGAACGACCAAAAGCCAAGGTGTTGGTAGGAAGTTGCTCCGAATCGAGGTCATGAATGCGAGGGCCAGGTGCTCCGTAGTTGGAACGATGGCTAAGGTTGCAATGCGAATGTTGGACGGAACACAATTGACAACTTGCGCCCAGCTAGAGGCTTTGTCCCCCCCCCTCGCCTTTTCTGCGAGAAGAGGAGTTGCTCGAAGGCTCGACCCACCGCGGAGTATGGTGCAAGACCACAACGCCACCGACAGTCGAAGCTTTCGCACGAGCCCCCAGCCTACAGCCGATCACCAACAGGTTAGGCGGCATGCTCTTCAAAACCACCAAGAGGACGATATGCCCACTAGGTCGAGGTCGAGGATAAATGCATTCCCTATTTCCATACTTTTCACTATTCTTACATGGACCGTCGAGAGCCGACCAGGCGAAGATATCCCCCGACCTTTGACACGCTTCAGACGCCACTCGATAAAATCTGAACTACGCTGCTGTCGATGCTGCGCGACCAGTGCGGCCCAAAGCCGCGGCGCGGAATGCTTCTGCGGCTGCTGTGGTGTCTACTCTGTTTCTGCGCGCTCGCGATTGAGCTTGCAGACGGCAGCACACCAGCCTTATCGCGGGCAGGCTGCGTCTGCCAGTCCACCGTGTTGCCATCGACGGGTTCGGTTGTTACTTGCTACCAGGCGGACTCCAGCTCCCCCTTTGGGTGTGCAGTGGACCCTTCCGACCCCTGCGCGGACGGCGTCCTGGACCGAACGTGGGATCTGTGCAATGGTGCGTTTTTGCTTGATTAGCGCTCTTATCCTCTCACTTGTGATCGGTTCTAATGTGCCAATGTGTATGCGGATCAATACGTACTAGTCGTCAACTTGTACCTCGTGACAGATCGAGCCTCATCTACAATTTCCAGTGGCTCGCTCAATGTCACGTTGCATGGCAAAGAGCAAGTGACGTTGAAGCAAGCTCAAGTGTCGGATGATATTCTTCAGCGCAAGATCTCCAGAGTCACATTGGCGTTGGATAACGATACTGCAATCGAATCCATTAAGGTAAGATTTGGATTTCTTTTCTTTTGCTTGTGGTGTGGCAGTTCAGTAATGCTCATACGATACGCAGGTCGAAGCTGCGGCGAGCACGTCGCTCCGGATCTTTGAAGTACAAGCCACGCTAAACGATCTACCCACCACGATATTTTCTCCTCCATCACCTGGAACGATTTCTTTCGTCAGCAGTGGGGAGACAGCGAGTAATGGGGTCGTGTCGCTACTGTTTGTGCCGGTGACGGAGTACTTTGACAGTCAGTGATGAAATTTTGTCGAGAGTATGAGCTCTGTTCCTAACGCCATCATGTTGTGTATGTGCGTATGTTTGCTAGGTGACGTCCTCAGCCAGTGCTACTTTGATTTGGTGGGGCGTTGCGGATATCACGCTGATCTACAGGAGAGCTCGGACCTGCTCTTTCTGGCAGAAGACGGCAATGAGCCGATTGTGGCGGCCAAGTCAGCTGCATCACAATCTTTATCTGAAGAGGAGAAGCCTCAAGCACCAGCTTCCCGCTCCATTTCCTTTCTGCCGAAGGTGAACGATCGTCGGCGGACAACTAGGTCTCGGTCAGTCCGCGCACAAGAAGAGCGCGAATTACCAAGCGGAATAATGGAGGTTGCTATGGCAAATGAGCCTATCGATATTCGATTAACTGACGTACTGGGAGAAATAAGGCTGACACGATCCGAAAATGCGCGATTGGACTTAGTATCAGTGGAAGCAATATGGCACGCCTCGAGCGCGGTTAAGAAGGCAAGCATTCGCGGTCTTTCATCAAAGACAACTGTGATGGATGGAAAAATTGTGACTCGTTGGCGCTTAGTGCGTCAAAGCTCCGTCGTGAAGGTCTACCCGAACGTTGAGTTCTCCAACGAGACCAGCTTTGTGCTTGTGATTCAAGTTCGAGCAGCAAGAAAAGTGGTCCAGTACTCCAAAGAATATTTCGTGGAAGTGGATCCTCAGTTGGATTTTCAACCGATGGATCAGCCAGAACGATTTCTAGTTGAAAGCAGCGCAGAAGAAGATGCGGCGACGATACTCCGGCGATTGAACACAGGTGATTCGACCAGCCAGGATGCTGTCACGTTGGAGTTGCTGCCTGTGGTCGTTGATCTAGAAGAAGGCACCCCGCTCCGTCTTTCGATGTCAGAGCTTTTTTCAAGTGACACGGCTACAAGCTCTGCAACCTGCAAAACAACCTTTATGGTTTTCCACGTGGACAACGTCATTAGCTCCGTGAAAGCTCCGTCATTAGGCCTCCAGGATGTATCCGGCATCCACGATCCGACAATTGTTCATTCCTGCTCCGAAATTCTCTTGGTGTGGCTCCAGCCAAATGCCTCGAGTATTCAGGCCCAGTTACGGGTAGAGCTGACAAGCTCAAAGAATGCAGTGCTTCGACTCGCCACTATACCTCTCAAATGGACCGTGATCCCCAGTATCAATCTGCCAGTCGCGAGCCGTCTACTTGCTGGAGCCCACAACACACTGGCTGGTGATATTAAGGAGCTGACACTGAATTACTCAGACGTCCCCGCTGCTGTCCGCGTGGACATCACGGTAGACAATTGCACCTTCTTGACTATCGAAACGACTGGGGATGCGAAATCGACGAGCGACGAGTGTACATTCCTCTTGAAAGCCTCTAATGAAAGCAGCATCGAAGATGTGCCGAGTGGAATAACGATTCGCCGGCAGCAAACGGAAGCCTTTCGAGTTCCGATTGAAGTGACGGCGTCCATGTTTGAACAAGGTGATGGCGGGACGAGTTGGGTACTCAGCTATTCCAACGTGGCTTCGTATACTATCCACTTTTGCGAGCTGTACAGTTCTTCCAATGTTGGAGCTCAAATCTTGCGTAAGGGAGAGACTAGAAAGTTTCTTTTTACTGAGTTTGCACTCTCAGCTCTTGGCACAAGTCTATCCGCATCTCAGTTTACGGCGAATGTCTATTTCGTTGGAGATCCTGACTTCTTCACAAACGTGGGTAATTTCCAGGTTGGTGGCGAAATGGTTCACTCGGAAGCGTACAATTTGTCCGCATCCTTCGTCACGTTAAGATCTGAAAGTGCAGACTCATTCACGGTCACGCCGTTGCAGTATGGAACCTTTCTGGTCGATATGATATTGGAGTGGAAAGACGACGCCAACTCCGATTCAGGCTGCTTCTTCGTACAAAATATGGCGATGTCAGTTCTCCCGTCGTTCTCTCAGCCACTTTTTGCCACTCCGTATTCGTTTAGCCGGAGAGTACTTCAAGGCAGCTCTGCACAAGTCACAATCCCGCTCATCGAAGCGACAAGTCCTGAGCTGGAGTATTTGACTCTCGCTCTAAAAGTGAACACGACGGACGATGCTATCGCAATTAAACGCGGTGACACCCAGTACAACGCCTCTTCTAGCGACCCAAACTCCTACTTCCTGGTTGAACGGGATGCAGAGCTGGATTCTGCGAGGCATATTGTCATATCTGCTACGCCTAGCGATACCTTTGCTGGGATTTTGCGTTTTGATTTTGGAGTCTCGGCGGTTGGACTTGTTAATAACGAGATTCCCTTTGAAGGTCTAGATGTCGAACTATCGACACTCCGTGATGTTGAGGTTGAATGGATCCCGAAAGCCACCATAGACCTACCAACCCCTTCAGGCGAAGCCGTCTATCGAAGTCTGCCAACGCAATTACAAGGCAACTCTAGGTTGTCGTTCAAGTACCAGATGGGCTCAGGTAAGAGTATAATAATGATGCACACACTTCTTGGATTGGACCAAACTCCACTAACAGAAGTTTGTGTGATATTTGCTAGACTTTTCGAGTATTTCCACTGACGTGGTTTTGAACTCGAGCGAAACCAGATCGGTGTGGTCGAGTGATTCAGCTGTGATTGTCCAAGGCCAATGGAACTATGTCGAAGCGCTGATAGACCTATCGCATCCATCAACCGCTGAAATTGTTTTCCGTGGTATTGCATCGGTTGAAGACACACTGCGGCTGAAAGAGATTGTTGTTCGCGACTTCGTCCACGAAACGATTGTAGGAGAAATCGACTTTGTTCGCGCTACTGGAGGCATGATTTACATTGAAGTCAACACAGCGAAATCGATCCCGGAGCCAGTGCAACTTCGTGCCTACGTGAGTCGCTTGAACACCAGTAACACCCCAGCGCTCAGCTTTACGGGTAAGGATTTCGTTGTGCCTATTCTGACACGATATCAAGATCCCTAACACTTTTATTGTAATCCTATAGGTAACGATCTCCAGTATGTTGGATGTGAGGCTACTACTAATATGTATCCGTGTGCTGATGACTCCGGAATATCCTTTAAGAGTCCAACCCAATGCAGAACGTTGTGTTCGTCAGTAGAGACCCAGCTGAAGTTCACCCCCGAGTCTGTAGTGCGAAGTGCACAAATGGTGTCTTTCGCTGTCACCGATTCCTTTACGGTCGAGTTTTGGGTGTTTCTCGAGAGTTTTAGCACAAGCTCCAGTGATGAGCAACTTTTGTTGCTTTTTGGTACTCAGGAAGGGAGTCTGAGTATCACTCTGAGCAACTCTATAACGATCTCGCGCTGTGAAAATCATCTTCGGATCCCTCACGGAATTCCTCTGCACAAGTGGACTCATGTTGCGATTGTATTTGGTCCAGACGACGATATCACACTGTTACTGAATGGAGACCCAGTCGCGGATGGTATTCTGAGTAAGGTGAATTGCAATGTGCCGACCTTTGCCTATCTCCAAGTTGGACGAGGTACATGGACCATCAACACATACACAAATGCTGTCATTTCTAATGCCTTTGTGTTTGCGTGGACAGACACTATGGGTATTCTCCCGGACACCTCCGTTCTACTAGGCGCCATGGATGAGGTACCATTCGTACATGCTTTATTTTGCATTCATCCTTTTGCAAAAAGGCTGACTTATTCCTTTTTTCAAATTAGATTCGTATTTGGAAGCTTGCGCGTGACCCAGCAGATATACTTGCTACGTTCCGAACGAATGTCGTAGATGATACCGACTTGATCCTACTTCTACCGTTTAACTCGGCAGAGAACACAAACTGGTTTCCTTCGGTGGCGGATGGAAGTATACGCAGCGTTGATTTTATGGTGCAGGGAGTGAATGTTACCAGGACTCGCCCGATCCAAGCGTTTGGTGTCGCTGGAAACGGAAGCTGCTACTACAAGTTGGCTGCGTCTGCTGACAAGTTATCGCCTACTACCTGTGACAAAACGTGCGGGGATAGAAGTTTGAGAACATGTGGATCCAACGCCAGTAATGATGTGGCAAGTGTCTACGCTAGAGGCCCCATTGGAGTTGGAGGCCTCTCTCCGCTCACTGAATACGAAATATCAGTGGAGTTTGTGACGGCAGATAGTAGTGAGTACGAGATCACCAAGGCACTTATTGCTAACACCTCATACGCAACGGAGCCCGGAAAAGTGGAGTATATCAGCGTCGTGGAGCAGTATGGCGACTTGGTGGAGATTCAGTGGAGTCCAGTGGACGACGACGGAGGGTCGGAGATTTTGAGCTACTTGGTTTTTCTGAACGGAGTACAGGCTGCCGATACTGGTGCAGGGAGCGTGTTATCAATGACGCTACAGATCCCGGAGACGGGACCAAACACCATATCGATGCAAGCACTCAATGCTATTGGAATAGGCCCAATGAGTAATGCACTTCCGTTGACAGGTGTGTACAGTACTCCAGCCCCTGAGGTACCACAGAGTCCACTTGTACTATCTGTATCGGGTGGAACGGTGACACTCGCACTGGACCCAATGGTGATCACGGCAATTGAAACACTTTCATCGCAAGTACTCATCCAACAGCAGGAACTTTCGGTCGCAACCTTTTTGGAGGCATTTTATCGACTGAACGGCTCATCAGCCGTCATTTACAAGCTACGGCACAACACTGTTTACATCTTTCGAGCAAGCGTTATCAGCAAAAATGGCGCTCAAAGTGCATTCAGCATCCCGGTTTCGGCTAGAACCGGCGACAGAGGAAGTCCAAGCAAGACGCCGCAACCAGTGGTGGCTGATGTCACAGGTAAGTGTACAGACTGACGTGAATTCGAACGTACTCATTTAGCCATGTTTGCTGCGATTTGGCTCGTACAGGGGGATCGATAACGCTAGTTCTCAAGGAACCCCTCGATACAGGTAATTTTGCTGCATAATTCACCGGAATTTATCTGTGTGGTACTGTATGTGACGGATTTGCAATGGACTTTGTTGGGCTAGGTGGACTTTCGATTGCGCAGTACAACATCTTTGTATTCCGAGATGATTCTTTCGTGAAGTGGACAAGTATTGCGGCGTCAAGTACCAGCAAAAATACAACGATCAGTATCACGCGAGATAATGAGGGCAACCCTCTAGCTTCTGCGACTTCATTCACTTTGAAGGCTTTGGCGCTTCAAGTTGACGTTTCGTGCGACACATTGGCGGAAGATGGCTTGGAAAGTGAGGAGGTGACTGTAGCAACAGCAGCAGCCGCTGTGCCAGCTCCACCGCCGCCTCCAGTTCTATTGCAATTGTCGGGGTGTATGGCGCAGGTAACTGCTGCACCGCCTAGTGACTTCGGTGGCGCTGAAGCCACTGGAATGACCGTTGGAGTATTCTTGACAACCGGAATTTTGCATGAGAGCTTCGCGGTTGCGTTATATCCGGGTATCATCACCATTCAAAATCTTCTGGCACGTACACGTTACTTGGTGAAGGCCTCTCTAAACACTACCCTCGGTAGTACTGACTTCAGTGAAGCCATGGCCTTTACAACGGAAGATCCAAGCCAACCTGGTCAGCTTGCGCAGATGAGTGTCGTTAACATTGGTCCAAGCTCGTTACAAGTACAATGGGCGGGACCGAAGACTACGGGAGGAGGTGTCATTTCAGGTAAGCTTCACATACTGTCAGTTGCTTCTGTATGCACAGATCTGACCATGCTTTCTTCTTTATGTAGGGTATTTGATATACCAGCGCGCTACTGATGCTAGTGCAACTCGCACGCTCATTTACAATGGGTCTGAGGACTCCTCGACGACATCATTCCTCGTTGAAGGTCTCCTCGCCGAAACTCTGTATTTCTTTTCTGTCGTTCCGGTGAACCAGTACGGCATTTTTGGGGTGCCTGATGATAATGTGGAAATCATCACAACGTCAGCTGCTGAGGCTCCTTCGTCTCCAACCAGCCTTGCGCAGAGCCAAGTGGATGGTGCATTCTTCGACTTGTCGTTTTCAGAGCCTTCCGAAACTGGCGGTTTTCCGATCCAGACTCTGCAGTACATTGCACGTCTCGAATCGTTGGCATCGTGTCTCAATGACACATCAGACTGCTCTACATGCTCTCACGTGATAAATTCCGACGGTACTCTGCAAGCTCTGGATATGAGCTCGAATCCGTGCTCGACGGGGGCTTGTGATGCTACACAAACTTGCTGCCTGAGCAGCGGAACGAAATGTGGTGTAGTAACGACGGAGGTAAAACAGTGTGCCTCTCCTACACAGGCGGGGATTTGTCGCGTAGATGGCTTAACTATCTCTACAACGTACGTTGTCGCGCTGGCTGCAGTGAATGACATGGGAAGCAGCCCATATTCAAGTAGTGTCACGATCACTACCAATGATTTTATTCTGCCAGGACCTCCACAGGTCAACCTACTATCCGCTTCAGGAGGATGCTTGAAACTGGGGCTCGAGCCGCCTGCAGGAAGTGACTCGACTTCAATTCAGTATTATGTCGTTATCTCTGGTGTTACCGATGGTTTTCAGACAGCGTACAACGTCAGCGCCAGCACTCTTGTTGCGTGCGACCTAAACCACGACACGACTTATTTGGCGAGCGCTGCAGTCAGAAGTGCGCACGGAGTCGGAGAAAGTCAACTTGTGAATGCTGCAACTGGGGCGCTTTCAGGTCCAACCGAAGTGCTTGGGTTGCTCGCAGGGGTTACAACTAGCGGATATTCGACGCTCTCTTGGACCGCTCCTCTCGATAAAGGTGGAATGCCCATCAAACAGTATGATATTGCAGTCACGAACCAAGCGACGAATGAAGTCCGATACGTCGTGGTATCAGGATCAGAGCTAACAGCATCAATCAGCTTTCTAGCTGCTAGTACATCGTACTCATTCTCTGTTCACGCGGTGAATAATGCTGATCTGGTGGGGCCTGATTCGAGTGTCATTGTATCGACTGGTGATGCAGTTGTACCACAGCAGCCCCCTCCACCCGAGCTGCTTTCCGCTACGGGTGGAGCACTCTACGTCGCTGTGGTCGCTCCAGTTGACTGCGGTGGTTCGGCTTTGAGTACGTATGTCCTAAACATTGCTCGGCATACCGGAGGAGCTTTGGAATATCGCCAGTACGCTTCAGGTCCAATTCAAAATTCCCCATATGATCGGCAACTTGTGAACGTCTCAGTGTACGGCCTTCTGTCAAAGTCAGAGTACTTCATTACAGTTTCCTTGGCAAACGCGGTGGTAAGAACGCTTGGTACACTTACTAAACCAGCTTGAAGTATACTAATAAACTTGTGTTCTATGGCAGGGATGGAGCCCGCAAAGTGAAGCGACAGCCTATTCAACCAGCGGACCAACTCCTGTTCGTGAAATGAATCCGCCGAAGGTTGCACTTGAGGACCCTGGTGAAATTACACTGGAATGGGATACTCCATTGGATCCAGGTGGAATTGGTATTGTGGGGTACACGGTGCAATCACGCTACCAATTGGCAGATGGATCGTGGTCGCCCTCGAAAATTGTGTACGACGATCGATCATCGTTGGCGCGAACAGCTCTGATCACGGGCATACTTCAAAATACCCAGTATGCCTTCAGCGTCACGGCCTACAACTTCCGTACGTTGTGTCGATCTGATGAATACGTGACGCCAAGTGATGAGCTTCTTGTCCAAAGTCAGGATGCTTCGATGCCTTCCCAACCGAAAAATTTCCATTACGTTCAGATAACCGGTGGATCGATTACCTTATCGTGGGACCCTCCTCGTTCTCCGGGAATGCAGCCATTGCACTCGTATCTGGTGAACGGAAGCATCGAGGGCGCTGAGCTACAATTATTGGCAAACATCAGCGCCACAAGTGCAACTTCCGTTACCTTGTATGGCTTTACCGCTCTAACGGTGTACGAATTTGCAGTCGCTGGAGACAATGGTTTGGGGGCGGGACCATACACTTCCATCTTACGTGTAACTACCACGGTCATAAGTGCTCCGGGGAAGCCCAAGAACCTGAACCAAATAGCAGTTTCTTCTGGTGGATCGATCAAATTGACGTGGGACCCTCCAGATGACTCGGGCGGGGCGCAGGTTCAACAGTACACGGTACTTCGCGATGGTAGCGAAGTCGGAGTGGTGACCACGACAATATTCGTCGACCAAACCGACGTGGCAGCTGAAATGAGCTACAGCTACTCTGTTTTTGCGTCAAATGATGTTGTGTCCAGCACGGAAGGCGCCGAGCTCGTAGCTCGTAGTTCCAGCGCGTCTGTACCGATGCCTCCTGTTGCCACGGCACAAGCCAGCAGTGGATATGTGGTCATGACAATCGTACCATCAACAGACTCGGGTGGTGTTCCGGTAACCCACTTCCTGCTAACGGTGCTGCGGGGAACTGTGCCTGTCGATACGTACGAGACGTCAAAAACCGTCTTCACCGTGTCGGGACTTTATGCAGAAACCAAATATTCAGTTCGGGTCCAAGCCGTCAACAGTGTCGGAGAAAGCGACTCCACCACTGTGGATGTGACAACTGACCTCGCTATTGTTCCTGATGAAATGGTGCCCCCAACTCTGGTGAGCGTCACGGGAGGTGCCTTGCGATTGACTATTGTACCACCCGCGGATTTTGGCGGCGCCGAAATTCGCGAGTATTACTTTTACGTAAATGACACGGAGACTGACGTGATGGCGATTTCCGATACCATCTATGATGTGGTGGGCTTATCAGCATTCACGGTGTACTCTATCGCCGTTTCAGCAAAAAATACTATCGGTGAAAGTGCGCTGAGCGACGCAATACTTCTGTCGACTACCTCGGTAACTAAACCAGGTGAGGTGTGGAATTTAGAGAGCGTTTTTCAGTCGTATGATACGATTGAAGTCGCATGGCAGATGCCTCGAGATACTGGAGGAGATGAAACAACGGTGACATATGAAGCTGAGCTTAGTTCAGGTACAGATAGTACGAGTACCGTACCTTGTATGACGAGCTCAGCTACTTTCTCGGACCTCCAACCGGCGACGACATACATAATTCAAGTTCGAGCAAACAACACGGAAGGCGTTGGTCCATGGTCGACCAGTATAAGTGTGACAACAGATCCGGCATCGCCTGGAATCATTAGCTTTACAATGAATGAAACCACAGTGTCGGAAGCAGGAGGCTCGATAGAACTGTCGTTGCTCCGCACAATGGGAGGATTCATGTCTGCCAAGTGCTATTTCACAACAGTTGACGGTACCGCTGTGGCTGGTGTTCAGTACGTGGAAACAAGCGGAGAAGTTGACTTTAATCGGAGTACCAGTGCCCAAAGCATCGTTGTTTCCATCATCAACAATGCCGTCACGGACGACCCAGACAAGTATTTTTTCGTTTCAATCCAGCCGTTCGATGATGAATCAGGAGAAATCGGAGATAATTCGACCATCAAAGTTACGATATTGGATGACGGAGATGCTGGAACTCTCGCATTTGGCCAGATCAACAACGTATCCGAATCGGTAGCTACGCTTACAGTGAAGATTATACGAACCGGGGCGTTTAGTGGCGGTGGCGATATTGCAATTGATACAGTTGATACCCCTGGGGGCGCCGTGGCTGGAATCGACTATAACATCCAAAATTCAGTTGTGAGCTTCACTAACCTACAAAAGGAAGCATTTGCCACCATCGAAATTCTGAATGACGCAATGTATCAAGTACAGAAGACATTTCAGTTGACGCTTCGAGCTATCAGTGGCCGAATCTCGGTCGGCGATCCTCCAGCTAGTGCTTTGGTGGAGATTTTGGACGACGGTGATGTTTCGCCTCCAGGGATACCTCCCTCCCTTCAAGCTGTGATAATATCGGGTGGAGCAGTAAGTGTCTCCTGGTCAACTCCCGACTATATGGGTGCGAAGACGGTCAGTGCGTTATCGTATAGCATAAGCATATTGGAAGTGCAAAGCAAGTTTACTCGAGAGCAAGCCGCGGAAACATCGAGTGCAGTAATTGTGCAGCTTGCTGCTCGAGCGGCTTATCGTATCTCGGTTGCGGCCAAGAATGGGGAGCTATTGGGTGCGTATACTGATCCTGTGTCAATAACGATGGGGGCTCCTACGCCCTCATCGCATCCCCTGAATGTTCAAGTGCTCTCTCGAACTGGAGGAATGGTGACATTGTCCTGGACAGCTCCTTTCGACTCTGGAGGCGATACTATTGGAAGCTATCAAGTAAATGTGACCAGAAGTGACGACAACGTTAATGTCGGGACGTATACTACCAACGATATGATGACATCAGCGAATAACCTTGATCCACTCACGAGATATAGTGCGACGGTCGAAGCAATCAGCAAAGACGGACTCGTTGGCAATGCCAGTGACCCCGTGGTGTTTACAACAGTCGAAGCTTCTATACCAGGAAAACCAACGGATTTGGAGATACCAAAGGCCACGGGAGGCGCATTGTACATGCGAATGAACGACCCACTCGATGTTGGTGGCTCGCCCATCTTGACGTACACTTTGCTCATGACATCAGCTCAGTATCCAACTATCTTCCGGCAAGTTTATGAAGGCCCAAGTCCATGGTTTAATGCAACCCATTTGACCGTTTCTACGGCTTACAGACTGCAGTATAAAGTGGCAAACAACGTGGTGCGTCTCTCTCTAATATTACTATTTACTAGTGTGTGACTAATGCCAAGTTCATTGTGATTCGTGAATGCGCATAGGGTACAAGTGAGTTGAGCGATGTGTTTGTTGCGAGCACCAAGTATTTATCGATTCCGGATGAAGCTCAGAACATCGTTGCGCTTTCTCGAACTGGCGGATCCGTCACACTTTCCTGGACACCCCCGTTCGATTTTGGTGGAGCGGATATTACCGCGTATGATGTGTCGTTCTTCCTTGGTGCTCCGATCAGGTCCCAATTCCGACAGAGGGTGTCAGGCGTTAATCCAAATGCAACATCAGTAACGGCGAAAGTGGTGGGGCTGCTGGCGAATTCATACTACGGATTTTCAGTAGCTGGCGTGAATGATGTGAGTGTTTGCGAAGACCCCTCCGTTATATTGACTCGCACGATCGTGTATAGCGCTACGGATCCGTTGGTGTCTATACCAGACAGACCACGCGGCTTAACTGTCGCCCTCAGTACGTCCGGAATGCAGACCATGCAATGGTCGGCCAGTGAGGACACCGGAGGCAGCTATTTCGTTGCATACATTCTGTATTCGAACCTTGGTGAAATCTTATACAATGGTACAAGTACGTCTTTCGCCCGTGGATCGCTGACCAAAAACACGAAATATGGTTACGCTGTCTCGGCCTGGAACACGGCAGGAACTAGTAACAAGAGTGATCTCGTGTTTGCTACCACTACTGCGGTGATTGTTGCCCCAAGCCAACCCCTTGAGTTCACCAAGACAAATAGCAGCGGGGGTTCAATTGGACTCAGTTGGCAAAAGCCCCTGGACAGTGGAGGAGACAACATAACAGGGTACACACTCTATCGAAACGCACTTTGGAGAGCGGATGTCGGTGCTAGTGGATCTGTCCTGTCATTCCTAGATGACCAAGGCCTCGTGGCGGATCATCAATACGTCTATGTTGTTCACGCAAACAATTCGATTGGATTGGGAGCCATGAGTGACAAACTAACTGCGAGTACGTCAGCTGCAACCGCTCCAAGTCCACTAACAAGTGTTACTGCAACAACTTTGGGCGGAAAGCTCACAGCAACTTGGGCCCCAGCTCCAAATACTGGCGGCGTTCCCTTGACATTATTTCATCTCCAGGTGCTAATTGATTCGGTCGTCGCTTTTGAGACTACGACGGCGAACACGCTACTGTCGTACTCTGTATTTGGAGTCAGAGCAGGCACAACCTACACCGTTCGTGTTACTTCGGAGAACCAGATTAATGAAAGTTTACCCATGACTCAAACGCTGACAAGTGGAGTCGCACTTCCTCCCGCAGCACCACCAGCCCTCGAACAGTACCTCGATACGGCAGCGTTGCTACCTTGGATGATACGTTTGAAGTTACACCTACCAATTGATGACGGCGGAGCCTCCATTTCTCAGTTACTCGTGTATCAAAACGGCACAAAGGTTGCTTCGATTTCGATTGATGCCGCGGATCAAGCGGTTCTGGGGAAACCAACGACGCGGTTTACACTAATTGATGTAGGTCCTTTGCACGCTGGGTCCGTCTACTATTTTGCAGTCTCGGCTGTCTCATCCGTGGTTACAATTGGCGAGGGTGCACGCAGCACTGCAGTACAAGTGGTGACAAATCCGGCAACACTTCCATCTGTACCGCTCAATTTTGCGGTTGGACTTCGAACATCTTTCTCTGTTTTCCTTAAGTGGGATGGCCCGATCGATACTGGAGGCGACGATGTCTTTTATGAAATATCGTACACCAACACAAATACTTCCGAAAGCCTTGGGATCGTAACTGTTAGCGCCACAACCGTTGAAGTACCCAAATTGATTCCCGGGTACATTTATTCGTTTCAAGTGCGTTCTCGAAATTCTGCGGGGCCTAGTGAGTGGGCTGCGGGTCTAGAAACTCAAACCGATGTGACTCAGCGTGGCCTGCTCACGTACAATATTGCGTCGTCGAGTGTGTACGAAAACGTTTCGAGTGTGACAGTTTATTTGCTTCGTGTGAATGGATCAGCGGGTACGGTTACCTGCAGCTACACGGATGGATTTGGTACGGCTGTGTATGGTCAGGACTACTCGTTGCCCCCAGAGTCGGAGAGATCGTTTTCGTTTTCTGGAGAACTAATGAAGCAGAGCTTTAGTGTGACGATCATCAATGACGAGAAGTACGAGCCAATCGCGAGGACTATTATTTTAATTCTCACAGACACTACTGCGGATCGAAGTGAACCGATAACTCCAACCACGATCACAATCTCGATTTTGGATGATGGCGATGCGGGAACAATCGGCTTCGCTGTCAATGCAGTTAGCGTCTTAGAAAACGCTCGAGTGCTATCGCTAAGTCTCCAACGTCTGAATGGCAAGAGCACAGCAACGAGCGTTCGAGTGATCGTGTACAATGGACTGAATAGTACAACGCAACCCGAAGTTGGATTCCGACTGCCTTCAGGCTCCATTGACTTTATGGATGGTCAAGTCCAGCGCGACGCATCTATTGTGATTAAGGACAACGACGCCTATGACTTTCCCTACCTGTATTTCTATCTCTCCTTACAAATAACAGCAGGCGCGGCAACCATTGGCGAGTACAGCGTCATTCGTGTTGAAGTTCGGGATGATGGGGATCGTTCCGTGCCTGGATCGATGAACGCGCCTACGCTGAAAAAGGCTACAGGTGGAATGCTAGCGCTGACGTGGGATCCTCCAGGCAATGTTGGCGGTGATACTCTCTGGATTACGGGATACAGCTTATCGATTCGCTCGGGCAACTCCATGAAATCGCTAGTCACACAGACGAACGCGACGACATTGCCTTATGGAGACCTGACTGCGCTCACCAACTACAGCTTCTCTATTTGTGCGATAAACGTGATCGGACCAGGATCCAGCAGCCCAGATGTTACATTTGCGACGACAAACTTTACAGCTCCAGGGCCACCAGCTGAAATTGACCTGCTGAATCGTACTGGTGGTTTGATCACAGTTAGTGTTGCTGTACCGATCGATACGGGAGGGGCCCCAATAACAGGATACCTAATTTATGTCTCAGAACTAGACGGGGACTTCGAGGTAGGGAAACGCAAAGGAAGCTCCTAATATTCGGCTGGCCTTCACTAATAACGGTGCTGTGTTTTGTAGCTGGCGTACAATGGAACTGGACAATCCTCGAACCAGATACCTGTAAGCGTCGGCAAACCAAATACGAGCTATTCATTCCGAGCACAGGTTCGTTCTACTTTGTGTATTTATACGGCAAATTTGATGAGATGTATTGCTGACAGCACCGATACGATTATATCGATACAGGCAATCAATTTCATGGGACCTGGTGAGAGATCTGAGGCATTTTATTTTGTTAGCGGACCGCTGTCACGTCCAGGACCTCCACGCCTTCCATCAACATATTCTGCAACAGGAGGAGCAACATCGTTAGCTCTCCAACCCCCTCTTGACACAGGCAAGTCAGCGGTGACTTAAGTTTCGATGCATGGTATGATGATTGATATTAAATGTAATGTGTCGACAGGTGGACACGACGACATGTCGTACATGATTTACTATCGCGAGCATGGGTCGGGCAAAAGATTCACGAAAGCGCACTCTAACGCTGACGGATTGGAGTTAACTGTCTTTCGATTAGCAGCGAGTACGGTCTACGATATGGTTGGTGTGTCGATGCTTGTGGGTGATGAAAACCCACTCACGTCCGGAGAATTAAATATTGCCGATTCAAGCATCGTACTTGATGAAAACGTGGCCAGTGATATTGTTAGAAACGGGTTCTTCGAGTATTGTGTAAGCTCTGTTTCTCTATATTTCCGAGATTTTCGAGCATCAATTTCTAACCGCACGGTTATGATTGCAGGACTTGATTTTCGAGGTTGACACTGCACGGACCCAGGTCAACAACACGATCAACTACGTGGCATCCTTGAGTGCAGATGACGGCACACCAGCTTCTATGGACCTTGAAAGTGGGGACAGTTGCGACGTATACGTTCGGGGCGCGTTCAGCAAGGTTTCCAACTTCACTACGGAATCACCTTCGAAACCCGGAAAACCGCCTCCACCAACTCAGTCTGATTTCAATGATAACACCGGTGGTGCACTTTTCATCCTGATTTCTTGGCCAGATGATACTGGTACGTTAACTCCTTTATTTTACCCTACAAAACGCAATCTAACACGCCTTCGACACTCATAGGTGGGGTGCCGATTACGGGATACGAGTTTTACCTTAATAACGAAACGGTAAGTTGCCTGGCGTGCGTGAAGAGAGTATGGTCTAACATCGTCATTGGTCAACAGGTGAATGGGGAATTGATGCGCTACGTAAATACGTCAATGTTTGATCTTTCCGTCACAGTGAAGATCGGCGGTTTATCGCCTAACACGTTCTACAGTTTCTACTATATCCTTACAAACGATGCGTCAGCGTGTGGAAATGGTACTGAAGACGACCCCGAACAGTTCGGTTTTTCAACGGGAGATGCATCTCTACCAGACATGATTCCAGCTATCAGGTCCATCGGATCGACTGGTAGTGGAATACACGTGACCGTAACGCCTCCTACCGACAGAGGAAATGACCAGCAACTGTACTACCAGGTTTACGTGGGTGAAAGCAAACAACCGTGGAAGCTTGGGTATAATGGTACGGATGCATCGTATTGGCAGACAAAGCTCCAGCAAAACAGTGTTTACAGTTTCATGGCGAGCTGTTGGAACGGAGTTGGCTACTCCGATAATTCGAGCGTATATGCGCTTCGAACAACGGATATATCCCCGCCTGGACCTCCAAGCGGATTAAACTCGACAGATTCAACTGGTGGTACCATCACGCTTTTCTGGTTGAGCCCCGAAGATGATGGCGGAAGTATGATTACCTCCTACTGGGTGCATGCACAAGATTCCATGGGGAATCCAGAGCTGGTTGAGCAAACGAATTCGACAGAGATAGTTTTCGGGGGTCTTCTCGCACTCAGAGCGTATAAGTTCAAAGTTTTCGCGGAAAACAGTCTTGGAACAGGTTCGGACCCCGGAGAGAGTACCTTTTCGACCACTGTGGCCACCTTGCCGTCGTTACCAGGAGATCCCGTTATCAAGGAGATGTCGGGAGGTTCGGTAACATTTGCTATCGAGCCCCCACAAGATACAGGAGGTGTTAGTGTTGACAAGCTGGAATGGAAAGTTTACGCAAATGGCGTGAGATTTCCGCCAGACGCCGTCCGTCGACGAACAAGTCTGAGTTCAGTAGCTACCGGCTCATCTTCTCGTCGATTATCGTCGACGGATGCTGGACCTACCATTTATCTTCAAGCAGGAGGCTTACTTCCATCCACGACCTACAAATTCACTGTTCAAGTCGATAATGGGGTCGGAGCCAGTGATATGACGAATGGAGCGGAAGATGCCACTTCAGTAGCAACTGTACCTGGAGCACCGGACCCACCGACAGCCACTTCAATAACTGGGGGCTCGATGAGATTGTCATGGACCGATCCGATTGACTCAGGTGGAGCTCCACTAATTTCATTCCGGGTTAGTGTTCAACAAGCTGGAGTTGAAGTGGGGAAATGCGAAGGGATGATCCTTTCCTGCACCGTTGGAAACCTATTGTCGATCACAGATTACATGGTGACTCTAGTTGCTTACAATCCTATCGGCCCGTCTCCATCTAGTGCTGTTGCTATCATCACGACCAAAGTGACGTCTCTCCCTCAGGCACCACAAGGCGTTCACATAGCGGAAGTGTCAAGCACGTCTGTCACTATCCACTGGGAGCCGTGTATCGATTTTGGTGGCGGCTACGTGGAAAACTACAAAGTTGATATCGTACAAATACTGAACCCCGCTACTGCGTTTTCGGGAACAGTGCCCGTGTTACAGCTGATTTACAGTACAGACGGCTTGACCCCCTCGACGGACTATAAAACTACAGTGGTAAGTATTCCAACACGGCCGAAAGTCTTGGATTGAAAATATTGAAGTGGTCTAACTTTCGTTTTATTTTTATTGTTCTTACAGCGGGCAGTCACTGGAGATGGTCAACTCGGAACTGCTAGCAAGATTATCTTCTTCAGAACACCGAAGTCTGCTAATCAACCTCGACCACCTGCCGTTGGGTGCCGTAAGTTTTGGTTTCTACATGCACTATAATACACCCCCATACTAATGTTTCTTGCTTCATACGAACAGATTCACGGACTGTTGCGAATGTCTATTGGCAGGCTGAAGATGATGCAGCTAGTTACCTTCTTTACCGCGACGGCCAACTGCTGCACGACAACGGAGAAGACGTCACGTTCGAAGATAGCATTGTCCTGGGTAAGACGTACTCTTACCAAGTCCGGGTGCGACTGCTGGATGGAACTTTAAGTGATCTAAGCGAGGTAACGCAATTTTTCGCCTCGACCCCCATCTCAAGCGGATTCGATTGCGTCGGCACTGGCGGATACATCCACTGGCACGAATACGGCAACTCTGACCACGAAACCTGGGCAATTATCCCTCAAAACGACGCCGGCATCGTGATCACTGTAAGTTCGTCTAGTTGATGTGATATCTTGCTGGGAGAAGTCTAACAGCTTTTGTTTTGATTTCCCATATCATTTAGGCCTCTATGTTCTGGCTCGAATGCAGCCACGACAGCTTGACGATCAACATTACTAGCAATGGAGAGCTGAAGCAGCTGTGGAAAGGTGGTTGTCTTCGTGAGGGAGATTTCGTTATTTCAACACCTTCTGGTATCGACAGCGTAATTATTGAGTTCGTGTCGGATGGAAGTATCACGTATGAAGGAATGGCGCTATACTACGAATCCGTTGACGCATCTGACGCAGTACAAGATGTGACAGTACCGTGCCCCCTTACGCCAAGCGGCCTGTGCTCGCTAAATGGCGCTTGTCGAAAGGGTGCTTGCTCGTGCTTCAGTGGATTTGTGGGGGAAAGTTGCAGTAATGCAGTCATATGCCCCAAAGATTTTACAACGTGCACCGTATCGACGTGCGATCCCATTTGCTCTCAATCGACTAGTGATGTGATTGTGGTGAGCGTGAATGGAGATGATACTCAAGGAACAGGGAAGCTTATGGATGCTTCTGGGTCTGGAACCGACCCAAAGGCTGTTCAATCGCTCAGACGCGCTCTAGAACTCGCAAAACCAAATCAAACGATATTGCTGTATCCAGGCGTCTATCGCGGGAGCGGTAACTGTAGTGTCACGGTATCGACCTCTGACATTCTCATCCGTGGGTTGAGAGGGCAAGCAGTGACGATCATTGACTGCCAAAGTTTATGGCGTGGCCTGATGATTAGTGGCGTTTCCGTTCGACTCGCTGGATTCACGCTGCAGAACACTTTGGCAGCAAGCAACAATAATGGTGCTGCCATTAGCGCTTCAAAGGCCAGTATCCAAATGGAGAATGTCTACATTAAAAATGGAAAGTCTCTCCAGAATGGCGGTGGAATTTATGCGTATCAATCTGACCTGAAGTTTACCAGTTCCAAGCTTTCAAATTGCTCTGCTGTCGCGAAAGGAGGCGCAATATTCATGGATAGTTCGAATCTGTCACTAGTTCAGTCCTTCGTAGAGCTTTCGTCGGCGAGTCAAGGCGGCGGTATCTATGCCCAAAACAGCGTTACAGTTCAAGGCGATGGAAACAGCACCATTTCGAACAACACTGCTGCGCAAAATGGAGGTGGGATCTGTGCATCGGGAAGTTTTAATGGAACTATACTGAGCCTGATCCAGAATAATGCGTCGGTTGGAGCCGGGATAGCTGCCATTAGCGGGAGTTCAACCCTTTCGAAGGTGAATATTACCCAAAATCGCGCAATTAACGATGGAGGAGGCATCGCGCTGTTAAACACCGCAAATGTGGCTGTTTACTACTCCCCGATACGAATGAATCATGCCGAGCGCTATGGCGGTGGCGTTTACGTGTTATCGAACGGAACCTTCGACAATAAAGGGGCTTCGGAAATCTTCAAGTGCACTGCAGGTAAGGGGATAGAAGGAGATGCATATACGTGCTTTCGAATAAGAGACTGACCAAACGTTTTGTGTAATGTTGTTGTTAAATCAGCTTCAGGTGGGGGATTTTACGGTGGCGAGTGGGCACAGCCAACAGTGAATGCACTTACTGTGCTTGTGTCGTCCGCTACAACTGCAGGAGGCTGTGCAGCCTTTACTCGCAGTTCAGCAACCCTGAAAGACGCTGTGCTTGATGTGTGTACGGCTCCTGTGGGCGGAGGACTATTTGCAAGTACCGGGAGTAAAATTTCGGTGCTCCGCGGATTAATAAGATCTGGCACGGGGGCACAGGGGGCTGGGATGTATATAAATTCGAGTTCGATTGTCGGGTCAGACGATGGACTCAATTCTGTCGTTCAAGGCGGCCGAGCTACTGCTGGTGGAGGGGGTGTTTTCATTACTGGAACTCAAAGCTCAATCCATTTTTTCGATGTGCTGAATTGCTCAGCACCGCAAGGAGGTGGCATGTTCGTACAGAACGCAACTTTGGGTTCGATGAAATCAATTAGCATATCTGAGAGTAACGCGACCAAAACTGGCGGTGGCCTCTTTGTAAAAGCGGCCACATTTACGGTGATGAATGTTGAGGTGAACAACAACAGCGCCGCTATTGGGGGTGGAGTGTACGCTATCGACTCTAGTTTATCGGGTACCATTTCAGTATTTTCTAATAATGGCAGCCAAGGCGGTGGGTTTGCTTCGTCTGGCACAACTTCGCTGGAAGGAGCAAATATTACTTTAAACACCGCGTGGCAAAGAGGCGGTGGACTCGCAGTTGAGACTGGGGTGCTGGAGCTAAGAAGCACGACCATAGTATCTTGCTCTGCGGACCATGGTGTCGGTGGAGGTATTTCAATCACGGATGGAAGCGTCAAACATTACGCATTGATCGTTCGGAATTGTTCATCCACACGAGGTGGTGGGGTTTATGCAAATTCGTCGGAGTTCTACCAGTATCCAAGCGAGGAGAGCAGTGGTATGAGCCAATTCGCAGCATCCTTGACTCATAATCACGCCACTGGCTATGGAGGAAGCATTTTTATTGATGGTATGGGAACCCAGGTTAGTGACGTCGTCATTACGGATAGTGATGCGTCTTTCGGTGGTGGGCTAGCAACCCTTGGTGCTCAAGAATGCATTGTGCTCAACATGGACATCTCAGCATCACATGCGATGTCCGGGGGTGGTTTGTTTTTCGGGCCTGGTGCAAATTGTGTTTTACGTAGCTCTCAGGTGGCCAGCAACAGCGCCAAAGAGTCTGGAGGAGGATTGACAGTTCAAGATGCCACACTGTATCACTCGAACTTGGATATCACAAATAACGTGGCCCTAACTGCAGGTGGAGTAAACGTGCGGAGTGACTCAATGGTATCGAGTCTGTTGTGGTGGGCAGGCCCTGAAACTGAGCAATCGCGTGTGTATACCAATGTTATCTCTCCGGTGGCTAAAAATGCAGCCAATGTGCTGCTCAACTGCTCCGTCGAGTGTGTTTTATCTGGAGCACAGATTTTCGGAGGTACCCTCTCAGACGGCCAAGGAGCTGGGGTGTTCGTAGGTGGTGGTGGTAACGCGACGATTTCCGACGCTCTGATCGCGAATAACTCGGCTGTTCAAGGCGGTGGTATTGCAATCAGCGACACCGAACTTACAACGCTGGAGAATGTTGCTGTTGTAGGGAATTTCGCAAGGGATCGCGGCGGTGGACTATGGGCTGGGCAGCCCAATTTGCTTAATTTCCCGACGGTGAATGTGACGAGTTGTGTGTTCTACAACAACTCAGCAGCGACTTCTGGCGGAGGACTCTCGCTGTTTAAGGTGGTGATGGTTAGTTCCATCCTGCTGGTCGTGGAAAACCATGTCAACAACAGCGACATCGGAAGTGGTGGTGGATTGTACGCTGATACAGAGTCAGATATCACAGCTGACACGTGGTTGTTTTTGTCAAATGATGCAACAATTGGTGGTGCAATTGCTGGCGTAGCAGCATCTAAGATCAGCCTCCTCGACTCACATTTTACTCGCGACGTCACTGTATTTTCCACTGAGAGGTGGCAAGATCTCTTTTTCGATCTTGTGGGGTTCACATATGCGGAAGGATTAGCCAAGTACAATGTAGAAGTCCAGAGAGGCGGCCTCATCTATTTGTCCGACGAACACTCAGTGTTAGAACTGCTGTCAGCTTCTGTGACCTATGGATCGGCCGACGCTGGGGGAGGAGTTTATGTCACGGATAGCGCATTTTTGTATGGCGACAACACTGAGATTGGTCATAACAGTGCTACTGAGAGAGGAGGCGGTTTGTGCGTATCGAACAGTGCACAAGCAAGCTTCGATTATGTTAAAATCATCTTCAGCGGTAAGAGGCAGTTCCGTATAAAATACTTTGTCCTCATGTTACTAACAACGCTTTTGATTGCTGGAATGTAGAGTGCAGTACTTCCGGAGGCGGTGTTTTTGTAGAGACCTCTGGGGTGATTAATGCAAGGAACTCTCATATATCGAACAACTTCGCCGATGACTCGGGCGGTGGCATTTATATCGACACCGGGGACCAAAACGTCGTCAACTTGACCGACTCCTATGTTGAGAGTAATTTGGCGCATGGAGAAGGATGTGGTATGCAGCTCGCATATTCATCAATGAGTACCATATTCTTATTTACTTTAGCTCATATATTGTTTTGTGTATTTCCAATAGGTGTCTTCGTTGGACGAGAGGCGGGCCTTAATGGATTTGGATCTCATTTTGTGGGGAATGGCGGTGTGACCTCCAGCGGGAAAAATGAAGGTGGCGGTGCAATCTCGACGGTTGATGGTTCTGTGAAGCTCACGGATTGCACACTTGCCAGCAACACCGCCCTTGTAGGTGGGGCAATTCATATTGACCGGGGTGGATCAGCGGAGGTTATCAACTCGTTGTTCGTTAGGAACACCGCGGATGAAATGGGTGGAGCTGTTGCTGCGGAGGTCGAGGGACACTTCCATGTCATACAGAAAACTTCATTTCAAAACAACCAGGCACCTCTCGGCGGGGCAATCTCCGCATCCGGAACATCCAGCGTCTCTCTAACATCTGCGGTGTTTATCCACAACCAAGCAAGTGAAGACGGCGGAGCGCTGTTTATCACAGACAAAGCGTCACTTACGTCAACTTTGGGGAGCTTCAGCAGAAACACTGCGGTTTTGGGCGGGGCCATTCACTCTGATGAGCAATCCTTCGTTAATATCTCCGACGACGCTTTTGTCGACAACGCGGCTTCCATGCGCGGAGGTGCTCTGTATTATGAGTCTATTGACAACACTACTACAACTGGAATCACTTGCCGATCAAACACTGCACCAAGCGGAGGATGCATGTACTGGATTTCAGAAGCCTCGGATCTCACCCCAATTTATCCGTGTATCGAGTGCATCATGATATCGAACAAAGTGTACGATATTGCAACGAATACGCGAGATGTTCGGGTGATTTGGTGGCCTGAAAACGTAACAAGCGGTGTGCCTGTGTTGGAGCCACCCGACGAGGAGTCTATCGAGGTACTGGAAACCCTAAACGAAACGCTCGAGTCTAAAATGTACGTCTGGCCACGGCTTAAGGCTGTCGACCTCTACGGCCAAGTTGAAGTGCTGGATAATCAAACGGAGTGCAGCGTTGCCGACGGTCTTTGCAGTGAGCAAATCGAGCGTGTAGCGTTTACTCCATATAGCCCAGTTCGTGCTGCCATTGGAGTTCTCTCGTACCGGAAAGCTACGTTCACAGCCGCCAACAGAAGCGTAGAAGAAGGCGTGTACAGATCAAACGTGACGTGTACGCTACCTACGTTGGAGGCACGGGCTTTTGTCCAAACGGTGACGCTTTTGCCATGTCAACCTGGATTCTCGGTCAAGCAAGGGTAAGTACCAGCTATCTAATAGATAAAGTTCACATGTACTGACACGTCCTGCTCGTATAGAATTTGCGAACGCTGTCCAAGAAATACATACAGGTAACTGTGATGGGCTATCCAAGGTATAGGTTCCTTTTCTTCTACTAACGTAGTGGATATTTCGTGCTCTAGCTTGGAGGGTATTGAGTGCTTCGATTGTCCCGCAGGAGCAAAATGCAACATGACAGTTCGACGGGCTACGGAGACAATGGGAGAGGAACTTGGGACCGTATCTCCTCGTACAGAAGAAGGGTATTATCTGTTTTTAGCCCCCGCATCGAAACAAACGACCAATTGTTTAAGCCCCAGCCAGTGGAAAAAGGACGACCCGTGCAAGCCCCTTGCTCTGGAAAATCCAGCCGCAAATGTGTCGGAAGTGATCCACAACTGCTCCAACTTGAACGACTTTGACGTGTATTGGTCAGCAGAGCGACTTTTTTCCTGTCTCTCGGGAAAAACCTTCTACACGTGTGATGTGAGTCCGACAGCTTGGTACAATTGACGGTGTTGGTGGGCGACGATCTCTAATGCACTATGTGATGATCTGGATTTGTCTCTTAGGTTTCAAGTGCATGCGAAGCTGACGTCTCACTCCAAACACTCTCATTAGCAGCGGACGTGAATAATGCATCGTGTGCTAGCGGCTATGACCTCGCTATTTGCTCAGTGTGTGCCAAAGGTTTCAAGCGAGCTCAGGATACGTAAGTGCGCATGCGTAACGTTGAGAGGCGATTGAACTGCTTACTTACAACCTTGCGAATCTATCGTGTTGCAGCATGCGAACAGGCAAATGCAGAAGTTCGGGCATCCGTTCGATGGCAGAACTTCGTCATCCCAGTGATGCTGGGTATTGCGCTTGTTGCGGGCATCTATGGAGTTCGCATTTATCTCCGGGATGTTACGGAAATTGGCTTGCTAGCAAAAGCCGAAGCCGATAGGAGGCTCAAGCCTCCTAATACTAAGAAGGGTGAAAGTCTTGCCTTACGAGCAAGCATGAAGTACCTAAGAAGCTCGATGGCGGTGGTGGGGAGAATGGATCGAGTCAAAGACAAGATCAGAGAAACTTGGAAGAAGTATCGCCACCGAAACGCGAAAATTCTGTTCGGCGTCGATGTCAGCCCCCCAGCTCGGACGTTCCCAGTTAGCCCAAGCAAGTTCAAGATTTTCATTGGGTTCTTTCAAATATTTGGCAACTTCCAAGGCTCTTTCGTGGTGAAATGGTCGTCGAACATACAAGATTTCATGAGTTTCTCACAGAAATTCAATCTGGTACGTATGCTTCCTAGTTAATCCACGTGTTCTGTCTGTAGGTCGAAAGCGCCATACTAAAATCTACCCGTGTGACTGCGATCTAGGACTTGGTGGCTATTGCCGGTATTGATTGCGTGGTCACAAAAACGTTTTACTTCGACTTCACGTAGGTTCTTAGTACAGCTTCCCTACTGTTATGCTGTCTAATACCTTTCCTGCATTTCCTGCCTAACAGAGTGACCGTGATCATGGTTGTGATTGCACTTACCGTGATTACTACTTACTTCTACGCTGGAATGCGAAGCTACCGATCGAAGCTGCAGTTAATCCCGCGAAATTGCTTACGTTGCGGACTTCCAGTTCTCGAGGGCGAGACCATTCAGAACGACGATGAAAGCTTGAACCCTCTCCGGTTGCTTCGAAGCAGGTGGCGCATCCACAACTTTTACAAGCACGATTCATCGGCTACTGCACAGAGGGAGACGAAGGGGGTTTCGGAGAACGAAAGCTCCGTTGCTCTATCGACCCTCAAGGAATTTCGTGCACTGAACCGTAAGTTCGGAATGTCCCAGGTTCGCACTCCGTACCTGCGTTTGTTCCGCTCAGAGCATTCAAACTGTCCCGTGAAGCGTCACGTGCTTTCCGGCGTCATGCGTGAACGCACCATTCGCAGTAATCTTCGAGTCTGGCAAGCTCGCGTGAAACTACGCATGAACTACCTTACGTACCGCAACAAATGCCTCAAACTCTACTGCTGGATGGCACTCTTCCTGTACCCCTCCGTGTCGAAGACGATATTGGCAGTGTACAACTGCCAGGAAGTTGGTGATACGTATTATCTCGTGGCTGATCGTCGTCTGGTGTGCTACAACGGGGAGTGGGCATTGTTTGGTATAATCGCAACCATCGGTGTCGTTGTATGGGTTGTGGGTATCCCGTTCTTCTTCGGTCTACTCATCTGGCTAGCTCAAGACCGCGGCGTTGCGGCACGCCTAAGACTCCTGCGTAAACCGCAAATGCGCGTCCAAAGACAGAAGTGGCTCAAGGAGGTTGAAGACCAGCAAATAGCAGATGGCCGATATGTTCGAGATATGGATAATGTCGAGGTCCAAGATGAGGAGCTGGCGAAGTATATGAAGCGCAAGAACTTGACGGTACCCGAGCACTAAGCATGTATGGGTAGCGTCGATAAAGACTGACATCGTGATTTGTATTGCATCATAGGATTCCACTGTACAAGCGCGACTAGGATTCATCTACGCTGAATGTAAGTCGTAACCGCGCTACTTTGACATCATTTTCTGCTGGCTCAACCCCACTTTTTCTTTTGCTTACAGATTCGAGCGATTATTGGTGGTTTGAAGTCGTTGATCTGTCACGAAAATTGTTTCTTAGTGGTGTGATCGTTTTCGTCAAGAATGGGAGTGTGGAACAAGTCCTCCTTGCCCTCGCTGTCTGGTGGGTCTATGCTGTGGGTAATAGCATTTGGTAGGGCCAATACTAACATTCCGGTTGTCTGCGACTGGTTCAACATTCAACAGCCTCGTGACGATGTGGTTCCTGCTATATTTCCAGCCGTACGAAGGCTATTCCGATAACCTGATCGCAAGTATCACTCAGCTCCAGCTCTTTTTCACGCTGTGGCTTGGAGTCATGATCACGCTCAACAACCTCAACACCGAGTCACTCATCGACGTGAACCTGTTGAGTATCGTACTCGTGGGGACATGTATTGCCGTCACTGCGTTTGGTCTGAGCATGATCGTTGGGGAAGGTCTCACCGAGTCACGACGAATTTATACTGAGGCCGTGGCTCAGCGCAAGAAACAATTGCAAGAAGAAATCCGCAAACGCTGGTTCAAGGCCTTCAATTATGCAGCGTACGAGACGCAGATGCTTCGCTACGGCGGCCGGTTCAATTTTACCGATTTCAGCGTGCCTGCACTGCTGGAAGCCTTTCGTCGTGCGAAACTCATAGAAGAAGGGGACCCTGAATTTGCCAGCGTCATGCCCAAAATTGAAGAAGCTGAAGCGCCGTCGTTAAATCTGCGGCAACCAGAAGCGAATACGCAAGTTGATGAGCACGGTGAAGGCAGCAATGACGTAGTGCTTGGCGAGGCTGAGGAGATACACGAAGAAGCTGCGCAAGGAACGTTGCGGTTTAGAGGTCAGCGGCAAGTCTAAACACACACAGCAATGCGCCAGGGCATAGGCCACGTAGAAATCTGTATACATACTTGTAATACCTGTATATATGCGCATGTTTATCTTGTCTACAACGCCTATGGCGGAAGCCATTCACCGTTGTGAGAACATTCACCGCCGCGAGTTCGGCTGATTAGACGATGGCCCGCCGCCCATGCCGTAATTGCAGATCTGGCATTCCTGAGTTCTCCAGTGATACGCCCCGTTAATGACATCAAAACCGACAGCGAACTCGGCGCAGTATCGGTCGTACAGTGCCTCCCACTCGCCGAACGTTACGATTTCGTACTGACGCGCGGGGGTTGAGCCCAGCCTGCAAATACAAACATCAGTACAACAAGCACGAGTCAGCCCAAACACTCCCAAACAGTCAGTAGTCTCCCAGTCAGCCCTTACGCTTGGGTGGCCTTGAGGGATTGCTCCAGCGAGAACCCTGACAGGAACAGCGAAATGTATGGCGGCACAATCGTCTTCTGATGCGACAGGCACACCAACTCTGCATTCAGCACTGGCCCAGGGGCATCGTCCCCTTGGCTGCGCACGAACTTCCTCCACTTGTTCAGCCACTTCTTGGGCACCAGAAAGTACGTGGCATACTTGCTGCGCCCGTTCAGCGACAGGTGCGGTGCCAACTGCTGCTGTCTGCTTCCCACTGTGTCCACAGGCGAAAAGAGTCCCTTAGGATATCCGTTCTTCCTCTGCAGCAGCTCCAGCATCTCTTCGGAGCCTGCAATCTCGCCGTCGAACCTGGCTCTCTTCCTCTCCTCCGCCTCCAGCTCCCTGGCCTCCTGCTCCAGCACGCACGACGTGCAGTCGCAGCAGGACCGGAGCGTGAATCCTCTCAGCTCTGGCGCGTAGACTGCAATCTCCCTGAACACGTCGCCGCTGACGATAGCGCGACGGCTTCGGCCTACGCACTGCGCCGCTGGCAGCAGCGCGTCGTGCGCGCACACGATCATGGCTCCCGCTTCCTGAAGCGACGAATTAGCTACAAGCTTGAGCTTCTCTGCGCCCACGACATCCTTCTTTTTAGCTGCGTTTTGACGCCGCTGTTGCCGCTTGGTCCGGCGGAACTGCAGCAGGAACTGCTCGAAGGCCTGGCAGCGCTTCTTGTAGGCGCCGAGCCACGCGCGACTGACGACGACGCTGCTGGGCGCGCAGAGCGCGGCGTCCTCGAAGGAGCGAGCGGCTGAACGAGCTAGTAGCTCCTTGATGCGCAGCATCTCGGCGCCACGTAGCACGGTGAGCGACCGCGGCCAGTGGTCGGATGCGGCTGGCAGGAACGCCGTGACATCGCCGAACTCGCGCGTAATGACGCGCTCCAGGGCTTGCTGCACGCACACGGAGGAGGCGCTCAGGGCACGACATGTGGAGGTAAGCTGGAGCACGTCCCTGGCCGACAGTAGAGCGAAGAGGTGCGCCAACAGGCCTTCGGGCAGGTGCTCCATTGCCGCAGCATGCGATTGTTGAGCTCACGACGGCTTTGATTGGTCAAGGTGCTGTTCTTGTACAGGGAGAATTATTGTGAATTCTGGCCAATATTGCCGATTCGGGTCGGTTTACCGTATGGGTTGAAATCGCTGAATACAAATTTCAAGTCTTTTGGAATCGACCGAGACGGCCTGAGCGACTTCTTATTTCGTACTTTATTGCGTACATAGTAAACTCAAGTCAAATCATGATTTCGGGCGGTCTGCTGGCGATTTGGCTCGTTCGATTCAATCAATCGACTTCGGAAAGTTCGACTAGAACGCGCAATAATAATTGGGGAAATTATGTCGATTTGTAATATTACTCTTAAGAAACCCACATTTTTTAATATTTCATATTATGAAAAACCAGTACATGTACTGAATTATTAATTGTGGATCATCTCAGCCGCGCTGCGTTAAGTTGCTTAGGGCGCCGACACCCTGCAAGGGAATGTGTACTGCAGACCAACGTCTCCGCTATCAAAATAGATCGAATGATGCCCAGTTGCTGTTGTGATTTGCCTCCGGTTCTTGGAGTGATGCCTAGCTCCTGCTTAGAAAGTCGAAAATAGTAGTCAAACTAGATAGAAAGCATTTGTGACAGTGATTCGCAAAAAATATAAAAAGTTAAGAATAATCTCCTACGTCGTGTACAACTACACCTTTTCCGGCCCATGTTTACCAAGAACGAGGGCAAATTCCCAAATAACAAAAGCAAATGTACCAAAACCCAAATCACATCCATTAAGTGCAAGTTCAAGTGAACCATCCTACTATAAATAATTATTTTACTCGTATTCTATTTAATAGGTGATTCATTCCTGCCATTGCACTCCAAAACACCACGTTGCGCTTGGCGGCGCTGCTTCACCTCCGCCAATCCTGCGTTTCCCAGCTCGATTCCACCAATAACTCAGCTACCTGCTTTCTCCTTGGATTAGCTTGGCCCGTGCGGCAGTGAGCTACTCACACGCTGCTTGTGCTCACGTTGGAACTTTCATTGCCCTCGCCATGCCGACTCGCTACAACTGCCACGCACTTGCTTCCAAGCTTCGCCTCCTGGATGCAGCTCGCACTCGAGGGGACTGAGAATCGGCGGCTCAAGCCAACGACGTCAATATCAACACAGCTCGCTCCTGGCTACGTCGATACCCTATCAGCTCTCCTGCTTTGTACGCTCTGTTGCGTGGCGGAAAACGGTCGCAGAAGATGACCGCTGGCGTCATTGGCTTTCTCATGTGCGAGCTGTCAATCAACCACGGCCTCACACTTCGCCAGCTCGCGAACGAGCTAGAACGAGCATGCTCAATCTCGGTCTGTGCGCAAAATGTGAATAACTACCTGGACGCAAGTCTCATCACGATGAAGCAGTTCCACAAAGAGCCTCAGTACATGCACACCGTGCAGAACAAGATCAAGCGCAAGGATTTTCCCGCCCGATTGTAGCAGCTGCAGGCCGCCGCGAAGTCCATTGTCTAAATTAACGAGACCAATCTTAATCTGTGGTTGTCTCGCACAAGTGGTCGCAGCATCAGAGGCAGGCGCGCTGTCAAGAAGGTGCTGGCAGGTGGTGGACAAAACCTGCAGGTGATTGCGTGGATTGCTAAGGGAGGGACGAGACAAAGCTGGGCAGCAACGAGTACCCGCACTCCAACGAGTTCATTCGCAATACGTTGCGGAAGTTCGCAGACGTGAGCAATGTGGTGGTGATTTTGGACAACGATCCGTGCCACGCACGCGCTGAACTTGTCTTCCAAGAACCAGAGTTTGCGGCAGCGACGCTCCTATGCTTGGGTCCATACTCACCTATGCTTAATGCAATTGAGAACGTGTTCTCAGTGTTTAAGTCGGCTGTGAAGGACTTCATTACTCAAAACCACGCGGAGATCATCGTTGTTCCGCCTGGGGCCACGATGAAAGCGCACCGCCAACGCTTCCTGATCGAGGCTGCCGAGACGCTTTTCCCCCATGCTGCGACTGCGCAGCTGTGTGCACCCTGCTACAGGCACACGTTCAGATTCCACGTCAAGGTGGCGGCGATCGAAGACATGCCAGTCGGCTGCTAAGCAGCAACAACACGCAAGTATGATGATTGCATATTTACCAGAATATTAGGTTTCGGAGGTCCGCGGTACTTGCTTGAATGCATTCGGCTTTGCACAATATTTTTTTGCTTTGGGGTTTATGTATTTGCGTTTGTTCTTTGTGAAGTTGTCCTTGTTCTTGGTGAACTTGGGCTTAAAAAGGTGAACTGCAGTTGTTCTTCTAGCTTCACCAGCAGCTTTGCGGTATCCCTGATACAACGATAAGGTATTGAAAACGCGCTCACCAAGACTTCTTGTAGAGCCTTGCCCTTCTGCTGCGGGCGCTGGTAGGTGAGCCTGGTTGTCACCACGTGCTGCTACAGTCATCCCCGGCAGATGTGCCCACGTATCGCACAATATACCTCGCCCAGGAAGTGCAGGCCATACCCAGGATTTGAGCTGTACTTCTGCAATTATATTGGGTTAGGTGTGGTCTGAAGATGCAAGTGTCAGAGTGGGAGGATACCACCATCCTATTTTGACAATTAAGTTTGGATTAAATCAGTACATCACAATCTATGTCAAGTCCGCATGAATCATATTGATCACAAGTACCACTCCGGCACCTCTGCCGGGGATGACTGGACAATAGCTAGCAGCTCAACTCAACGTCTGACAGCATCTACTTATGCGTACGACCTTCTCCACCTGGCCCTTCTGTGACAGATCAACTTGCCCATGGATTCTAATCACCTCCGCAGCAATCCTGTCTGACTTGACCTCTAATGCTTCATCAGGAAAGGTAGCATGCGCGTCGCCGCTCTCCTCACATTTACGTTTGGCAGCATGCATGCCACAAACTAGCGCTGACCACCGAGAGTTGGCCAGTTGTTTTAGCCATGGGCACATGTGACGAAGCGCCCGTGCTCTTTGAAGGCTCAGGTTGCTAGACCGCTCGACCTTGGTCTTCGCTCAGCTCTTGCACCACTCGGCTCAGCCCCGCTTAGCGCTGCAAGAGTTCCGCTCAGCTCCTTCCACTGAGCGAACACTCCCACTCCACTTCGCTAGGCTTGGCCGCTAGAACTCTTGGCTCAGCGTCGACTTGGGTCGGGCGAGGCGTGTGTTCCTCATTCTTCGATCCCTTGGCGGTTCTTTTGATCATGGCTACGCTGTAGACCCAGACTCGCGTCGGCCACACCAGCTGCTGCCGATGTTGAAGGTCTCCAGAGGTGTTCCCAGGCGAAACTTGCTCCCCACTTGGCAAGTCCCAGTCCGCACGTGTCCACAGCCCGAAATGCCCCGGGTTTTCCTTAATGAACACGACACAACACACAATACAGCCTCCACTTCCTCTCTTTGGTTCCGGCTCAGAACCACAACACCCCTTCTTTCCCGGTCGGCCTGGGTCTGGGCCGAGTTCGCCTTTATTTCTCTGAGCCTGGGCGAGGCTCGTACCAGCTTCTCCTTTCTTCTCTTCGAGTCAAGCAGCGACCCGGTCTGGAGTTAGTGACTCGGTTTGAGCCTAGTCCGAATCCAAGGCACTCACATACACCCTGGGACTACCCGCGCACCAGGTCCACAATGAACCGATACTAATAATCACACAATGCACCGGGGCACGCCAATGTCCCCAAGCACACAATACAATTACCCTGCCTAAACCTCAGAATGGATCACCTTCCACCCGAAAATATGAAATACACCCTAAGCTGTAACAGTAATATGAAATAACCGTACTGCTGTCGCACCGTCGCGCTCTGGCAATGTTGATATGTTAGCTTGAATTTGTGTGGGTGATCGCCAAGACACCTTCTGGTCAAAGGCCTCCGCCACTTGCGTCCTTCGGGGCAAAACAAACTCTGTTTAAATGTTTACACATGCACAAACTAGGACTCACTAAGTGGGGGCGCAATATCCTCCTGGGTACACACTGACTGGCTGCGCGAAGAGCGTCGGCTGTATGCTTACCGGGCGCCCTTGAAAATCCACCCGAAATCTCTGGTATTGGCCAATGCGGCGGCTCCACATCGGCGGGCGTCGTCTTGGAGCCGCTGGAGGCCGTTGAGATCCGCTTGAGTGTCCGCGATCTTAAGCGGTCGCACCCAATGTAGGCTGGCTCATGGCTGACACACCGTATGAGTGTACTCGTCGGTACCACCCACTTCGCCGTCAGTACCACTGTCTGGACTTAAGTTCAGCGACTCTTCACCCGGCACTTCAACTGGACTCTGACAACTCTGCTCAGGCCCATGCCACTCCGCTCAGATCTGCAACACTCCGCTTGGCTTCTCGACTTGAGCGGGGACTCCGGTCATCACATTCGAGGCTCAGCTCGGACTCCACCTCACCCCACTCAGACCTCCGATCCTCGCCCAGCTTGTCGACTTGGGTGAAGACTTTATGACCACAGTAGAAGCTAGACTCGGGCTTGGCATGGCCCCGCTCGGACGCCTGCTCCTCGACTCAGCTCGGCATCTTGGGCGACGGCTCCATAGCCACTGGGGAGGTTGAGCTCAAACTCCACCCGGCTCCGCTCAGCTTCTCGACTTGAGCGGGGACTCCGGTCATCGCACTCGAGGCTCAGCTCAGACTTCGCGTAGCTTCTCTCAGGTTCCGGGCTCAGCTCATACTTGGGATACCCAATGTAATGGGCCTACTTTGGCTCACTACTTTAGCTTACACGTGCGCGCACGTGTGTGAGGAAGCGTAGCGTAGTTTAAACTAGAGTTAATTAAACTCGGGCCTCCGAGTATAGATTAATCTAAATAAACGATCCAAATAATGTTTTTGGGTTAAAATGAGAACTGCTATTTCTGTTTTATGTTTCTGACTTCCTCTAAATGAAATATATTCTAAGATAGGAATCTGCCAACGACTGGTTGGCAGAATTCCAATGCTACGCATGTCGCTCATTGGCTAAAAGATGCTGCTCTCAGCCAATAGGAATCCTAAGTCTCTATGGACCACCCGTCGTGGTGGTCGTAAATGTATGTAGCATTTGGTGTGTCTACACCAAGGTCGAGAAAGTCTTTCGAACCTCTAACAGACGTCGTGTCTGTTAGAGTTTCAAGTGACTGTAGCCACTAGTGCGTGTAACCCTGTTATACCATCCCCCCCTTCAAGGTTAGACGCGCCGAGGTATGGTACGTCAATCAGGAAATTGACCATTTGTCAATTCTTCACGTTGGGAGAAAGAAAACTCGAGCTCATTCCGCAATGAGCTTGCCGAAGAAGACCGACACTGCAGCTGAGGGGAAGACCTCCGCCGGAATAGAGACTCTCTCTATCCCCGAGTACCGCGAGCGTCACAAAGCAAAGCGTGACGCTCTTGCTGCCAAGGCTGTGGCGGGGACATCCCAGCCGTAGATTGTCCTCGAAGGTTCCTCTGTAGTCAACGACGCCGTTGACTTCGAGGACGGCGACGTGGAGATGGAAGAGGGCGAGGCCTCTTCTAGCAAGCGCAAGGAGTCTATCGTCAGCGATAGTCTCGACCCGCATGCCGGGTCGAGACGCCCTCGTGAAGGAGACGACTCGGAAGCTTCGAGCTCGAAGCGATCGCGCGGTAAGAGCGACACTCCGCTCTCTGCTGCTGGAGCTTTAAGCTCTCCACGTGATGTGGCGACTTCAAGCTCTCCGCGCGCTGCCTGAGCAGCGCGCGGTCCGTGGATGCCGTCTGCGTCAGAGATCGCAGACCGTGTGGGCAACACTGTGCCTCCAAACGAAATTCCGCTGTACGTATGCAGCGGGATCTACGATGATGCTGTGGAGGAGGAGCAGCACTTTGATCCGTTAACGAATCAAAGGCACGATTACGATATCGGACTCTTTCACGAGCTCCGATACTTCCCCAGCAAGAAGACCTCTTCTCGCAGCAAAGTGCCTGAGTGGCAGGCACTTTGTCAAAGTTGGAATGCTTTTGTTGAGAACTTCAACAAGAAGCCGGCTGCTTACCGTGAGCGGGTTAAGCATGCCCGTGAGCGCTTCGAGACATTCTCGACGCTCAGGCGGCTGGAGCGGCTCCACATATCTTCTGTGGACGCTGGTACTCCATGTGCTGTGCCCGAAGGCCAACAGTGCACGATGTGTCTTCCGGGTGCGATGCGCTTGAGCGACCGCGACCTAAATGGGTACACGACGATTCGTGTACCTGCGAGTCTCAAGAATCTCCGTGCCAAGTTCTTGGCACGCGAGGAACGAGACGATCGTGGGGCTTCGGGCGCTGTAGGTGACCACAGCGCTCGCACTGCCTTCGCGTCGGCAGTGCGTGGTGAGCTTCGTACGCCCTTACCATTTCCGGAACGTCCTGCAGCAGGACGTCCCGTGGCTCCCATGTATCTTGGTGGGGCGGAAACCCTCTCCAACGAATACGATAACGAACCGGCTGCCGGTTCGTTTTCGGGATACTATGGTTCACAATACGCTCAACAATCCAGCGTGTTGAGCCGCGGGCGTCGCGGATCGAAGGCGGCGGTGGTGGGAACACGCCCCGGGTATGGTCAACCTAGGGTTGACCTTGGCCCGACGCTCGAGGAGCGGGTCGCTGCTGTGGAACAGCATCAGAGCCGGGAGTTCGCCGCTCTGAAGCAGGAGGTGGCGATCCTGAGGGCTCAAGTCGCTCAGGCCTCGCAGACCGCGTCGGTCTCTGTCGACGTGGGAGGTCGCGTCGCACGCCTGGCCCAGCGCGTTCACGCACTGGAGCAGAGATTCGCTCCCGCTGGGGCATCCGCTTCGGGCCAGCCGAGCTAGGTGGCTCGTGCTGCCGGTATGGCTTCAGCCGCCCGACATAAAAGGTCGGATGGAGGCGCATGCTAGATGGAATATCTAGCGTGTAGGCGTTGCCATGCCGTGCCAACACCGTGAACGACCCGATGAAGCGCGGAGCGAGCTTGCTCGCCCCGAAGTCGGAAACGGCATGTTTAGGCAGGGTTTGAGTTGCTAACAAAACCAATGAATCCTTCTTGAAACCATTAGTGTTGCCCCTACCAACATTGTCTGCGTTCAGCTTCTGTCGGTCGACAGAAGCTGCAATAGCGTCTTGGACA